TGTCCACACCTATGAAATGAGGCTAATTAATTGTGCTTGTTTTATCTGCTTTACAGGGCTATTATGAACAAAACACTTTGTAAACAGTAAAGCAGTGTTGAGTTCATAAGATCATAGATTCTGATCTGGAAGGGACCCTAAAAGCCATATTAATAGTAATTACAGTTGAACTATGCCTGCTAGTTTAAGTAGCTTGGGACGTTGAATTCTAACAGATGATCACATCTAATGTTAAGTGGGCTATAAATAGTTTGAAATTTGAAAATATTTATTTAGCAATCTTTATTAAGCTGTTATGTCTAAGGCACTGCTAAATATTGTATATGCAGTATAATACTGAGATCACTAACCCATATTTTCCTACCCCTTAAGGAACTTACATCCAAGGTAAATAAGGTATACACAAATAATTATAACATAAGGTGAAATCTGATAAAAATTTATCCTAAAACTAAGGACTATAAAGATACTCTCTGTTACTAAAACTGTAAATTTTTGACTAATATTTAGGTTTTCAAAGATAAGATTTAAAAATTAATGGTTTTATAACCCTAAAGGCATAACCTGATATGAAAAAGAAATATTTTGTCACTTACCATTCTGCTAGCTTCTTACATACTACTAGCTTCCTTTAAGCATATGTCAAACTATTCATAAGAAAATAATGTATTATACAGAGTAGGTATTTAGTGTTGTTGAATAAGTGAGAAAATATGGTTGTACAGTGTGGGATGGCAGGTTTTTCCCATTAAGACCTAGTTTTTTGCTGTATATAACATCAGCTGCTGATTTATACTCTCATTTATTTATATAGTACTTCTCACAAAAGCCTGTGAGATAGGTAGTATAAGTATTATAATCCCTGCAGAGGGAAAGGTCAGGTAACTTGCTCAAAGTCTTAACTTGTCAGAGGTGAGATTCTTACCCAGATCTCCTGATTCCAAGTTCACCTGTCTTTGACTTCTTGTTGAAGATAACACTATAGTCTTTACATGCCCCAGTTTGACCTTATATGAATAGTAATACTATAGTCCTTGCATGCCCTAGGATATCCAAGGATGAAATGGAAAATTGATAGAAAAGAAGCTCATGAAGACTTTAGCTTTTCCCCTTTTGTTGATCACTATATAAATTGTTCTCCTGATTCTGCACATTTCACTTTGTATCAGTTCATATAAACCTTCCCAGATTTTTCTGAAACCATCCCTTTCATCATTTCTTACCAAACCATAGTACTCTATTACATTCATATACCATAACTAATTCAGTCATTCCCCAATTGATGGGCTCCCCCTGAGTTTCCAATTCTTTGCCATTACAAAAGTGCTGCTGTAAATATTTTTTGTTCATGTGAGTCCTTTTCCTCTTTCTCTGATCCCTTTGCTTTTCTCTTTGTCTTACTGGGAAGGTTTTCAGGTTCCAAAATATACTAGACCTTAACCTTTGTCATTATTGTCTCTTCCACTAAGTCCCACATAGTATAACAGTCAGAAGAGGTTATCAGAAGGTGATCTGTTGTTAGTCCAACTAACTGCAAATAAATCTACCATTAGTTGACTGAGAAGCAAGAATACACTTGCTAGGGGTAGCCAGGTGGTGCAGTGAATAGAGCTCCAGTCTTGGAGTCAGGAGGACCTGAATTCAAATCTGGCCTCAGACAAATGACACTTACTAGCTGTGTGATCCTGGGCAAATCACTAAACCCTGATTGCCTCACCAAAAAAAGCAAAAAAAAAAAAAAAAATACACTTGCTATTTATAGTCAACATATAACTTTTTAATAGAATTTATGGAAAAATTTTAACATTGACCTTTAGTTAAATTGATTTAGAGGAGAAAAATCTTAAAGCCAAGTAACATAGTTTTTTTTTTATTCACATCCAGAATAGTCTCTAATTTAAAGGTGTCTAGAATCTAAAAATATCTGTTCATTTCTTCCCTGTTTTACTTTTTCTTTGTTGACTTTTGGCAGAGATTGGGGGGAGGAGTAGGGAACTGAGAAGTTTGTGTTGGGTTTGTTTGGTATGTTCTTAATTATTTTTTTATTATTATTATTATTTTTTTTGCTTTTTAGTGAGGCAGTTGGGGTTAAATGACTTGCCCAGGATCACACAGCTAGTAAGTGTCAAGTGTCTGAGGCTGGATTTGAACTCAGGTCCTCCTGACTCCAAGACCAGAGCTCTATCCACTGTACCACCCAGCTGCCCTGGTATGTTCTTAATTAAAGAAAGTATTTTAGATTAGACCAGGTGACTTTAGTTTTAACTAAAGAAGGTTATCTTCATTTCTTCTAAATTTTTTTTATTTTATTTTTTCGGTTAGCAAGCATTTATTTTCTTGCCCTCTCACCTCCCCTTCTTGTGGGGGTTGGGCAGAAAAAACAAAATCTTGTAACAAATATGCATAATCAAACAAAACAGATTCCCACATTGGCCGCATCTAGAAGTGTATATATATCATTCTCGCTCTCTTCATTCCCAAACTGCTACATTCCTTTGGACTTCTCCTTTATGCCCCATTCTGAGTACCTTTCTTTCCACCCCCTTACAATTTTCAACATCCTTTTGTGTATTGTCTTCTCCACATTAAATTGTAAGCTCCTTGAGGGCAAGGACTGTCTTTTTCATATTTATGTCCCTAGTATTTAGTACAGTGCCTGATACGTTGTAGGTTTTTCATTTATTATTTATTTAATTTATTGGCTGGCAAACTCATTCTCCATCTTGAATTAGTGTATGCTTCATCATCAGTTCTTGGAAACTTGTGGCTGGTCATTTGTATTGGTCAGAGTTCTTAGGTCTTTCAATGTTGTTTGTCTTTACAGTATTATTGTTATTGTATAAAATGTTCTCCTGCTTCTGCTTACTTCACTATATCAGTTCATACAGGTCACTTCTTTCTTTGATCTTTTTGGGGTATAGGCTTAGTTGTGGTGTTGCTAGGTCAAGGCTGCATATATATTTTAGTACCTTTGCATAGTTTCATTAACTGTTTCCTAGATGGCTAGTCCAGTTCAGAGTTAAATGTGCCTTTTTTCCTGAACCTCCTCTGACATTTGCCATTTTATTTTTTTGTCAACTTTGTCCACCTGATAGGTATGAGGTAGAACCTGAGTTCGTTTAATTTGCATTTCTCTAATTATTAGTGCTTTCAAGCATTTTTCATATAGCTTTTGATAGCTTGGATTTCTTCCTTTGAAAACTGCCTTTTCATATCCTTTGATGACATTTCCCCTAAATCTTTTTTTAGAGTAAGTTTTTATTGCTGTTATCTGTTTCTTACATCACCATGGTATCTTATATATCCTTCCTCCTCTCCCTCTCCAAGAGCCATCCCATATGACAAATAGTATTTTTTAAAAGAGGAAAAGAAAAGTCAGCACAACTGAAACAATGCATTGAAAAGGTCTAAAACCATGGAATGTTTAACACCTGTGGGTCTCACATCTCCATAAAGGCTTGTAAGTTGGGTGGGTCTTCTCATCTTTTCATTCCAGTCCTACTTGATCTTTGTAATTTTGTTACATTTACTTTTGACTTTTTTTTTGGTACATGATTATTCTTTCCATTTACATTGTTGTAATTACTATGTGTATTATTTTTTGACTCTACCTACTTCACTATCAGTTTGAATAGATGTCTCCATTTTTCTCTGTATTTATTATACACGTTTCTTAAAGCATGGTAGTATTTCATTACATTCATGTACTACAATTTGTTTAAATGTTTCCCAGTGGATGGGCATGTACTTTGTTTCCAATTTTTAGCTGTTACAAAAAGTACTGTTTTCAATATTTTGGGGTGTATGTGTACTTTTTTCTTATCAGTGGCTTTCTTAGGGTATAAGCCCAATAATGGAGTTTCTGGTTCAAAGGATATGGATATGTTAGTGCTTTAGTTGCATAATTCCAGATTGCTTTCTAAAATAGATGTACCATTTCATATTTGTGTTAGTGCGTCTCTCTTTTCACAACTTCTCCAACATTGCTGCCATTTTTGCCAATTTGCAGAGTGTGAGGTAAAACTTTAGGATTATTTTAATTTACATTTCTCTTACTATTAGTGATTTGGAGCATTTTTTCACATGGTTGTGAATACTTTTCTTCCTTTGTGAACTGTTTGTTTATATCCTGTGACTATTTATTATTGAATTTCCTCTAAATCTTAAAAGCTAATGGAAAGAGTAAGGATGGATGCTGTTGACAGTAGAAGTAAATTGGGGGACATTGTGGAAGTGTTAAGTGGGAAAGCAGGGACTTTTCTTTGGTAGTGCACTTATTAGCAGTCAATAATCTTCTTGAAGAGATAGGACAAAGTTATAAGTATATATGGCAGCAACTGTGATCACCCTGGTTACCCTTTGAAATTGATGTACATTTCACTAGCTGGAGGACCTGTGGAGTAGATAGACATTTAAAGATAGGCTGTTACTACTTTGGAAAAAGTAGGTTTTCCTAAGCATTGAAAATTCCCTGGCAGAAAGTGCAGTCAGTTGTGAGTAAAGGAGGACTGGGAAGTTTTGGTTGATCAAACCAATGACAGTAAAATTCTTGTTCATCCTGTATCAGTTAATTCAAAATAATATGTAATTTGAAATTCTGAGTTAACTAGGTTCCCTTTTGTTCTTTAATAAAAATGAGATGGTGTCCCAAACCTATTCAGGTCTGTAGTGTTTCAAATTATCAAGATCTTACTATGATTCTAGCTTGTTACAAAGGAAATACATTCATATAACATGATGATAGTAATAAATATAGTGTAATGGCAATAATCAAAGGAGCACCCTTCCCTTTTGTATCTTCAAACTGTGAATTATTTTAGCCCACTGAAAGATGTGCGGATCTGCCTCTGAGGACATCCCCAGTTCCTCCTACATTCTCGTACCCAACTTTGACCACCTGTCTATAGCAGTATTTTCATAAGATTTACTGTAAGAAATTCTGACTTTATTATATTATTTAACTTTTTAATGTGTTTTTCCCCCAATGAACTCTCCTATAGGTAATGATTTTACATGACTTGCGAGCTGGCCTCTAGTGGGAATCTGTGGGAGGATGAACACGGAGGAGCTGGAGTTACTGAGTGACTCCAAGTACAGGAATTATGTAGCAGCAATTGACAAAGCACTCAAGAATTTTGAATACTCCAGTGAATGGGCAGACTTAATATCTGCGCTTGGGAAGCTTAACAAGGTATGTTTTTCCTCTTCACACTGAGCAAAGAAATAATTATCAGGAAAACATATTTTAGTTTTATGAGTTAATGGGTCTTTAAAGATTAAAATATGGAATTAAAAAACATAAAATTTTTATTCTGCATTGGGAAGGACAAAATTTTCACATTTGTAACTAGCAAAATAACTTTTTGTTTTCATAGCATTAAAATTTTAAATTAACTAATTCTCTTTAACATCTATTGAGGACCTCTCACTACCATTTTATGCCAGATTTTGCTTTACAACAACTGTAGTGTTTGACTTTCTTAAAATGGCTGGTACACTAAAGTCCATGGAATCAGTGAGAGGACATTATTTTATCTCTCATGTACATTTGTCCTTAAAGGATACCTTATAGAAGAAGAAAGAATATTCTGCCAGAATGGGAAAGATTTTTTAAAAAAAAATTTTTGAGACGATAATGAGACACAGAAAAGGGGGAGAAAATAATCATAAACCGTTTTTTCTTAGTAACTACTTATATTTTGCATTCATAATTATGTAAAAATATTTATGTAGCAGCTAGGTACTAATAATGCTAATAAATATGTAATCAATAGTAATAGATTATTAATAGTATCATAGTAATAGTGTGAATAGTAGTAAATTGACATAATTTGGTTTGTTAATGAGCATTAAAACAGAAAGTGGATGCTGGCCCCCAAATCATTCTCTGTCCATTCTAAAGGAGTTCAGCACCTGGCATATCTTTCTTTCTTCCTCAACTCCTGCCCTTATAATAGAGGATTTTAATGTCCACATTGATGCTCCCTCAAACTCCCTAACCTACCAATTCCTAGTTTCTTTTATTCCTATGACCTACTTCTTTAAACCACCACACATATAAAGATGGTCGTACAATAGACCTCACTATTACCTGCAATCGTTCCACACCTCCAATTAGAAACTCAGTTTTTACCCTGTCTGACCATAACCTACTCTCCCTAATGCCTCATTCTTCCTAAACCTATGCTTCACCTTCACCAAGACCAACAGTGACTCAACCCTTCAGTATTTTCATGGGTCATTATTCCCTATTCTGGCTTCACTTTTCTTCCCCTCCACCTTCAATCTTATAACTGTCCTCTGCTCTTAATGTACCTTGCCCCCTTATCCTATTGCTGCAACTGTTGTTAAACCTTTGCCCTGGATTATTCCCACAGTCTCCTCCCCTCCTACTCACAAGCTCCTGAACCCTGCTGCAGAAAATCTCCATAACTTTGTGATAACTGTATACAATGAAAATTCATGTTATCCAATGTCAGCTGAGCCTTCACTGCAGCAAGGCAGGCCTTTTATTTCTCCCTAATAAATTCTTTACTTCAGTTTCCCCAGAAGCTATTCCAATTGTCTCTTCTATCCATAAGCCCTTCTTGCATCTCCTTTACTGCTCTTTCTCAACTGAGAATATTGTCTGTTACTTGACTGAAAAGTTTGAGGCCAATCAATGTGAGTTCACTTTCTTCCCCTTCTTTTCATATTTAAAAAAAAAAAAACTCTTATCTCCCACTTTCTCTTCTTGGACAAAGAATTGGCCCTTCTCCTTGTCAAGGCTATCTATTCTCTTTATATCTACCCTTATTTTTATAAATAATATTTCTTTAAATATTTCTCATTATATATAAAAAAATTAACATTTAAAAAAATTTTGAGTTCCAAATTCTCTTCCTCCCACCCCTCCTCCAGTGGCAAGCAATTTGATATCACTTATACATGTGAAATCATGCAAAACATTTCCATATTGGCCATGTTGCAAAAGAAAACACACAAAAAAGACCAAGAAAAATAAAGAAAGTTAAAAAAAAGGTATGCTTCAATCTGTACTTAGAGTTCATCAGTTCTCACTCCATGGGTGGATAGCATTTTTCATCATGAGTCCTTTGGAATTTTGTTGGATTATTGTCTTGATCAAGTAGCTAAGTCTTTCACAGCTGATGATCATTATAATATTGCTGTTACTGTGTATGATGTTCTCTAGGTTCTGCTTACTGTGCATCAGTTCATATAAATCTTCCCAGGTTTTTTGAAAGCATCCTGCATGTCATTTCTTATAGCACAATAGTGTTCCATCACAATCATATACCACAACTTGTTCAGCCACTCCCCGACTAATGGGCATCCTCTCAATTTCCAATTCTTTGCTACCACAAAAAGAACAGCTATAAATATTTTTGTACAAATGTGTCCTTTTCCCATTTCTTTGATCTCGTTGGGATACAAACCTAGTACTGGTATTGGTGGGTCAAAGGGTATGCAATTTTTTAACTCTTTGGTCATAGTTCCAAATTGTAACTATTGATAGCTTTGAATTTTTTGAAAATTGCCTGTTCATATTCTTTGGCGGTTTATCAATTGGGGAATGGCTCTAATTTTTTTATAAATTTGGCTTAATTCCTTATATATTTGAGAAATGAGACCTTTTGCAGAAAAACTTGCTGTAAAATTTTTTTCCTACTTTCCTGCTTTTCCTTCTAACTTTGGCAGCATTATTTTTGTTTGTGCAAAAATTTTCTCATTTCATGTAATCACAATTATCCATTTTACTTCTCATGATCCTCTCTATCTCTTATTTGGTCATAAACTCTTTCCTTATTCATAGATATGACAGGTACATTTTTCCATGCTCCCCTAATTTACTTTTATGATATCACCCTTTATGTCTAAATTACATACCCATTTTGACCTCATCTTGGTATATGGTTTGAGATGTTGATCTATGCTAGTTTCTGCATTTTCCCAGCAATTTTTGTCAAATGTTTAGTTCTTACCCCAGAAGCTTGGATCTATCAAATACTAGATGATTGTGGTCATTTAATGTTGTGTATTGTTTACATAATCTGTTTCACTGATCTACCAGTCTATTTCTTAGACAGTACCAGATTATTTTCATGATTGTTGTTTTGTAATATAGTTTGAAATCTGTTACTGCTAGGCTGTGCCTTCCTTCTCATTTTTTTTCATCGATTCCCTTGATATTCTTGCCTTCTTGTTCTTTTTTTTTTTTTAAAGGCAATTGGGGTTAAGTGACTTGCCCAGGGTCACACAGCTAGTAAGTGTCAAGTGTTTGGTCTGAGGCCAAATTTGAACTCAGGTCCTCCTGACTTGCCCGGTGCTCTATACGCTGTGCCACCTAGCCACCCCCTTCTTGTTCTTCCAGATGAATTTTGTTATTATTTTTTTTAGCTCTATAAAATAATTCTTCAGTAGTTTAATCGATATGGCCCTTTTACATCTATATTTAAAGGTATCACCTCCTTTCTTCTTCAGCAGATTGTATCCTCAGTCATTACCCTCCTATCAAATTCTCAACCTCCCCTAATCAACTGGTTTCTTCCTTACTGCCTTCATACATCCTTGTCTTCTTCATCCTTAAAAAAACCTTCAGGGGCAGCTAGGTGGCATAGTGGATAGAGCACCAGTCCTGGATTCAGGAGGATCTGAGTTCAAATCTGGCCTCAGATACATAACACTTACTAGCTCTGTGACCCTGGGCAAGTCACTTAACCCCATTGCCTAACCAAAAACAAAACAAAAGAAAACAAAACAAAAATCCAAAACCTTCGTTAGATGCTACCATCCCCAGAAGCCATCTTCCTGGACCTCTCTTCCCCTTCTCAGCCAGTCTCATTCAAAAAGCTGTCTAGACACTTTCTACCTCCATTTTTTTTCTTATTTATTCCTCTTCAACACATTGCAGTCTGACATCTGATTTGATCACACAACTAAAACTGCTCTCTTCAAAGTTAGCAGTGATCTCTTAATTGCCAAATCTATTGAGTCTTTTCTCAGAACTAATCATTCTGGTGCTTTTGACGTAATCACCCTCTCCTCTTGGGTATTCTTTGTTCTTGGGGTTTTTGTGACACTACCGTCTTCTGGTTCTCCTGCCTGTCTCACTGAGGCAGCCTTTTTGAAGTCTCCTTTCCTGGCTCATTGTCCGTATCATGTCGCTTAAGTGGAGATTTTCCCAGATTTCTGTTCTAAACCCTGTTCTTTTCTCCCCTGCATTCTTCTGGTAACCTCATCAGCTCGCGTGAGTTTAAGCTATCATCTTTATACAAAGATGACTCTTTAACTGCTTTGCATAAAGTAAGTACTTAATAAATATTTTATTCATTCATGTGTCTCAGATTGATATATTCAGTCCATCTATCCACTGAGCTTCTAAATCACTAATTATCTTTTGGATATTTCAAACTGGATGTCCTGGAGACATCTTAAGCTAAAAATGTCAAAAATTCAACTTATTATTTTTCTCCCTAACTTTCCCTTTCACACTTTCCTATTTTTGTCCCACACTCTACCGTCCTTCTAGTTTCCCAGGTTCATAATCATCTCTCTCAACCCACACATTGAATCAGTTGCCACGTCTTGCCATTTCTCCTTCACAACATTTCTCACATCCAACTCCCTTATCTAGACTTATAAGCTTAGTTTTACCTGTTCCTTAGTTCAGGCCCTCTTCATTTCATAACCTGGATTATTACAAGTGCCTCACTCCAGTCCACACTCCACACTGCTGACAAAGTGATTTTCCTTAAGCACAAATGTGACTACCCTATTCAACCACATTGGCTTCCTTTTGCCCCTAGGATAAAAAATAAACCCTCATTTTTAGTTTTTAGAGCTCTATACAACTTGTCCCTAACCTATCTTTCCACCCTTATTTAACATCACTTCTCCTCCTAAACTCTGATCTTGCCAAACTGGCCTTCTCTCTATTCCTCACCAACAGCATTCCATCTCCCTGTGCATCTCCAGTGTCTAGAATGTACTTTCTCTTTCCTTTCTTCTACCTTATAAGGTCCCTCTCCTTGACCCTATTCCCTCTGTCTCCTTCAGAGATGTGCTCAAGTACCATATTCTGCATCAAGACTTTCCCTATCCCCACCTTCCCAAATGCTAGTGCCCTCCCTTCTAAACTACCTTGTATTTCACTACCCTTTGTGTGCACATTTATTAACATATTCATGCTGTACATATATTTTATGTGTCCTTGTCTCCCCCATTAAAATGTAGGCTCCTTGTAAGTAGGGACTATTTGCATTTTCTATACTTTAATAAAGCCTGGAACATGTCTGGAATATAGTAGGAATTTAATAAATGCTTATTGGTTGATTGATTTAATTAAAAGCAGTAAGTGGTAACAGATAAAATGAAACATGGGTGATTGCTTTAATGTACTATAAGTGTTTTCTACCAGGTTTTACAAAATAATGCAAAGTACCAGGTAGTACCAAAAAAGCTCACCATAGGCAAACGCCTAGCACAATGCCTGCACCCAGCATTGCCTGGTGGAGTTCATCGAAAAGCACTTGAAACATATGAGATTATCTTCAAAATCATTGGACCTAAGCGCCTTGCCAAAGATCTTTTTCTTTACAGGTAAGTGTCATTTTAGTGTTTATGTACATTGTGTGATTATGCCTCCATGTAAACATTTTATAAAACAAAAAAAAAATTTTATTCATTTCACTATTTTATACTTCTTTAAAAAAAACTCCTTTGTTTTATACTCTTAAAATTAATAAGGAAGCTGATTGCCTTAATGATGACAGGTTTTCAGCTCTTAATATTACAATCTTTGTGTATCTCATTTATACCATTCGGAGACTTTTTTTTTTAAATCTATCATGTTTGGACATGGTGGTACATGCCTGTAATCCCAGCCACTGGAAAGGCTGAGGCTGGAAGATCTCTTGAGCTTGGGAGCTCTGGGTTGTAGTAGACCATGCCAGTTAGGTGTTTGTCATTAATATCTTTTGCTCGTAGGAACAAGAGGTACAGGGAGGACCTGGTTGCCAAAGGAAGGGTAAACCAACCTAGGTTGGAAACAGAGCAGGTCAATTCTTTGCCTGTGACTACTGGCATAGGACCTATGAGTAGTCCCTATTCTTCCAACAAGGGAGACATGGGGGGACACAGTCTTTAAAAAATTAAATCTATTATTTATTATGTTTCTTTCTTCCATCTTCATTGTTTATAGAATCACAAATGTGAGCCTTGGTGACTCAGTGGGGTAGTCATGTCTTTTGTAGTAATAGAGAAGTTTGGAAAAGGAGAGAGTAGAGGAAGGAAAGATGTTAAGTTCCATTTAGGACATGTTGAGTTTGAGATGCCAGTGGGACATCCATTTTGAGATGTCTAAGACGAATTTTTGTTTTGTTTTGTTTTTTTGTTTTTTTTTTGGTTAAGCAATGGGGGTTAAGTGACTTGCCCAGGGTCACACGGCTAGTAAGTGTTATGTGTCTGAGGCCAGAGTTGAACTCGGGTCCTCCTGACTCCAGGGCCGGTGCTCTATCCACTGCGCCACCTAGCTGCCCCTAAGACAAATTTGGTAATATGAGACTGGAGCTCAGGAAAGAGGATTGGACTAGATATGTAGATATGGGAATCACCTGCATTGAGATGATAATTGAACCCATAGAAACTGATGAAATCACCAAGCAAGATAGTATGGGGAAAGAAGAGAAGAGAGTCTAGGACAGAACCATTGTAGACACCCAGAGTTAATAATAAAGCTTTAGTTTTCAAAGTGCTTTACAAATGTTATCTCATTTGACTACCCACAACCCTCTGATATAGGTGCTATCACTATCCCCATTTTTTAGAAAAAGAAACTGAATCTAAGAAGTTTTGTGACTTGCCCAATGCCATATAGCTAGTAAGTGTCTAAGGCAGTATTTGAACTCAGATCTTCCTGACTCCACATCTACTCAAACTACTGCTTTACCTACCTGCTTTTAGGGGACATGACTTGAATAAAGATTCTGTCAAGAAGGTTGTGAAGGAGTGCTTATACCAGTAGGAGGGAACCAGGTAAAAACCTAGAGAGGAAAGAGTATTCAGGAGAAGAGTGATTGACAGGTTGCAGAGGTCAAAAAAGGATGATGCTTGTGCTAGCCGTTAAATTAGATTTTGCAATTGAGAGATCTGACTGCATTTATGGCTCCTTCTGTTTCTTTTACTGAGATTGGGTTATTCAAAATCTATTTCTTGTTCTGTTAATCAGATTTTAAAATTTTTATACACATGTATTCGTTCACTTAATTTAAATTGTCAGTTTTGTTGGCATGTAATTTAGCAAAATGATTTCTAATAATTTCCTGGAATTTTTTTCTTTTGTAGTGATTTCTCCTTTGTCACTTAGGATATCAGTATATTGATTTTCTTTTCTTCTAAGTAGGTTAGTTAATGATTTATCTATTTAATTAATTTTTCACAATAATCCAGCTCTTAGTTTTATTTATCAATTCAGTGGGATTTTTATGCTTTCAGTTTTGTTCATCTCTTGATATTCAGGATTTCTATTTTTTTGTTTGTTTGTTTAGTTGAGTTTTTTTATTGATGAAAGTATTTAGTGATAAAAAAACTTCTCCTAAGGACTGTTCTGATTGCATCCCACAAATTTTTATATATTCTTCTATTGTCATTTTCTTTGTTCATTGATGCTTTTTCATTTTGTTTGTTTGCTTTTTGGTGAGGCAGTTGGGGTTAAGTGATTTGCACAGGGTCAGTCATAAGCTAGTGAGTAGCATGTGTTTGAGTCAGGATTTGAACTCAGGTCCTCCTGATTCCAGGACTGGTGCTCTATCCACTGTGCCACCTAAATGCCCCCATTTTCTTTGTTTAAATTGTCTATTGTTTATGCATTTGTTCTTTGACTCACCAATTCTTTAGGATTAGATTATTTAATGTTCATTTAAGTTTTAATCCTTTCTTTAAAAGCCCTTTATTGATTATAATGTTTATTGCATTGTGGTCAGCAAAAAATATGTTTTATATTTTTTCTGCTTTTGTTTATGAGATTTTTCTTGCCCTATTATATGGCCAATGTTCTATAGGTGCCATGCACAGATAAGAGTAAAAAATATGTGTATTCCTTTCTATTTCCAGTCAGTATTTGAACTGTCACTAACCTTTCTGAACTTATTTTGAGTCTCTTAATTTCTTTTTTTTTTAAATAAAAAATAAAAAAATAAAATTTCTTTTTTTATATTTTTGTTGTTTTTGTCAAGGTCTGAGATAGCTGTTATAGCTTTGGTGGCATAGTAGATAAACTTCTGGACTTACAGTTAGGAAGGCCCAAGTTCAAATGTGACCTCAAGTACTTACTAACTGTGTGGCCCTGGGCAAGTCACTTAACCTCTTTCAGCCTCAGTTTCCTCACTTGTAAAATGGGGATAATAATAGCACCTTCTTTCCAGGATTGTAGCAAGGATAAAATTAGTTAATATTTATAAAGTGCCTTGTATACCTTAAAGGATTCTCTAAGAGCTTATTTTTGATATTATTTCTCCCTGTGATTTGATTAGCTTTTCCTTTAAGTATTTAGATGCTATGTCATTTGATATATATTAAGTAGTAACATTATTTCATTTCAGTTTCAGTGTTTCTCTTTTAGCCATTTCTGTTTTTGCTATTGCCTTGTCTGATATCTTTATGTATATAAATGTATGTATATAAATATAGATATATATCTGTATGATAGCTTTATCATAATCTGATATGATTGCTGTCTCTCCTTTTTAAAATTTCACCTCTGCTTCTGCCCCTTATTTTAACTCTGTATGAATACTTCAGATGCAGTTCTTGTAAACAACATACTGTTAAATTCTTTCTATTCTATTTTGTTATCCTCTTCCTTCCATTATAGGGGGGGTTAATCCCATTTCCATTTATGGTTATTATAGTTAATTGTATATTTCAATCTATCCTGTCCTCTTATACTTTTTCATCTCTTTGACCCCATTCCCCCACCCATGTCTTTACCAAGAAGTAGAATGAGCCATGTGATCAGCACTAGTCATCTCCAATTGGAAGACATATGCTTTTACTGCTCTGCTCCTCATCTCTTCTCTAACCTGATTACTGCTTCTTACACATTTTTTCCTTTTATTTTCCTCATTGTTTATATTATTCTCCTCACATCAGTTCATGCAAATCTTTCCATGTTTCTCTGAATTCTTTATATTCATCACACATTACAATTTTTGCACAATAATTTTTCATTACATTAATATACCACAATTTTTTTTATCCATTCTTAAGTTGGTGGGAATCCATTTAGTTTCCAATTCTTTACCACCATAAAAATGTACTTCTCTGAATGTTTTCTTATATGTGAGGCCTTTCTTTCTTTGAGTTTTATATTCAGTACTGTGATCTCTGGGTATGTATGTTTAGTAGTTAAGCGCAACAGACGAGTGTTTGACAAATTTAAGAACATTAAGAGAGGTGGAAGAGCCAAGATGGCAGAGTAAAGGCAAGGACTCACCTAAGCTCTCCCTCAAACCCTCCAAATACCTTAAAATAATGATTCTAAACAAATTCTAGAGTGGCAGAATCCACAAAAGGATGGAGTGAAACAATTTTCCAGCCCAAGGCAACTTGGAAGATCTGTTGCACCAGAGTGAGAGAGGAGCACAAACCATACCAGTGCAGACTGGGCCCCAGCAAATGAGGAGCACATCTTGGGGCAACTGAATCACACAGCAGTGGCGGTTTCCAGACTGTTCAGTCCACAGATGCAGAACCCACAAAAGGATGGGGTGAAATAATTTTCCAGCCAAAGGCAACTCTGAAGTTTGGCAGGAAAGGTCTGACACACCTGGGTGGGAGTGGAGCACAGTCCAGCACAGGCCATGCCAGCACAGCCCTACTCCCAGCAAAACAGGAGCAGGCCTTGAGAACCGAATCAGCAGCAACAGCAGCTGCTTCTGGAGCTCTCAGCCCACAGACGGTAAGGTAGTTGAACAACTGATCAAAAGGAAATTACAGGGGTCTCTTTGCTAGCACTGAGGCAGGACTTTGTTGCTTTGCCCATACTCATATCTGGGTAGCAGTCCAGGGCAAAGAGGAGTGCTAGCAGATCAGAGCTTGCAGCCATGGTAGAGCAGACACTGGTCACAGTTCCAGGGCAGAACAGGGTGCTTGTAGTTGCTCACAGACCACAGCACAGGCCAGGAGAGGAGTAAACACCTCTCTTTAGATCATACCACCTTGAAAGAACTGAAAACTTACAGGTTCCTAGAAGTATCTCTGAAAACAGCTGCACAAAACTCCTGAAGTCCGGGATAGTGTGCCCTCTGCTCTGGAAGCAGAGCCCTACTTTAACAAAGAGTTAAAAGTCAAGTAATAGGCTGGGAAAATGAGCAAACAGAAAAAAATTTTTACCCTAGAAAGTTACTACAGTGACAAGGAAGATCAAAACACATGCTCAGAAGAAGACAACAAAGTCAAAGCTCCTACATCCAAAGCCTCCGAGAAAATATGAATTGGTCTCAGGCCATGGAAGAGCTCAAAAAGGATTTTTAAAATCAAGTAAGAGAGATAGAGGAAAAATTAGGAAGAGAAATGAGAATGATGCAAGGAAATCATGAAAAAAAGAGTCAACAGCTTGGTAAAGGAGACAAAAAAATACTGAAGAAGAAAATACCTTAAAAAAAAATGGACTAGGCTAAACCTCTTTTATATGATAGAGGTACAAAAAGCCAAGGAGGAGAATGCCTTAAAAAGCAGAATTGGCCAAATGGAAAAAGAGGCACAAAAATTAACTGAAGAAAATAATTCCTTAAAAATTAGAATTGAAAAATTACAATGGAAGCTAATGACTTTATGAGAAATTGGGAAACCATGAAACAAAACCAAAAGAATGAAAAAATAGAAGACAAGGTGAAGTATCTTACTGGAAAAAAGTCTGGAAAATAGATCCAGGAGAGATAATTTAAAAATTACTGGACTACCTGAAAGCCATGATCAAACAAAAGAGCCTAGACATCATCTTTCAAGAAATTATCAAGGAAAACTGCCCTGATATTCTAGAACTGGAGAGTAAAATAGAAATTGAAAGAATCCACCGATCTCCTCCTGAAAGAGATCCCAAAATGAAAACTCCCAGAAATATTATAGCCAAATTCCAGAGTTCCCAGGTCAAGGAAAAAATATTGCAAGCAGCCAGAAAGAAACAATTCAAGTATTGTGGAAACATAATCAAGATAACACAAGATTTAGCAGCTTCTACATTAAGGTACAAGAGGGCTTGGAATATGATATTTCTGAGGTCAAAGGAGATAGGATTACAACCAAGAATCACCTACCCAGCAAAACCGAGTATAGTCATTCAGGGGAAAAAATGGTCATTCAGTGAAATAGAGGACTTTCAAGCATTCTTGATGAAAAGACCAGAGCTGATTAGAAAATTTGACTTTCAAATACAAGACTCAAGAGAGCATAAAAAGGTAAACCAGAAAGGGAAATCATAGGGGACTTATTAAAGTTGAACTGTTTACATTCCTTCATGGAAAGATGATATTTGTAACTCATGAGACCTTTCTCATTATTAGGATAGTTGGATAAAATATATATAGAAGGCATAGGGTGAGTTGAATATGAAGGGATGATATCTAAAAAAGAAAATTAAGGAGTGAGAGAGGAATGTACTGGGAGAAGGAGAAAGGGAGAGGTAGAATGGGGTAAATTATCTCACATAAAAGAGGCAAGAAAAAGCTTTTACACTGGAGGGGAAGAGGGGTTAAAAATGCTCAAACTCACTATTGATTGGAGAAATTCAAATTAAAACAATTCTAAGATATTGCCTCATACCTATTAGATTGGCTAATAGGACAGAAAAGGGAAATGACACATAGTGGGAGGGGATGTGGGAAAAATGAGACATTAATGTACTATTGGTGGAGTTGTGAACTGATTCAACCATTCTGTAGAGCATTTGGAATTATGCCAAAAGGACTATAAAGCCATGCATACCCTTTTGATCTAGCAATACCACTATTAGGTCAGTATACCAAAAGAGATAAAAAACAAAAAGGGAAAAGACCTATATGTACAAAGGTACTTATAGCAGCTTTTTTCTGGTGGCAAAGAATTGGAAATTGAGGGGATGCTCAGCAATTGGGGAATGGTTGAACAAATCGTGGTATGTGATTTTTATAGAATACTGTTGTACTGTAAGACATGATGAGCAAGATGCTCTCAGAAAAACCTTACATGAGCTAATGCAAAGTGAAATGTACTGTGAACAAAGGTACAGCAGTATTGTGAGATGATCAGCTGTGAATGACTTAGCTATTCTCAGCAATACAATCATCCTAGACAACTAAAGAAATTATGATGAAAAATGCGATCCATTCCCCAGAGAAAGAACTGATGGTGTCTGAATACAGATTGAAGCATACTTTTTTTACTTTATTTTTCTTGAGGGTGTTTTTTTATCTATGTTTTCTTTCACAACATGACTATTATGGAAATGTTTTACGTAACTACACACGTATAACCTATATCAAATTGCTTGCCTTCTCAGTGGGGGTGAGGTGGGGAGGGAGGAAAGGAAAAAATGTGGAACTCAAAAGTTTTAAAAACAAATGTTAAAAATTGTTTTTCCACGTAAATGGGGAAAAATAAAATACTAAATTAAAATAAAAAAGAACACCAAGAGAGGAGGCAGGGCTCCCTGTTGCTGAGATACTGAAAAGTAGTTTGGTGGAAATTGGGTTTAGACTAACCACTTGCAGCGTATGCCACAGCTAGTTCCAGATAGATACATGTATATAGAAAAAGTCACGTCATTTTGAAAAATAGAGATCAATACTTTTCGTAACTATGGATAGTGGGGAAGACTTAACAAATAAAGGATTAAAGAGGTCATAAAATAGAAAATTTTTGTTACATAAAAATTAAATGATTTTGCATAAAATCAGTGAAATTAGAATAAGAGGAAGACAAATAGAAAAAAAAAATCAGATAACAAGATTGGCCACGCGTGGTTAGATGGTAATTGTTCCTAAAAAAATATCCTGGAGTTTTAATGGACTATGACCTCAACATGAGTCAAAAGTGTCATTATGGCATCCAAGAAAGTTAGTCTTATGAGTAAGCTATATTAATAAGAAATTGCTTTAAGGTGTAAAAGAGCCCTAGCTCTTCTGTCACTTCACTTCACAGAACCGCTCCCCCGCAACAAAATATTTAAAGGCCTGTTACAGAACAGTTGCAGATCTACATCGATAGGGGGATTTTCCTCATCCTTCCTACACCAATGATTTCAGCCTAGAGAAGATCAGACTTTAAGGATAAACTATTTGCTTTCAAATATTTAAAGTGCTGTCATCTGGAAGAGAGATTGAAACTTGTTTTGTTTGGCCTCAGAGGGCATAACTAGGAACATCAGGTAGAATTTATAACAAGGCAGATTTAGTCATGGTCTTAAGACATAGTTATCAGGTGGGTGGTGATCATGAGCTGCATGTGGCCCACAGTACTCCCAAGTGCAGCCTGAACTAGACCAAAATGTAACTGAGGAATATTTATAAAATAAATAAAAATATGGTACAACATGGATAATATTATATTTTAAAACTAAGTCAATCTATAGCTTTAAGGAATCCTTATGGACAGGTTAGTGGTCCCAGTTTATATTTGAGTTTGACCCTATCGCTCCAAGGTATAATTTCCTAACAGACCTGTCCAGGAGAATGTGGAGGCAGAGGTGGGGTGGGGTAATTTAAAAGGTGGCAGATTCCCCCTCATTTAAAATATTCAAGCAAAGGCTGGTGACCACTTGCCAGGCATATAGTAGAGGCGATTGTTTTACAAATATGGGTTGGGTTAGATAATCACTGAGTTATCTTCCAACTTTGAAATTTTTTGGATCTGAACATTTTAAATTTAACCATGGCCAGCCAGAGTATTTCTGGCATATACACTCCCTTCAAAGTAAATCTTTTTGTGCAACATATAGTGGCTGTTATGTGAATTCATCAAATTTTAGTGATCATTCTCTCTCCATTGGTACCTTTCATGTTACATCCTGCTTTCTTTTCCTTATTGCTTCTTGACCTTATCCTTTCACAGATCCTCCTAAGATCCTGGAGACTTTTTGGTTCTTATAATAGAGGGATTCATATACTAGAGGGTATTCTTTCATTCTTTCTGTTATAGACTTCAAGTTATCCATCTATTATTGTCCATATTGGTGGAATATTAATATTTAGCAAGTTATTTTTGTTTTTCATTTTTTTCCCCAACAGTTCTGGGCTTTTTCCTCTTCTTGCCAATGCTGCCATGTCCGTTAAACCAACACTGCTAAGTTTATATGAGATTTATTACCTACCTTTGGGTAAAACATTAAAGCCTGGTCTGCAAGGATTGTTAACTGGAATTCTGCCTGGCTTGGAGGAAGGGTCAGAGTACTATGAAAGGTGAGACAATTGGAATTCATTTGGCAGGGGTTACTTGTGATGGTAAATAATAAACAAACAACTTGTTAGTTGCTTTCCTAAGATCTTTTATGTTTTGGCATCAGTTTAGATTATAGTGCTTACAGATCTTCCATAGAATCTGAAGTTGGAACAGATTTGAGATTAAATGATAATATAACAATTAGCATATAATAAATAATAACATAGCAGTACATAATGTAATTATATACTAACATTAACCAGTACAGTCCTTTATTTTGATGGTGCGGACACTGAGGCCCAGGGAGTTGAAGTGACTTGCCTAAGGTCACGCAGGTTGAAAATAGAGGCAGTATTTGAAACTAGATTCTTCAACTCTAAATACAATGCTGTCTTTAATCATCAGGAAAGTTCTATCCCCTGTATTTTTCCTAATAATAATTTTATTTATAATGTTACATGAATTTAGGGGGTAAAATGTTTTCTTATGAGATACTTTCAGTGGACAAAAATTATACTCACCAGAGTTCACCAAAATTGGTCATTGTGGAACCAGGCTTTCTAAAATTCCTTGCCAAGCGTTTATTCTACCAGGTAATGATGTGGAGATTTTAAGTGTTTGGACTTTGCTTTCATCTAGCTTGCAGAAATTTCTAACCTATTTCTCTTTCTTTTGAAGGGGATATTTTAAGTGATGATTTATTTAAACAAAAATTGGATGACAGTCTACTTTTAAAAATCGCATTAAGAATTTTCTTTTAAAGAAAATAAAAACTTGCTTTTTTATTAAAGGCATTAATAGATTTGATTAAAATGTTTGTAATAAGACAATTTTAATTTTTACTATCCTTAATTTTCTCCCTTTGTGAAATCCTTAGATAGTACTAGAGAATAATAGCCTTATAAATTGCTTTAAGAATAAGCACCTATTAATATGTTTAATATGAATGTAAATGTATAGCCTATATCAGATTGTGCGCCGTCTTGGGGAGGGTGGTGGGGAGGAAGGGGGAGAAAAATTTTAAACTCAAAAGCATATAGAAGTGATTATTGACAAATCAAAATAAATTAATATAAAAAAAAGAATATGTACCTATTGAAAACTGCCCTGATATTTTAGAACCAGAGGGCAAAATAGAAATTGAAAGAATCCACTGATCTCCTCCTGGAAGAGATTCCCAAAGGAAAACTCCTAGGAATATTGTAGCCAAATTCCACAGTTCCCAGATCAAGGAGAAAATATTACAAGCAGCCAGAAAGAAACAATTCAAGTATTGTGGAAACACAATCAGGATAACACAAGATTTAGCAACTTCTACATTAAGGAACTAGAGGGCATGGAATGTAATATTCCGGAAGGCAAAGGAGATAGGATTATAACCAAGAATCACCTACCCCAGCAAAACTGAGTATAATCCTTCAGGGGAAAAAATGCTGATTCAGTGTAATAGAGGACTTTCAAGCATTCTTGATGAAAAGACCAGAGCTGAATAGAAAATTTGACTTTCAAATACAAGACTCAAGTGGAATATGAAGAGGTAAACAGGAAAGAGAAGTCATAAGGGACTTATTAAGGTTGAACTGTTTATTCCTGCATGGAAAGATGATATTTATAACTCATGAGACCTTTGTCAGTATTAGGGTAGTTGGAGGGAAAAAATTATATACGTGTGTATATATATAGATAGATAGATAGATAGAGATATACATATAAAGAGATATATAGATAGATAGGGGCACAGGGTGAGTTGAAGATGAAAGGGTCACATCTGGAGAATAAAATTAAGGGGTGAGAGAGGATTATACTGGGAGAAGGAGAAAGGGAGAGGTAGAATGGGGTAAATTATCTCACACACAAAAAAAAAACAGAAAAGAAAAGGCTCTTACGGTGGAGGGGAAACAGGAGAAGGTGAAAGGGAATGAGTGAATCTTATTCTTATAGGATTTGGCGTAAGGAGGAAATAAAATACATACTCAGTTGGGTATGGAAATCTGTCTTACCCTACAGGAAAATAGGGGGAGAAGGGGACAAGAGAGCGGAGGAATGATAGAGAGACAGGCAGATTGGGAAAGGGGGTAATCAGAAGCAAACACTTCTGGAGGGACAGGGTCAACAGAAAGAATAGAATAAATGGGGGGGCGGGATAGGATTAAGGGAAATAGTCAGTTTTTCACAACATGACTACTATGGAAGTGTTTTGCATAACTGCACATGTATAACTTATATTGAGTTGCTTGCCTTTTCAATGAGGGTGGGTGGGAAGGGAGGAAGGGAAAAAATTTGGAACCCAAAGCTTTAAAAACACATGTTTTAAAAAAAAAATGTTTTCTCTTACAACTGAGAAATAAGAAATACAGGAAATGGGGTACAGAAATCTATCCTGCCCTACAGAAAAATAGAAAGGGACGGGGATAAGAGAAGGGGGGAGAGATAGAAGGGAGGGCAGACTAGGGGAAGGGGTATTCAGGATGCATGCCATCTTAGGGTGGGAGGAGGGGCGAGATGGGGTGAAAATTTGGAACTCTAAATCTTGTGGAAGTAAATGTTGAAAACTAAAAATAAATAAATTCAAAAAAATAAAAAAAAGAATAAGCATCTATTTAAGTGCTGAGCACTGCTATTCTTAAAACTTACATTAACCCAGCTTTTAATAACCTATTATGTAATAATATATAATAAATAATAATAATTATATGATAACCTTTAACAATAATGCATTTTGCTTATTTGCTTACTGTTTTTGGACAGTGGTTCTACAGTAGTTGATTTTATTTAGTTCGTAAATCTGTCTCTTGGTGTCTTTTAGATGTCTTCCAGGTTTTTTAATAAGGTCCAAAATTATACATGAAAAGCTGTATGTCATGACTGTAGTTGAAAGCATAATACATGTAGTATTAGTACTATTCAATTAGTAGACTTCATTGCTTTGGAACCAAAGTTGTTCATGTTTTATTATGTTCTTTGTTATTCTAAATAGTATCTCAATGAAGTGGTTTGTTAGGTTTGTCCCTTGTTTAACTATAAGTAAATTGAGGCAATAGAAGATGATGGTTTTTGCTTGACATCACAAAGCAAGTGAGCCAGGAAGCTTGATCCTAAAATTGATATGATTCTGTCTTAAGTCTTAAAACTTGGCTTAAAACAAATAGAAAGCAATCAGTATTAAAATATGGTATTAAATAAAGTGATAAAAAAAAAGTTTTGTTTTTCTCAGTGTGTAATGTTATAAATTAGTTTGTTTTGGTTTTTTTGAGGCAATTGGGGTTAAGTGACTTGCCCAGGGTCACACAGCTAGTATGTGTCAAGTGTTTGGTCTGAGGCCGGATTTGAACTGAGGTCCTCCTCACTTCAGGGCCTGTGCTGTATCCACTGTGCCACCTAACTTTCCCTGCAAATGTTATAAATTAGAAAGTCTGCATTGCATGGTAGGCTGCTAGAATTAAAGTCAAGAAGACTTGGGAAATCCCATTTCCAATACTTACCAGCTGTGTGAACAATGCCACACTTAAAAATCTGAGTATAAATTGCTTCATCTTTAAGACAAGAATAACCTGTAGTATCTACTTCACAGGGTTGTTGTAAGGATTAAATGAGTTAGTATTTGTAAAGCACTTTGCAATCCTTAAAGTGCAATATAAAGTTGGTTATTATTAGTGACAATATCAATAACAATAAATTATATAACACAGAAGTTCAAAGAAAACATTAGAGAAACTCTTAAAATATTTTAAGCCACTGAACATGTCTCATAGCAAGAATAGTACTTGTTTTTCCTAAGCAGATATGTGCCATTCGTTTATGTTTTCATGGAAGAGCATTTTATTTTAATGTGTTTGAAACAAAACTCTTGAATAAATCTTTTGTTTTGTGCTTTAGAACTAACACCTTGTTGGAGAAGGTTGCTGCTGCAGTGGATCAGTCAGCATTCTACAGTGCCCTCTGGGGTAGTCTTCTTACCAGTCCTGCTGTTCGTTTACCTGGAATCACTTATGTTCTCTCCCATTTGAACAGGAAGCTTTCAATGGAGGATCAACTTTATATAATTGGCAGTGATATTGAACTAATGGTATGTATTAAAATATTTCTGTTTTCACTAAAAAGTTGCATATACCACCATAGTTATTATGTTGCTGGGATTTCTTTAAAATCTTTACAAATCTTTGTACAATTTAAAATAGCTTCATTCTTTTTTATTTAAATTTTTTATTATGAACTTAATCATTCATAAATACGTCATTTCAGTAAAGAACAAAGAGAATTGTATATGAAGCCCTGAACTTCTGTTGTATAAATTTTGTTTTGATAAAAGTGAATATTAAATTTAAGTGGTAACAAAATTTCCCCTTTTTTTCATCTCTTTGTTTTCTTCTGTGTTACTTAATATTTTATTTAAAAAATTTTTTGTATCTCTGTCAATGTTTACTTATTCACATACTTCCCTCTTTCCCCTAAGAGAAGGCCTTCCCTTTTAACAAATAAGTAAAGGGGAACAAAAAAATCAACACATTGGCTATTTCTTAAAATGTATGCTTCATTCTGCACCTCTAATACATCACCTCTGCTAAGAGGTAAAAGTCATGTTTCCTTGTGTTGATCACTGAGTTAATCAGATTTTGGAAGTCTTCCAAATTTGTTTTCCATTACATTATTGTTATTATCCTGTAAATTCTCTTGAGTCTGCTCATTTTACTGTGTATCAGTTCATACAAGTTTTCCCAAGTTTCTCTGAATCAGTCAAGTCATCATTTTTAGTGTAGTCATTACTTTTTTGTGTGTGTGTGAGGCAACTGGGATTAAGCGACTTGCTCAGAGTCACACAGCCAGTGAGTGTTAAGTGTCTGAAGCTGGGTTTGAACTCAGGTCCTCCTGACTCCAGGGCCTCTAGCAGCCCTTAGTCATTACTTTTTATTTACAAACTACAACTTGTTTAGCCTTACCTGTTGTTGGGCTTCTACTTTATTTCTAGTTCTTTGCTGCCATAAAAAGTGCTACTATAAATATTTTGATGTATTTGGGGCTTTTCTTGTTGTCATTGATTTCCTTGTTTTATATATCCAATGATGGAATTGTTGGCACAAAGACTGTAAGTATTTTAGTTTTATTTGCATTGTTCCAAATTGCTTTTCAAAATGTTTGGACCAGTTCACAGCTTCACTGACAGTGCATTAGTGTGGCTATCTTTTTATAACTCCTCCAGCACAGATTATTCCTAACTTTTGTCATCCTTGCCAAATTCTGTGTGAGGGGAAACCATGGTGCTGTTTTGCTTCCCATTTAACCACTTATGTTCTTATCTTACCTGAAATTTATTCAGGAAAAAGCTTTTCAATTTCATGTAATCAAAATTTCTTTTTTTTTGTAGTATTTTATTTTTTTCAATTACATGTAAAGAAAGTTTTTAACATTCTCTTTTATAAAATTTTGAGTTCCAGACTTTTTTCTCCCACCCTCCTTCCTGTCTCCCCTCCCTAAGATGACAAGCAATCTGATATAGGTTATATATGTACAATCTTAATAAAAATTTCTAGTCATCTCTGTCTCTTATTTGGTTAGAAAGTCATGCCTCCTCCCCCCAAGCCATAGTAAACAAGAATTTTAATAAGCACCTGCAATGTGCAAGTACTGAGGTAAAATGAAAAGCCAAAAAGAATCCCTCCTCTAGACTTCTGGGAGCCAAGATGTGGAGTAAGCAGTAAATCACGGTAACTCTCCCACATTCACCTCCACACAATCATAAAATAGCGCTCCAGAACAAAGAAAAACTGAGAAAAGAAATGAGAGTGATTCGAGAGAATTATGAAAGAAAACTGCTTAAAAAGTAGAATTGGCCAAATGGAAAAGGAGATACAAAAATCCATTGAAGAAAACAACTCCTGAAAAGAAAATACAAAAGCTAATTGAGGGGCAACGAGGTGGCGCAGTGGATCGAGCACCGGCTCTGGAGTCAGGAGGACCTGAGTTCAAATCCAGTCTCAGGCCAGACACTTGACACTAACTAGCTGTGTGACGCTGAGCAAATCACTTAACCCCAGTTGCCTCGCCAAAAAAATTTAAAAAAAGGTAATTGAAGAAAACTACCTTAAAAGTTAGAATTGGCAAGTGTAAGCTAATGAGACATCTGCATCAAGAATCAATCAAAATCAAAACAATAATAAGAGGAAGAAAATGTAAAATACCTCATGGGAAAAACAACTGACCTGGAAAATAGATCTAAGAGAGACAATATCAGAATCATTAGACTACCTAAAAGCCATCATCAAAAGGAGGACCTGGACAGCATCTTTCAAGAAGTTATGAAGGAAAACTCTACCGAATACCTCAGAAAAGATACCAGAATTAAAAACCCCAAGGAATATTAAAGCCAAATTTCAAAACTATCAAGTCAAGGAAAAAATACTACAAGTGGCCAGAAAGAAACAATTCAAATATCAGGGAGTCACAATCAGGATTACACAGGACCTGGCAGCTACAACAGTAAAGGAACTGAGATCGTGGAACATGATATTCTGGTAGGCAAAGGAACTAGGACTGCAACCAAGAATCACTTACCTGGCAAAATTAAGCATAATACATCAAGGGAAAAATGGTCATTCAACGAAATGGCAGAATTTCAAGTCTGCATAAGGAGAAGACAAGCACTCAACCAAAAATTTGAGTTCTAATACCAAGATCCAAGAGAAGCATAAATAAATAAAAAGGGAAAAGAAAACATAAGGGATTCAGCAGAGCTAAATTATTTACATCCCTACATGGGAAGATAATATTTGTAATTCTTAAAAATTGTATTACTAATAGTACAGCTAGAAGGAATATATAGAGAGAGGGTACGACATAAAAAATTTAAGGGATGAGAAAGAGGAGTACAAAGGGTGCAGAAGGAAGACAGTAGAATGGAGTAAATTATTTCACATGAAGAAGTGCTAAAGACCTATTACAGTGGAGGGGAAAATGGGAAGGTGGGCAATGAGCATTACTTGTAACTTACTGTGATCAGTATTGGCTCAAAGAGGGAATAATGCACACAATCAGTTGAATATAGAAATCTATCTAACCTTACAAAGAAGTTGGAGGGGAGGAGATCAATTAAGGGGTGGATGGTGGTGACTAACAGAAGGGAGGGCAGCTCACAGGAGGTGGTAGACAGAAGCAAAACACTAGTGAGGGGGGAAAGGGTGAAAGGAGAGAGAGGACAAACAGGACGAAGAATAGGATGGAGGGAAATACACAGTTATAATCATAACTGTGAATATAAACGGGATGAACTCTCCCATAAAATAGAAGCAGATAGCAGAGTGGATTAAAAACCATAATCCTACAATATGTTGTTTACAAGAAATACTTGAAGCAGAGAGACACACTCAGAGTAAAGGTAAAAGGCTGGAGCAAGATATATTATGCTTCAGTTGACATAAAAAAAAGGAATCAGGAGTAGCAGTCCTGATCTCAGACAAAGTAAAAGCAAAAATAGACCTAATTAAAAGAGATAAGTAAGGAAACTATATCTTGCTAAAAAGTACAATAGGCAATGAAGCAGTATCAATACTAAATGTATGTGCATCAAGTGGTATAGCATTCAGATTCTTAAAGGAGAAGTTAAGTTACAAGAAGAAATAGAAAGCAAAACTATACTAGTAGGGGGCCTCATCCATCCCCTCACAGAATTTGATAAATCCAGCTGAAAAATAAATGAGAAAAAAAAACTAAGGAGGTTAATAGAATATTAGAAAAGTTATATATGACAGACCTTTGGAGAAAACTGGATAGGAACAAAAAGGAATATGCCTTTTTCTCAGCAGCACATAACACATACACAAAAATTGACCAGGTAATAGGGCATAAGAACCTCAAAATCAAATATAAAAAGGCAGAAATGGTAAATATATTTTTCTTGGATCATAATGCAGTAAAAATTGCATTCAACAAAGGGCAGTGGAAATATAGACTAAATATTAATTGGAAACTAAATCTATTCCTAAAGAATAAGTGTGTCAAAGAACAACTCATAGGAACAATCAGTAGTTTCATTAGAGAAAATGTCAACAATGAGACAACATACCAAAATTTATGGGATGTGCCAAAGCAATTCTTTGGGGGAAATTTATTTCTCTAAATTCTTACATCAGCAAAATGGAAAAAGAACAGATCGATTAATTGGACATGCAACTAAAAAAGTTAGAAAAAGAACTAATTAAAATTCCCCGATTGAATACCAAGTTAGAAATCCTGAAAATCAGAGGTGAGATTAATAAAATTTTTTTAAAAAAACTATTGATCTAATAAATCTAGGAACTGGTTTTATGAAAAAAACAACAATAAGATAAGCCGTTGATTAATTTGATTAAAAAAAAGAAGAAAAACAAATTATCCAGCATCAAAAATGAAAAGGGTGAAATTGCCACCAACAGAGAAGAAAATAAAGCAATTAGGAAATATTTTGCCCAATTATATCCCAATGAATTTGACAATCTTGAGTGAAATTGATGAATATTTACAAAAATATTAATTAGTAGCTTAAGAGTTCAGGAAATAGAATGCCTAAATAACCCTATCTTTGAAAAAGAAATTGAACGATCCATTAATGAACTCCCTAGGAAAAAATCCCCAGGGCCAGATGGGTTCATGAGTGAATTCTACAAACATTTGAAGAACAATTAATTCCAATACTATATAAACTGTTTGGAAAAACAGGCGAAGAAGGAGTCCTACCAAACTCCTTTTGTGATGCAAATACGGTGCTGTTACCTGAAATGGAAAGAGCCAAAACAGAGAAGGAAAATCATAGACTAATTTCCTTAATGAATATTGATGTAAAATTTTTGAACAAAATATTAGCAAGGCAATTATAACAAAATATCACAAGGATTATACACTATGGCCAGGTGGAATTTATACCAGGAATGCAGGGTTGTTTCAATATTAGGAAAACCATCAATATAATTGATCATATCAATAACAAAACCAACAGAAATCATGTGATTATCTCAATATATGCTGAAAAAGCTTTTGACGAAATACAGCACCCATTCCTATTAAAAACACTAGAGAGCATAGGAATAAAGGGAGCATTCCTTAAAATGATAAGCAGTATCTATCTAAAACCATCAGCAAGCATTATCTGTAATAGGCATAAGCCAGAACTCTTCCCAGTAAGATCAAGGGTGAAACAAGGATGCCCATTATCACTGCTATTATTCAATATAGTACTGGAAATGTTAGCTGTAGCAATAAGAGAAAAAAAAAGAAATGAAGGAATTGGTATAGGCAGTATGGAAACCAGACTAGTTATGTGATAGTACACTTAGAGAACCATAGAACATCAACTAAAAAATGCTTGAAATAATTAACAATGTTAGCAAAGTTGCAGGACATAAGATTAAACCCACATAAATCATCAACATTTCTTTATATGACTAATAAAGCCCAGCAGCAAGAGATAAATTCCATTTAAAATAAATGTAAGTAATATAAAATACTTAGAAGTATACCTGCTAAGACAAACACAGGAACTGTATAAACACAATTATAAAACTCTTCACACAAATAAATTGATCTAAACAGTTGGAAAAATATCAATTGCTCATGGGTAGGCCAAGGCAGTATAATAAAAATGACAATTCTACCTAAACGAATTTACCTATTCAGTGCCACAACAAACTACTAAAAAACTATTTTATAGAGCTAGAAAAAAAATAACATTCATGTGGAAGAACAAAAGGTCAAGAATATCAAGGGAGTTAGTGAAGAAAAAAATACAAAGGAAGATAACCTAGCAATACCAGATCTCAAAGTATATTATAAAGCAATAATCATCAAAACTATTTGGTACTGGCTAAGAAGTAGAGTGGTCGATCAGTGGAATAGACCAAGTACACACGACACAGTCAATAACCATAGTAACCTAGTCTTTGATAAATCCAAAGACCCCCAGCTTCTGGGATAAGAACTCAGTATTTGACAAAAAGTGCTGGGAAAACTGGAAAACAGTAGGATACAAACTAGGTTTAGACCAGTATCTCACACTCTATACCAAGGGAAGATCAAAATGGGTGCATAATTTAGACATAAAGGGTGACACCATAAGTAAATTAGAAGAACACGGAATAATCTGTCAAATCTATGGGGAAGGTAAGAATTTGTGACCAAACAAGATAGAGAACATTACAAAATGTAAAATAGATAATTTTGATTATATTGAATTAAAAAAGCTTTTGTACAAACAAAACCAATGCAACAGTATTTGGAGGAAAGCAGAAAGCTGGGAAACAATCTTTACAGCAGATTTCTCTGATAAAGGCCTTATTACTGAAATATATGGAGAACTGAGTCATATTTATAAGAATACAAGCCGTTCTCTAATTGATAAATGGTCAAAGAATATGAACAGGCAGTTTTAAGATGAAGAAATCAAAGCTATCTATAGTCATATGAGGAAGTGCTCTAAATCGCTTTTGTTTAGAGAAAAGCAAATTAAAACAGCTCCGAGATACCACCTCACACCTATCAAATTGGTAATATGACAAAAAAGGAAAATTATAAATATTAGATAGGATGTGGGAAAATTGGGACACTGATGCACTGTTGGTGGAGTTGTGAACTGATCCAACCATTCTGGAGAACAATTTGGAACTATGCCCAATGGGCTATAAAATTGTGTATACCTTTTGATCCAGTACCAAATGGTTTTGATAATTACATCTTTCTTACATAATTCTTTCATAAAATTTTTTTAAAATGTTTTAAAATATGTAAAGAGATTATTTTGGATTTCTTTAAAAATCACTACATTTGATTAGAATATGCCCAGAGTATTCCTCTTACCAACTAGGGAAGAAGGAAAAGTTTGATTTGCTTTGTTGGCATGATTTCACTGTGATTGTATCAATGTTCATTTTCAGTAAGTACTGTTAACTTCATGGCATTCTCTTTGCAGGTAGAAGCAGTAAGTACTTCAGTACAGGATTCGAGTGTCCTTGTACAAAGAAGCACTTTGGACCTTATACTTTTCTGCTTTCCTTTCCATATGAGTCAGGTAAAATATTAGTGATATTAATCTAAGGTACTTGTTTTAAAAATCAGATGATTGCCAATGTATGTGTATTATATAGATTTGCATTTTTAATGATAGTCCTCATCTATAATTTTTTTGTATTTAATAAAGCAATTGGTAGGAATAGAGTGGAGGTTTTGGGGTGGGAAGAGTGTGATTGTTTTGATCTGGACCTGACTTTATCCCCTAGAAAACTCCTTTTACCATTGCAGCTCAACAGCTGTTCTATAATTGTCTTAGAAAGATGCCAGCCTAAGTGACTTTCCCAGTGTTACACAGCCAGTTCGTGTCAGAGATCAGACTCTGATCACACAAGCATTCCTGAGTTTGAGGCCTTTTTACTATTTCATATGACCTCTCAAAACAGGGATTTGTTTTGAAAGAGCAAGATTTATAAGTAAGCTGAGGAACTAAAAGGGAATAATTCTTATAGCAAAAATGAAGTAGTCTTTATAAAAATGTAATTGACAAAAAAAGCCCAAAGCATAACTATCAAGTCAGTGTTAGTTCTCCCTAACCTGCTGTATACCGGCAGCCTCTGCCTTGGTCATTACCTATCTTGACTTATGATGTTTGTGTATTTGAAATGTGGGAGCCATGTCATTTTCATTGGAGAACTGGCTGCAATAAGGAAAGACATTTTAGCCACTCCTTGGCATTTTGTAGTGCTTTTATTACAGTTGATCACAACTAACTTGGATATTCACAAATGAAGCATCTAGTTGAGTAGAATTGATTTCAATTAATTTCTTCATTTGTGAAGAAATGGTCTAAATTTCTTACATTTAGAAACCTTGACTGAGTGCTCAGTGTGATACATGAGCATTTCCTTATTGCCAAAGTAAGTTTAATAGTAGGGAAAAAAAAGGTATTGGCCTGTAATTTTACAAAGATGGCAGCTTGCAGTAATTTTCAGCAATTCAATTTGTAATAGGGACTCCTATTACATAGTTTTTTTTTTCCTTTGCTAACTGTTCATAGCTGGATTAGCATGAAGCAAATTATTCTGTTCCCTCTTTTGTCATTCCCCCTCTTGCCAGCTTCTTCCCTGCCCCAGTTTGGTCTCCCTTCTCATGAACCAAGGGTCTTATGGCTTTATAGGTTCTTTTTATGGTACCTTATCAGAGCTTACCTTTCTCAACTATCTTCTTCCACCATGCTGTAGACTTTTCACTCATTTCTCATTATCTGCTTTTCTTTCTCATCTCAATAAAAGTCTACGTGTACAACACCTGATTACCAAAGGACCACTGTTAGTTGATCAAAGCTAATCTGATAAATTAATTCATTTTATAGTGTTGATGGCTAATAAAAACTTTGTGTCAGATAACATATTTGCATTCTAACAGAGGCTTTATCCTTAACCAGAAAGAGTCAGTAATAGTAGAATCATTAGGCACTGTTGATAGTTCTAAAATTGTTATTTTGGACAGTGATCTTTAGTGTTCCTGAAATGTGCATTCTGATTGACAGGCTTCTTTGATTTCCTTAGAGTCAAAATTGTATGCCTCTTTGAACTAAAAACAAATCTTAAATGAATACTAACCAACATAATCATAAAAAAAATTCACTGGGATAGTAAGAAGAAAGGAAATAGGAAGAAATGAAAAAAAGTTGAATGATCAAAATATGTAGAATTGGTGTCTTAATTCCTTACTGTTACCATGAATTTGTTCAAAGAGAAACTCAAAAAAAAAAAAAAAGGCTTCAAATGAAGCTGATGTTCCATCCATTTTTCAGGCAACTCGTCCTGACATGATCAGAATCTTGTCAGCAGCTCTTCATGTGGTTCTAAGAAGGGATATGTCTCTAAATCGCAGGCTTTATGCATGGCTTCTAGGTAGGTATGTGATGTGTGTGTGATTAAATCTGAAGAAAAGTGAAAGTGTTAGGATATAAAAAAAAGCTTTGACTTTTTAAAGAAACTGCTGAGATTTTATGTGTTTTATGTTGATTTAAAAAATAATGCTAATTTACTGAGTATATGGCATAAGGAAAGTGCAAAATCTTCTTAGGAAAAAGTATATGACATATATTTATTGTGGATTCATTTGCTTCTTTATTATTTTGTGGAATAATAACATTTCATAAAAAGACAAATATGAGTTGAGATTTCCCTAATGAGCATTCTGTATTTGGTTTATAGTGATATGTTATGGAAGCAGATTTCATTGGAACTTTAGTTATTTGAATCCATTAGCTCATGTTCTTTTCTGTAATTATAATTGTGATAATGCAAATAAATGAATATTATGGGTGAATTAGTCAAAAAGTAGTCAAAATTTTTACCTTAAAAGTCATGAAGTACCTAAAAGGGCTGTGGCAGAGGTTGAGTTGGGCAATGGCTCCTCTACCCAGAGTAGGCCATTCTCTTATTTAGCATTTTGTTGGTCTTGTAGAGAGACTCCCCTTGAGTGGTCCACATATTTTCTCTCAGAAATTCGCTCAGCAAAATTCAAAGGTACCACTAAATTCTAGTCCTGAGCCTTACCACACAAAAAACTCTATGTGGATTGATGAACTGTGTGCATATATGTATTAAGGGCTATAAAATTTGCTTAATATATCCTGAAAAATAAGTTACCTCGTATTATTTGGTAAGCAGGAGAATTATTCTGGAAGAATGTCATTCACATAGAATTTCCTTTTATTAAACTTTATAAAATTATCTCTCTTGCTGCCATTAAATGGACTACAAATTGGTATGTGTTGGCCATTATTGAGATCTATGGTTTTTAAATTGGTGATGTAGATTTTTGTGGTTGGAATACTAATGTGTTTTATATTTGTTTGCTTGGAGGCTTTGATAATAATGGCGTTATCATAGGACCCAGAAGCACAAGACATAGTAATCCTGAGGAACATGCCACTTATTATTTCACTACTTTTTCAAAAGAGATGTTGGTCCAGGTAATTAATACCTTCATTTTACTCTGCTTATTCAATATGTGGTTATTTACAAAATGTAAGCCCCAATGATGGTCTTTTTTCTCTTATTAATCTTTATCAAATCCTCCTAGTAGTTAATTCCTATATAGTTTCTGTGTATTACATTTAATAATTCTTAAGCATCTAGAATCTCAAAGATGGAAAAGGATCTCAGTGGCCAACTATTACAACCTTTACCTGAGCAAGAATCCTTTCTATGTCATATGTAAAAGGGAGTCATCCATAATTGGCTTGAAAAATTTTAGTAATGAGGATACAACTACCTCATTCTACTTTTTCCTTATATGAAGCCCAAATTTGCCTTGCTTATGAGAGCCTTCCACATACTTGAAGGCAGATATCACATCTCATCTTCTTTCATGGCTTCTCTAAGTATCCCTCATTTTTTTTTTCAACCAGTCCTCATCTGCCATGAACTTTGGACCCTTCACTATCCAGCTTGCCTTCCTCTAAACATTCTCAAGCTTATCAATACCTGTACCAGAATGTGGGGCCTAGAATTTAATACAGTGCTCCAAATAGAGTATGATGAGAGGCCCAATACAGCCAGACTGTACTACATGGACATAGGACATCTCTAAATGCAACCTAAGATTGCACTTGTTTTCATGACTGCTGCCTCATGTTGACCACAATAATGTAAAAGAAAAGAGCACTGAAGCACTTCTAGGGCTGTATCCCAAAGAGATCATAAAAATGGAAAAAGGACCCACATGCACAAAAATATTCATAGCAGCTCTTTTTGTGGTGGCCAAGAATCAGAAATTGAGAGGATGCCCATCAATTGGGGAATGGCTGAACAAGTTGTGGTATATGAGTGTAATGGAATACTAGTGTGCTATAAGAAATGATGAGCAGGCGGACTTCAGAAACACCTGGAAAGAAAACAGCATTGAAGCCCTTTAGAACTTTTATCAGTGCTATGACTATTCATGACCTCAGAAGACCAGTAGTGAAGCATGCCTCTGGATAGAGAGGGAATGACTTATTGCTAGTGGAGAATGAGACGATCATTTTCATCATGTCCAAAGTGTTTGTTTTGCTTGTCTATACTTCTTTGTTACACATGGAGGTTCTATTGGTGGGGGAGGTGAGTTGTCATATGGCTGATCTTTCCTTATAGAAGCACCTCTAATAACTTTTAAAAAATTTTTAATGATGCTTTTTAAAATACCATTTTTGCTTCCCAATAACACTCTTACCACCCTTTAGAATCCTTTTTACAAAGCAGTACAGCTTAGCAAAGCTAATCAAAACTTTGGCTGTGTTTGACAGTTTGTACCTCATTCTGCACCTGTAGTCCACTCCCTGTCTTCTGAGAGCTGGGAGGTATGCTTTTCACCGTCAGTCCTCTAAAGTTGTGATTGGTCATTGCATTGATCGCAGTTCTGAAGCATTTCAGTATTGTTTTGCTTTACATTACTCTGGTCATCATGTAAATTATCCTCATTTTTGTGCTAACTTCACCCTGCTTTAGTTCATACAAATCTTTCCAAGTTTCTTTGAATTCTTCATATTCATCATTTTTATACAGTACAGTAATATTCTTTAGGATCATGGATTTAGGGCAAGGGTTCTTAACCTTTTTTTATGTCTTGGACCCTTTAGCCAGCCTGGTGAATCCTATGGACCCCTTCTCAGAATGTTTTTCAGTACATAAAATAAAATACACATGATTACAAAGAAAAACAATTGTATTGAAATAAAGGTGTGATTTTTTTTTCTCCCATCCAAGTTCATAGACCTTACAGGGTACTTGGACCCCAGGTTAAGACCTAGATCTAGAGCTCTATGGGACCTCAAAGGCTCTCTATTCCAGTCCCCTTATTTTTTCATTTGTAAATACTGAGCCTAGGTAGTAGATTAAGTGATTTGCCAAAGTCACTTTGGTCAGGTGGGATTTGCACTTAGGTCCTTTGATGTCAGAGCTAGTGCACTGTACTGCTGCTTTCTTCCATTATGTTCACATACCACCATTTGTTCAGCTATTTCCCCATTAGTGTGCACCTAGTATAAGGGTACTTTCCTTCTAAGTTTTTACTATTATTAAAAGTTCTGCAATAAATATTTTGGGGGATTTTTTTTCCTCTGTCTTTGATAATATTAGAGTGATATCACTGAGTTAAAGGATATGAACAGTTTAATGACTTCTATAGTGAAGTTCTGATTTGCTTTCCAGAGTAGTTAGACCATTTCACAGCTCCAACAGCAATGCGTTAATGTGTCCCTCCAGCAGTTGTCATTTTTATCTTTTGTCATCTTTGCCAGACTGGTGGGTGTGAGATGAAGCCTCAGAGTTGCTTTAATTTTCATTTCTCTTATTACTGACTTGGAGAATTTTTTCCTATGAAACCTTGTGTTTTTTCATAACATTCTTAAACTGTGGAAATAGTTTCTGGTCTTTTATTTTCCTGTGTGGATTAGGGCTTTTTCTCAGTGGGAAACCCTGAGCCCAACTCATATGGGATCTCCCAGGGAGCTAGTAGCACAGTGGATAAAATGCTGGGCCTGGAATCAGAAAGATTTGAATTCAAACCACCTTCAGATACTTAGTAGCTGTGTGCCCCTAAGGAAGTCACTTTTTGCCCCAGTTTCCTCAACTCTAAAAAACAATAGCACCTACCTCTCAGGTTGTTGTGAGGATCAAATGAAATGATATTTGTAAAAGTGCTTAGCACAGTGCCAGGCACATAATAGGTAATATGTAAATGCTTATTCCCACATGCTCCTTCCTAAAGCTTTGAAATCCCCTGTGGATAGCTTTCCAACAAGAATACAACTATGATAAAACCTCATTTTAGTGGAACATTTTTGAGTAGTTCTGTCCTCAGCCCCAACCTTGTATATATTTTTTCCATTTTACTCTGATACTTCTCTTATTTAAGGGAATTTCCAAATAACTAGAGTATATACCTGGTGAGGTGACTGCTTAGAATGAACTGAAAATGGAGAGGATTGTGAGTGTCATTGACTCCCAGTATCAGATTAACACAGATAAGAAAAACAATAAGAAGATATTGTGCATTAGTTGTAATTCTACCTCCAAGGATAAGAAAGAACATTTTTCTTAACCAGAGGGAAAATAACCAGCCTTGGGAAAACTATTTCGGTAAAATAAATTTCAGTAAAGTAACAGGGATATTCTGTTACCATCATGTGTGTTACCATCCTGTAGTTTTTTTGACCACATACAAACATGTCATACATTCCTGTTGTTTTATGTTTTTTCATTATCAGTATCGGACTGTAGTTTTTCTTTTCACTAATTTGTATGTTTCTCTCCTTTTTAAAAGGCAATGGTAGGAATCTTACAAGTGAATGGCTTGGGAGAAGAAAGTACCCTAATGCAGGACTTAAAACCCTTTCGTATTTTAATCAGTTTACTGGACAAACCTGAGCTAGGTAATATATTTATATTCTGTATCATTAAAAAAAACAAACCTCAGTGATATATAGGTATCGATATAAAAGAAAACTGTCATCTCACAGTCATTTTACTGGATAACATTTGAATATAGATCCTCAGTGTCTCGTTTAAAAACCACACCTAGAAAATTCACCCTTTTACAATGAGTGTATTGGCAGTTCTAGATGAGCTCTTCAACTGTCTTGCTGTGCTGTACCCAAAGGAATCCTTGCTGTTTAAGGCATTTTTAGTGACCTAGTGCCTTAAGGTAAAGAGATAAAAATTCATAGTCATTAACCATCTCATATCACTTAGAATTCAAGTCCATAAGCAAACAAAGAAAGGAAGGTTTGGAGTAGCCATTGTTGACTCCTTACATCTGCACCCTAATTGTATATATGTCTTCTCATTTGTGTATTTTGTTTGGCCTTAGTGGATCTAATATGGAATTTTAGTTATGGTAGCTTGGACCGAAATAATAAAAATAAATCAAGAATTGAAACCCTGCAGTATCTGAAAAATTGCCTCAAGACAGAAAGCTTTCTTGAGGTGTAGTCAGTATGCTCCTGTTTAGAAGTTTTAACTTCAGTACTTAAGGGGATCTGTTATCTTATCATTGTCACTCTTCCCTCTATTGGTGCACATTTGCAACCCAGTCTTTTCCAGTGCACATATTTCTTTAAGTACTCCACAGATGATCCCCATACATGCCAAAGGCCTATCTATAGCTCTTTTTTTACTCTGAGTGTACCAGTGAAGCATTCAGTTTATTCATATGTGTTACCTCTCGCTTGTGTCAGAGGAGCAACCTAATCTTTTTTTCCATCATAAGTTTGCTCTGTGGTATCCCTTATGTCACATTTCAAACATATGTCATTGTTGGACTACACCTTACTTATGCCTACCATGTGTAGTTATGTTGTCCTTTAGGTCATCTATGACTTCAATTTCTTGAAAAATATGTTCTAAGATTTACAACTGCAGAACCTGGCCAGAAGAATAGTTTTATTAAAAAGATGGATCTTTCTACCCAATTGCAGTTTGGTATCATTAAAAGTATTATGCAGTTTCCCAAATACAATGCAGCCCGCTTGTTTCCTCCTGTTCAATAATGAATCCATCACATCATATATGTACTAATATACTCATTCAGTGAATAGGCCATCCAACCACAACAATGAAATAATATTTGTAGTGCACTTAGCACTATGCCTGGTACATAGGAGATACTTAAGAGATGCTTATTTCCTTCCCTTTTCCTTAAAAGTATATTGAATTGAATTATCTTTAGGCAATATTTAAGAGATCAAAACAATAAAAATCATGGTATATAACAGCTTTGAGATTGTATTTTTAGTCAGTTGCTTCTTAAAAGATAAAGGATCAAACCCAAGTTTGTTTACTTCAGTGATACAAATGCTAAAAATTGCTAATCATGAATTTTCTGTGTTTACCAACTCAAATATATATTTTCTTTAGTCACTTTATTGTTTTCTGAGGATGGCCACATAAAGTGTGGAATTGTATTTGGCTTTGTATGAATCTGAATGAAGTGAGAAGGGAAAGAACTTACTTTAAGACATTTAGAACTTACTTTAAGACATTTAATTATGCAAGCACTCTTTATATGATCATTTGCCAATATGTAATTATTGTATTTACTTTTTATATTTATTGTAGGACCCGTCATATTAGAAGATGTTCTGATTGAAGTATTTAGAACACTGTATACACAGTGTAGAGCAGAATTGGATCTTCAGGTAGAACCACCCTTCAGCAAAGATCATACACAATTAAGCAGGTACAGAAATGGCTTCTTTGTTTCCAAAACATAACTCAGTAGACTGTATTGCATATTTGCTTAATAAGTCCTAAAGTGACAGTTGTTTTAAATTAGAAACAAGTAAATAACTTCACCATTTCCATACTTCAGAAATATGTTTAAAATGCAAGGGTATCACATGCTTACAACTTCTAGTTTTAACAACATTTCAAGGACTAACAGTGAACTTCACAGATTCACAGATATCATATTTTATGTATTCATTCTAAATGCATTGCATACAATATACTTGCATTTCAAAGAGCAATCAGCAAACTTTTCACAGTTGCACAAGATGGTGAAGTATGGATTGGACAATAGTAATGTTAAGTATATTCATTTAAGAGTAGATCTATAAGTGTTGATTAATAGGACAATATTAACCTAGAGGGGTGATGTATCTCTCACTTTGACCCTTTCATCCTCAACATTTTTACTGATAATTTCCATGAAAACAAACAGCCAACCATAATGCATAGACATGTAATAAATTTATGTGACAAAGCGAGGATCCAGAAAGATCTCAGTAGGCTGGGATGATGGGCTCAAACTGTCAAAATGAAATTATAATTAAATAAATGTGAAGCCCTTCACCTAAATTCAGAATATTAATTATATAAGGATAGGTTGGAAAGTCAGAGTAGGGTAGCAGGAGATGGTTACACAGCAAATTAAATGAACAAGAACTAGAACTTGTAGGTTACTGCAAGGTCACTACAACTCAACCATGTGATAACTGCCAATAAAATTGATGCAATCTTAGGCTTTGTTAATAAAAATATAATGTACAGAATGACTCCCACTGTATTCTTTGCTTGTTGGACAACATTTGGAGTGCTTTTCAAGTTCTGTGCCACTTTTTTTTTTAGAGGGACAAAGACAAACTGGAGCATTTTTGAAGGATCATGAAGGACTCAAGAAAAGGAGCTAGGGGTGTTTAACTTGAAAAAGAAAAGACTTAGGGTTCACATAATGGCAGTCTTGAAATACTTGAGTGATCATTACCTAGAAAAGAAATGTATTCTGTGTAACCCTCAAGAGCAGAAATGGGTCCAGTGTCAATTATAGGGAAGTAGCCCTTATCTTAGAAGAGAGAACAATTTTCTAACCTTCCAGTAAAATGGATTACCTTGTGAATGGTGTGGATGAACACTTGGTGAGAATGCTATGGAGAGGTCGCCTTCCTTCAGTGAAAAATGGAACTGGATAATGTGTAAGGTCCCCATGACTTCAGATTCGCATATATTTTTATAACACTTTGTGGTTTACAAAGCACTTTCTACATATTATCTCATGTAAGATATTCCCAGACTTCCAGATTTGGGTTGGCACTTATTGGAGAGTACAAATTCTTCAGTATGCTAACTATAATAACCCTCATATAAGTGTGGCAAGTAAATGCTTTTCATATTCTGTTAACTTTTCATATTCTATTAACTTTATATATTTTAATTTTTACTGATACTAAAGTATAATATGGATAGTACTAAAACATTCCAATGTTATTAACTTGGGAGTAGGGGAGGGGGTGGGAAGGTATTGATATTTGTCAGCTTTTATTTATTTTCTTTTTTAGCAAATTGAGAGAGAACAAGAAAACAGCAGAACTAATTAAAACAGCCAATCTTCTCTTTAATTCCTTTGAGCCTTATTATATGTGGGATTATATTGCACGCTGGTTTGAAGAATGCTGTAGGTATGTAAAATTAATTCACTTGAATAAAATATGCATTCAGAACTGGTTCTTTCCTTTCCTATTTTGCTTAAAAATTTGACAAACCAAAAAAAGACACTTTTTATAGCACTTCTATAATGCAATTATACCAAATCACATACTGCTATGACTGAATTGGTTTTTAAATATAATTAACATCTTGATGTGCTTGGACTTAGTTATAATAGCTGACATGTGTATAATTCTTTACAATTTACAAAGTACTTAAACAAACTCACATATACACCTCACAGCAATGCTTGGGTAGAGTAGATATTGCTGTCTCCTATTTTGCAGAGAAGAAAATGGTGTCTCAGAGAGATGAATGACTTACTGAAAATCACATAACTAAGTGTCAGGCAGAACTTGATCTCACAGTCTTCTGACTCCAAATCCACTGTACCCTTCACTATACCATCCTGCTTTTGTTAAATATTCAAAGAGCCTTTACAGACTGCACAATAAAATAGTGAGAAGGACAAGTCTGGATAAAGTCAAGATGCATAAGACCTAATTTTTTATTATTATAGTAAATATACTTAAAAATGCTTTTCTCAAACCAGCAGAGGGGATTTGGTCATTTAAATTCTCACATGTACCCTGTGATTTGTAGAGCCAACTTGGTTTGGCCCTGCCCTTTCTTCCGTCATTCTGTTGCATATTTCCTCACTACTTGAGAAGAGCCTGTTGAACCTCTATCCTGGCTCCAAGAGTGTAAGTCAAGACTGGGCAAATTTTTTTCAAGAACACTATATTTTGGAATTTTAAGAGCTGGAAGGGACCTCAGAGGTCATCTATATCTAGACTAACTTCCCATCTTGTTCAGGTATTCCCTATTCGGTCTGTACTGGTTTAAGTTATCCTCTGTCATATAGGCCACAGCACCTCTCTGACTGGTGCATGGTGAGGCCTTCCAGTAAAAGTTTGTAGTTTGAAGTCATGAAACTCTCCTTGCAGCTGTGGTGCAATGAAGAGAGTTCTAGGGCCTTCCTAAGTTGGCTTTGTGGGTTCTGTAGATGCACCTTGGACTCTCAACGATTCTTTGGTCTAGCAAAGACACAGCATTGATCTACAGTTACTGGGGCTTCTGTGAAAAAGAATAAAATTCTTGGGTCCGGGAAAAAACCTACTGGCCTGGACTCCAGTACAGAGTGACCTATAGGAACTGGGAGCAGGTAATCAAGAAAGGAGCCTTTATACTGTGGTCATCCAGCATCTTAAAATATAGATTTTAAACTGAACACATTCATCAGCAAGCATTTATTTAGTGCCTGTTAAGTACACTAGCCTAAGTTCTAGGCCCCTGGGATACAAAGACTAAAATGAAATGTTCTTGCAGTCATAGAGCTTACATGATATTGGGGAAAGCAACATGTACACGTGTAAGTAAATATAAAGTGTATACCAAGTAAGTAAATATATGATAATTGGCTGAGGAGGCATCATCACATCACCGAGGGAGAAGTAGTAAAGGGCTCATGTAGGAAGTGGCCTTGGTGATCTTTGAAGGAAGCTAGGTACTAGGTGGTACAGCAGAAAGAGTGCTAGACCTGGAGTCAGGGAGATCTGAGTTCAAATCCAGCCTCAGACACTTTCTAGCTGTGTGACCCTGGGCAAGTCGCTTAACCCTGTTTGCCTCAGTTTCCTCATTTGTAAAATGAGCTGGAGAAGGAAATGACAAACCACTCTAGTATCTGCCGAGAAAACCCCAAATGGGGAATGAAGCGATGGACGTGACTGCAAAATGACTTAACAACAAGGATTCTAAGAGATATAGGTGAGAAAGAAATGCATTTCAGACATTGGGAGATGCCAATATTAAAGACATGAAGACAGGGGATTAAATGTTGTGTGAGGAACAAGTAGACCTGCTTGATGGACCATAGAGTATGTGAAAAAGAGTAAAATGGTAATAAGCCTGGAAAGAGGTTGCTGCCCAAGTGTAAAACACTTTTACGTGAAAAACCTGGGAATTTATTTGATCCTAGAATCAAAAGGGACCCACTGGAGTTTATTGAGTAAAAGAATGACATGGCCAGACTTGAATTTTAGGAAAACACATTGGCATTCACAGTGCTTCTTAAACTGTAGGTTGCAACTCCATATGGGTCTGAAGGGGTCGCAAGTGGAAAAAGTTTAAGAAGCCCTGGTGTAGAATATGGATTTGAGAGAAGAGAAACTTGAGCCAGGAAGACCAAATTGAAGGTTATTGAAGTAGTACAGGCAGATAGGGCCTTGAATTAGGGTGATGGCCATTTTAATGTAGAGAAGAGGACGAATGTGAGAAATGTTAAGGAGGTTGATGAATCAACAGGATTATACAATTGAGTATCAGTGTGGGATGAGGAGTTGAGGATGACCCCAAGGTTGTGACCTGGGTGACTGGAAAGATGGTGATTGTGCCCTTGATGGAAATAGGAAAATTAGAAAGGGAGGTAATTTGGGGTGGGAAGTGTTTGAGATCCCTACAGGATATTCAAATAAAGATGTCCAGGAGTCATTTTGGGCTGTGAGACTGGAGCTCAGGGTCAGGGTAATGTGACACTAGGACTAAAGATGGACGGATGGATGGATGAATTTTTTTTATATGAAAATAGGATAGATGGATTTTATTATATAAAGATATATGTATATATATATTACATAGGTAACTTTTAACTCCCAGCACTCAGTAATGTGTTACTTTATATCATATTCATGTACATGCTTTAACTACCCACGTAAAAGCTTCCTAAAAAGCCTATCATAGTCTTATTTTTTAAAATTATTAGACTCAACCAGTGATGTAATTAGTATAGGGAACCCTTTTTTCAGAACAAATAAAAACCTGTTCTTCAGCTTACGGTCTTAGAGATTGCCTGAGCTGCTGAGAGGTTAAGTGACTTGCTCAGAGATCCACAGCCAGGATGTGTCAGAGATCACCTTGAAGCCCTGGGTTTGAGCCAAACTGACTGAAGCTTTTTAACCATTGCACCACCCTACCCCTTATACATATTGGCCATGTAATAAATGTTTTTTGAAAGAATGTGTCAAAACATTTGTGTTAGTGATCCTTAAACATGGTGGAGTCCCTCTCATTTACTAATCTGTTAGTTGATAGAGAAAAACAGTCAAGTGTAGTGGAAAAATTGCTAGACATGGAGTCCAGGGACACCAAGGTTTGAACCTCAGTGCTGACAATTAGTGTCTATGATCCTGGGCAGGTCATTTGATGCCTCTGAACCTCCATTTCATCTATAAATTGGAGGTGTTATGCACTCACTGCTTGTGCTGGAGGATTGTTTTAATGACAACACTGTAAAATTTAAAGAACTGTATATGCAAGCTATTATTATTATTATTATCTTAAATTAAGGTCCCACTCTGATGTCTCATCATTGCGTGGAGGTGACCCTGGGTTTATGAAAGCCACACCCAGAGAACAAAAACTGGTAAATTCTATCAAACCAAAAACTTTGAGTGTAGACCCAGTGATGGATCATATGTCAGTTACCTGAGAATCAGTCTAACGAAGTTCAGAAAGGCTTATTGCTAGGTTGGCTAAGGGAAATGGAATTTTTTTATTTTTATTTTATATATATTTTTTGGCCATAGCAATTCTTGAAGATAGTCTCCTGAGTTATAAAGTAACTGTGATCTGCATCAGTGGACATAATATCCTACTGACAAAATTACAGATTCCTGAATTATTATTGTTTAAATAATGTGGCTTTGCTTTCTCAAACAGGGTTGTAGCAAAAACAGTACATTTTAAAAACTAAATTAAACATTAACCTTCCTTAGTAATATAAGAAGAATTAACTTAGAGATTCATTTTTCAGTATTACTAGCAGCTTCAGGAATGTTATTAAGGTGAACACTTAACTGCTGTTCTTGATCGTGTCAGGTATATTCAACATACTACTGTGCTTAGTAAACTGTATATTTGCCTTTGTAGGAGGACTTTGCATGCCAGACTTCAGATTGGACCTGGAGATAGCAGTGACTCATCTGAGCTACAGCTAACCAGTTTCTGCCTGCTGGTGGATTTTTTGTTGGATATAGTTTCTTTGGTAAGATTATATGCAATATAAAATACTTGGAAACAGAAATACAGATATTTCACATTTATGAGCAAGCTTAGGCTACTAGTAATTTATTATTAAAAATGTTAGGACTTTATTATCTTCTGGCATAACATTTTGGTTTTTGGGGAGGGCTGTGAATGCTTTGTCCTTTTTCTAACTAACATGCAACTTATGTCTACATACACACACACACACACCCACCAATGTTATAGCTTTGTAATTATGAGTGAGTGCTCATTCTTCAGTATATGGCATTCCAACCTGAATATTCTTTTTAAAATGCTTTTTATCAACCATCTCAATGAAGACTATTGGAACTTTTTTCTCTTATATTTTCTCTCTTATTCTTTGCTCTCTCATTTCAAAGCCTACTAGAAGTATGAGGGTGCTGTGTCAGGTATGACATTGAACCTATTTTCTCTTTATTTATGAATTATGAATTACTTCTGTTTACTTTTTTATCACTGTATTTGAATTTGAAAAATGTAGTAAATATAGCTAGGGTTGATTTATAAGATGCATGAAGTATTTTATAATGTTTTAATTAGAATTTAGGACTTGAAATGTTTTTTTTATCTCCCTCTATTCAAAATGAATATAATTTGTTAACATTCCTAGTCAAAAGCATGATATATTTAAAATATTGTGAATAAATAAATTTGCCAACTCATTTTTGTAAAACTTTAAATAAATGGATTGCGAAAGTCTTAATAACTTAAAACTGCACTAAAACCTTGGGAACACCCTGGATTGAAGTTCAGTTGATCATTATTCAAATGTTTTTCTCAATTGAATTATCTTTTTTTTTAGGAGACTTATATTGAAATACAAACAGAACACTTGCCTCAGTTGCTACTTAGAATGATTTCTGCACTAACAAGTCATCTTCAGACTTTGTATTTATCGGAACTGACAGATTCACTCAGGCTCTGCTCAAAAATCCTTAGCAAGGTCCAGCCGCCTCTGTTATCTGCGGGCACAGGCAGCACTTTGAGGTTTTCAGGTGGTCAGAGCAACTCTGTCAAAGAATGGGAAGACAAAAAGGTAATGTTGGCTTTTCAGTTCTTCACTTTTCCCTTTAGACATGTAAACATTTAGCTTTCTTTAGTTCTACTTCTTTGTGGAAGAGCAAACTGAATGCACTGGGCTCCTTTATATTTATTGTCTAAGTAGTTTTATCTTTTGTGTTAGAGGAACAACCAAAGAGACTTATAAAAAGCACACAGTAGTGTGCATCTTTATAACTGTCCCCAAAATCAAGACTTTAAAAGCGTCTACACCTGAATGTTGAGACAAGTTGATAAATCTTAGTAGAAAGAGCAGTGCAGGGAATTGTTATACTCTCTTGTGTGTGAAAGAAAACTACAATGGCAAGGAAGTATTGAAGGGCTCCTTTATATAATGTAAGGCTTTCTGTTCAAATACCATAGTGTTTCTCAATGGGTATGGTTAAAGTAAGAAGTCTGCTTTCATGTGGCATGTAAGATTTTTAAAATTTTATTTTGTAATGGTTCATTAAATCTTATTTTTAATGCGCTCAGAGTATAGACTCAAATTATAATTCTCTTCAGTTCCTTTTCTTGGAATTGAATATATGATCCTCTTTAAAGAGGTGTCTGGCACTTGTGTCATTTGTTTAAATGGGAATTTTTTTTTAGTTGATGCAAATTGTCTGCTAAGTGAGAACGTGGTCTCTTTCTAGACTATGTATCTTACTTTGTCTTCAAGCATTTGATGTGTTTTTTGTTTTTAAACAATATTAATGCATAGAGATATGTTTACCACAAGCAACTTTTGCTCAGTTTTAATAAACATCTTTCAATATAAATTTCCTGAGACCTAGTTATGATACATTGTATGCTATGATATTATCAGTATATGTAAGATTTCACTGGCTTGTTAGCATTTTTAGCCCAAATAATTGACTTTATATTAAAATGAAAGGTAGTAGTTGAAGTCTTAAAATGCTTAATGAGAAAGATTGGTATGATAGTAAATTACATTTTATAGCAATAACACATTAGTTTTAATTTTTAGTTATTTAAATGAGATTTGCTTCTTAAATGATATTACTTGCACTAGTATAAGTGGAAAATTAAGCTTTTAAAGAAAAGAATTTAATAATTCTTCATTTCTGAAGGTAACCACCTCTCTGTATTTTGCCTTACCCCATCTGCAGGGTGTCCCAAAAGTCTTAGTGCAGTTTTAATATTTTAATATTGTTAGCTTTAATATTGTTAAAGCTCATTAAGCTATTAAAGCTTAAAGCTACACTAAGACTTTTGAGAAACTATATTTCACACACAGTTACAGACACAGAAATATCAGAAAAAGGGTGACGTGCAAATTTTAAAGTTTTTGTTACTTAAATTGATACAAGACAGAACAGATTCTTTATCTTTTTTAGTGTTATGGAGCGCTTTGGCAGTCTGGCAAAGCCTATGGACTCCTCAGAATAATATTATTAAACACATAAAAGAAAATACATAAGATTACAAAGAAAATCAATTCTTTTGAAATACAGCTATCAGAATATTTTTTTAAAACAAGTTCATGGATCCATGGAAAGAACACCTAATCTGAGATCTCATTGATACTTCCTTAACTGGTACAGATTTCAACTCATCTACACTTTCTAATCTTTCAATGTTTTTGTCCATTTCCTCCACAAATCTTCCAAGGAGGATTCCTCTAGTTCTTTTAAGATTTCAAGAATTTCTCTTTCAGTTGTCTCTTGACTTTGCTCCCTAACTATTTTGTTTCCTTTTCCAGTCTAATATTTCTTAATGGTATCTTTTAAGATACTTTATAGAATCTGAGTTGGGAGGTGCTTCAGAATTGATCTAATTCAACTCATGCTGAGTTTTCTCTTTACCCAGCAAGTGTTCATGTAGACACTGCTTGTAAACCTTCAGTGAGAGGAAGCCCTGCTCCCCTTGCAAAACACCCCATTCAATTCTGACAGCTTGAATTGATGGAAAGTTTTCTTAACATCAAGATTATCTGCCTCTCCCCAATTCCCTAACACAGCTCTTTTTCTGCCCACTATACTAAGTAGAATCAGTATATTCCCTAATCCACATGATAGTCCTTTGAATACCTGAAGACCTTTTATCACACCTTAAGTTTTCTATCCAGGATAAGCATTACCAGTTCCTTTTCTTAATTTTTATGTGGTAAGGTTCCCCCTTCGTGAGCCTTCCTGAACTTTCACCTCCAAATGCCCTACAGCTTGTCAAGGTTGTTCCTAAAATGTGAAGTCTCTCGAACTGATATTATACTCCTAAGGTGGTCTTAATTTGGTGATTTGAAATTGAATGTAGCAATGTAACATTTGTTCTGATTATGTTTCATATTATGTATTAGGTTTGCGTGTCATTGTGGCTTGTGGGGATCTTTTTAGATCCTTTTTCCTAACTATCTCTCCTAGATTTTTGTCATTTTCAAATGTGACAAGCACAAAAGGAAGTTCTGTAGTAATAGTTTCTTTATGATCTGTTTACAAGGAAGACCGTATTTTAATAAATGCTTTCTCTAGTCTCTTTCTATAAATCTCTAAAATTTACTGTGTTACTCTGTCTCTGGGGACCTGTGTTTGAATTCCAGCCCTGTTACCACCTATGTTACTATGGACGTGTTACCTAACATTTTTGGGCACCATTTAAGTCATCCACAAATTGAAGTGAATTGGACCAGATGATCTCCAAGATCTTTTCTAACTCAGAAATTTTATGATCTTTTCATCCTGTGATCTCTGGGCTTCATCTAAATGACTAAGTTGTTCAGTGGTACGGGGGCTTTCCAGTAGAAACCAACCTCCAAGTTGACATTGATTCCTCAGTGACTCTTCTTTTGTTTCTTGCATTCAGCCAGTTCTGAATTGAACTAATTGTATTTTCTTCTTGTCTCTATCTTGTCCACAAGAATAACAAGGGAGGTTTTACCAGTTGTTTTACTCAGATATGAATGTATTAAGACTTGCATTCATATTATTTACTGGTCTGGTTAACCCTGTCAAAAAAACAAGTGAAACAAAAAAACAAGTCTTGTGTGACTTCTTAACAAATTTGTGCTGGCTCTTTAGTGACCATTGATTGCTTCCCTTTCTAAATGTTGCCAAACCATCTTGCTTACTGGCCTAGGACTTGCAGACTCTTTTCCATTTTTTTTAAAAAATCAAACCAATATATAGCCAGTCTTGCAGCATGTCTTTTATTTCTCCACAATTCCAGTGGTAACCAAGAATGACTCAGCAGTCACATTTGCCATGGCTTCTGTATCCTGAGATGAAGTTTATCCAGGTGAGGTGATTTGGACTCCTTGAGAATAGCTAGTTCTTACTCTTTTTGTCTTGGGTTTCAATTTCCTATTAAGCCTTTTTTCCCCCCTCTGATCCTTCTTAAAGCAAAAATCATTTTTCTTGAAAGGGAAAAGAGAAGCAGTTGAGAGGGATGCAGAAAAAATTGAGTAGTTCTACCTTCTTACATCTATTACCCTTTCATCCATCCTGAGCAACAGTCCTAACTCTTTCTTGGTCTTCCTATATTGTCTGCCAAATTTTTTAATACCTTTATGTTGTCCTTAGCCTTTATTGACAACCTCATCTCATTCTGAGCTTTCATTGTTCTGATTTCGTTCTTATAGGACTTTGCTGCTATTTTATATTCATGTTTTTAATCTGAATTGGTCAGTGAAAGTCCCTATGGAGCCATACCAGGCTCTCTAGGTAGTTTCTTTTTTATTTGTGTCTTTGGAATTTCATTGAGAACTTAACAACTTTCTCTTTAGAATTTTAGGCCATTAAATCCTACCTTTTTAAAAAAAATCTGAAGCAGCTAGGTGGCGCAGTGGATAGAGCACCAGGCCTAGAGTCAGGTATGACCTTGGGCAAGTCACTTAACATCTGTTTGCCTCAGTTTCCTCACCTATAAAATGGGAATAATAATAGAACCTACTTCCCAGGGTTATTGTGAAGATCAAATGAGATATTTCTAAAGCAGTTAGCATAGTCCCTGGCACAGAGGAAGTGTTATATAAATGTTAGCTATTATTATTATTATTACTAATATTTATCATTATTATTATTAAAGCACTTAGTGTCTGGCACATAGTAAGAACTGTATTCATACATACATATATGTGTCTGTATACACACATATACATGTATACATACATATACACGCTATTATTCATTCTCCCAAAATTTAATGTTGGTTGTTAAATTTCGTTAATAACAATTCATGGTCTTAGTTCCAAACTTATTTAAATAAAAGCCTTCATGCAATTAGATATAAAATGTATTCTTGTCTCCTGTGGCCCCTAGTCCAGATTCCCACCAATGACAAGGACCAAGCCCTTTTACTCCTTAGAATTTTCTGATGTGTTTAAAGACAACATAAGTTTTTAAATAAACCCAGTTGGTTTACTACAGGTCATAATGTAAAAATGAGAAAGATTTATTGTCTAAGATTGCAAGTGAAGGAATTTGACTAAAACAGTAATGGTAAGGACATAACACAAAATAAAACTTAGGATAACTTTCAGCAAAGCTTTTTCAAGATGTGAATTGTTCTTTTCATTGAGTATCTACCATGCAAATTCTGAACATTTGATTCAAAGGAAGTTTTTTCTTTTGAAAAAATGACAGTATATGATGATTTAAATTTGTTATGATCATCTTCTGATTGTGAAATAGATGCATTTATCTTGATATACATTTTTTAAAATTTCCTAGATTCCGTCAATCTCTCTTGAAAATCCTATTGAAGTATTTGAAGATAGTGAAAATCCACCAAGCAGTCGCTCCTCAGAGAGTGGATTTACGGAATTTGTGCAGTATCAGGCAGATAAAACTGATGACATTGACAGAGAACTGAATGAGGGACAGGGAACAGCTGCTATTCCAGTTGGTAGTACATCTTCAGAGACTGAAACAGCATCTACGGTGGGATCTGAAGAAACCATTGTACAGCCACCTTCCATAGTCACACAGGGGACAGCAACCCGGGGCGGAAAGACGGCCCAAAAGACTGCAATGCAGTGCTGCTTGGAGTATGTCCAGCAGTTTTTAACCAGGCTTATCAACCTCTATATCATTCAGAGTAATTCTTTGTCTCAGCCTTTGACAACAGAGCATCGTGTGGATCTCACTCGAGAAGAAGGAGAGACCACAAAATGGGACAGGGACCCACAAGGAGATGTTAAAGGGAAAGACATAAATAAACAAACTCCACCAAAAGAATATCTTTCTGCCTTTATTGCTGCCTGTCAGCTATTCCTTGAATGCTCAAGCTTTCCTGTTTACATTGCTGAGGGGAACCATACATCAGAGTTACATTCTGAGAAATCAGATATTGGTAAGTTCATTTAGATTGCCTGTATTTCAATATTTTCTTTGGACATGATGCCCAAAGTCATTTTTCTCTTTAAAAAATTAGCCCCAAATTTTAAAACTAGGACTCTAATTTTGTTTTGCAGATAGTTAATAAAAAGATCTATACTTGTATAGTTTGGATAACTTTTTGGAAACAAGATATCTACTGTAATTATGAGGGGAAATTGGTATTGTGGTAGATGTGATTTTCATGTCTTTGGCAATTAATGCTTGCAGGTGAGTAGAAACAGAGGAGGGAAAAAACTCTCAAATTCTTCTAGCTGTGGTTTTATAATAGTGCAATATTTATATCCATTGGATCAATTTATGTTGACAATAAAGTAAGAAATTGGATCTATTGTATTTCAAAGTGTGTGTTTGTGTACATTTCTTAAAACATTTGGCTTCTTTTAACTGAAATTTTTATATGCTTAAAGAATAAGTTTGAATCATCTCCTGAAATCATTATCCTTAATTTGGTTAAGGAAAATCATCTTCTTCAAGGGTTTATTACAGATGCTAGTTATTCCCCCAAAGTACAGCTATGTCTGTTTAGTTATATATTGTCTTCACTCATTTAATTGGTCTCCTAAGTCTATATAAATGACTGATTAATTATGAACAATAGACTTTAGAGGGATTTTTCCTTCTAGTTTTTTCATTGAAAATTTTATGATTATAAAAACACTAGCATACAGCAAATCATGTTATAACTCTAACATCATGAATGAATAAGCTAAAAGTTACTAATATGTAATTAAATTTTAAAATTCTTACTATTATGATGCATTTTAAATTTGAGAAATTCACAGTTATGCCTTCTAACATAATTTAAGTGCAGAATGTGAATACCAAATTGTGGTTTACAAATGTAATTAATAATTTATCCTTGAATTTCTTGAATTTTAAAGAAATATAAAACTGGATGAATGACATATTTAGTAGAATGTAAACTATTATTGGTTTTTACAAACTAACACCAATATCTTGTATTTTTCTGAAAAAAAATCTAATTTCAAAATCAAGGTGCTTGTGGATTTGATGTTTTTACTTTGGGGAAAAATCTTTATCTCTGTTAGTTATTGTACTTTAATGTAGATTGGAAATCAGGAAGCAAAATACCTTTGTTCTCATTTATTCTCCATCACTTCTTTGTGGGTAACCTCTGTGAGGAGTTTACATAGCAATGCAACAAACTGCTTTGTACTGCTTCAGGTGAGAATAGAAACAAAAACAAAGAAAAGAATAGATGTTTTAAAATTTAATGTCAGGGAAGGAAAAAAGAGCAACATAAAAACAGCGAAAGTCAGGTGTTTAATGAGCTGAACATGGGATTAAAAATGTTGTGATTCGGATTTTTTCAGGGAGGTTTTCCATGCCTGTCTGTCTAACTAGCTTCATTAATTAGAATATTCATGCAGTTGGTTTTCAACCTGCCTCATCTTCCCTTCTGTACAGTAATGAAAATTTAAGATCTGTAATACTTTTCTACTACATTTCTTTGTTTTTCATTTATTCTTTAGATTTGAGTAATAATTTAATCAGATGTATCTCAAACCAACCCCCAGTGATCTAGTTTTTACCATTAAAAGGCTTCTTCTTATTGTTATTTATGTAATTTAAAACCAATATAGAATTCATGCATAGGTATATGTGTACAGCACAAATGTAAATTAGCACCTTCTACATGGTGAATACTATGTGTTTCTTTTTTTTTTTTTAATTTTTTTAGGCAATTGGGGTTAAGTGACTTGCCCAGGGTCACACAGCTAGTAAATGCCGAGTGTTTGGTCTGAGGTCAGATTTGAACTCAGGTCCTCCTGACTTCAGGGCCGGTGCTCCATCCACTGCGCCACCTAGCTGCCCCTATACTATGCGTTTCTTAAATGGAACTTATGGTGCCACAAGGTATGCTGTATAACCAGCCAGCCAAAGGACTGGAATCATGGGTATTTTCTTTCAAGTTTGAAGCTACACTACTTCTTGCTTGCCCTAGCCAACACATTCTGGGTCCCCTGTGGGGTAAAAAAGACCACAGAATTTTCTCCAATCTGGTTCTTTCTCCTGATCCTTGATAACAGTACACCAAATAACAGTACACCAATCTCCTAGATTAAAAGGCATTTTACCCTGCAACACTAAAAGAAGAATAAACAATGTAGAGGAAAAATACATTAAACTAAACAAAAACTTGTAATCATTCCTGACTCCACCTATTTACTCCACTTGAGTAAGTTCCTTCACTTCCACAGTTTCCATTGTAAAATGAAAGGTTGAATTTGAGCTCTAAGGTTGCTTTCTGATATTATATCAATACTATGCTTCAGGGTTTAATAGTCCATAGTTTTACTGCTTAATCCTGGTCATCTGTGAGCTATAGGACATTTACCATTAATTCACATTATTCTCTCCTCTTTCTAACATTCTTCTTAATATGAATCTTGATATTAACTTAATTTTATTTCCATGGCCATTGGCTAATTGGAGCCTTCATTTGCAGCCTTTTAGAATCTGCTGCTCCAGCTTTCACTGTGTCTTACTTTTAAAGGTTGGCATTAAGCAAATGTTTCCATTTTTTTTACTGACTACCAGCTTAGTCATCTCAGAACCTTTCACTTTATATCCACCGGTCAAAGCCTAAGAAAGCTTGGTTATTCCCCTAAAATACAGCTGTGTCTCTAGTTGTGTATTGTCTCTCTCTCTTCATCATCAAACTCGTAATGAAAAACAATTCTTATCTGCTGTTTCAAATCTACCTCTCCCCCAGTTTTAGATATTGTTGTCTCTGCTACCCCATCCTCTTGACTCCACATTCAGCTTTATTTCCACTGTATCATCTTAGAGATTTGTATTCTCTGGCTCCATTGGAAGCTACTTGTCCTCTTGCTTCTCCCATTCCACTGTTTTGGCTGGTTTGAAGCTCATTCTACAAGGCAGATCTGTTAACCAGTTCCGCTCTTGATAGAATAATCCTACACTTGTATAATTGATTGTTTTGAAGCTAAGTACAGAACTATATATATATACACACATATGCATATATGTGTGTATATATATATATATGTATATGTTCTTATTAATTTAATCTTTAATCTTACTAAATTCCTGTCAAGATTTTTCTGGATTCTGATTTTGTCAACTGATCTATTATCCATCCCTCCCAGTTTCATTTCATCCAAAACCTATATTTTCATTCAAGTCATTCATAAAATATTGAACAGAGTAAGCTCATAGTAGAATCCTATCGTCTACTGCTATAGAGAAATACATAAATCTCAGTTTCTTGGATCCATTCACTCTAAGAGTGTTGAGTATACCCAATAATAATAATCATCATATTTTCAGTCAGTTCATGTTCTTTATCTTTTCCACAAGAATATCACAAGTCTTTGTCAAATGCCTTGTTGATTTTTAGAGATGCTATGTCTGCAGCCCCTAGTTTACCATTTCTGTTCAGATTTGGAGAAGAATTTATAATTTCTGGGTCACATCTTTTATGCCTTGGTAGACTGTCTTCACAAGATAGTGTAGCAGAAAAAAAAATTAGTCACTTGATGACCAATCCTCCACTGATGAACCTCTCCCAAATTACCTAAGCTGGTCCCCAGAGAACAGACATACAGTTCATTTTCAGCCCATACTTAAAGCCTTTCCATCTTGGTGGAGTCTTCAAGATCTAGCATTCATTCTAGTGTCATAATCTTCAAGAGTCCAGTGTCACGATGAGACATTTTCAAAATAAAACTCTTTATCTTTCCCCCAAAACCCATCCCTGTTCCACGTTTGCTTATTAAGGATATCACCCTTCTTCTAGGCACCTAGGTTCACAAGTTCAGTGTCATCATTGTCTTCTTAGAAGCCCCACATTTCCTTTCTGTTGCTAAGTCTTGGAGTTTCTACCTCCATAACATCTCTTGCATTTGTCCCTCTCTCTTCATTTACTGAGCCACTACCCTATTTAAAGCCCTTAGCACCTCTCACCTGCACTGTTGTCCTAATGAGTCTCCTTGCCTCCTCCCTACTTTAACTCATCCTCCAAATTGCCTCCAAAGTGATTTTCTTAAAGTGCTAGTCTGACCATCTCAACTGGCCCTTTTGTTGTTTTTCAGTCATTTTCAGTCAAGTCCATCTCTTTGTGACCCCATTTGGGGTATTCTTAGCAAAGATACTGGAGTGCTTTGCCATTTCCTTCTCCAGGCCAGATTTGAACTCAGGAAGAAGAGTCTTCCTGACTCCAGGCCTGGCACTCTATCCACTGTGCCCCCTAGCTGCTCTTAGCTAACCCTATTCTAAGCAATAAACTTCAGTCATTCCCTGTTACCTCTAGGATCAAATGGCAATTCTTTTTGGCATTTAAAGCTCTATGTTACCTGATCAAATGCTGGCTCTGCAGATTTATTGTACATACTCCCCTCTGTGCACCATGGTCCAATCAAACTGGCCTTCTTGCTTTTCCTCATATGAGACACCCTTTTCTCTCGTCCTCTTGTTGTTGTGCTGGTTGTCCCCCATGTCTGAATGTACAGAATCCCTAGTTTACTTCGAGACAGTTCAAATGTTACCTTGTGTGAGGCCTTTTCTAGTCCCATAGGTAGATGCTAGTGCCTTCTCCCCACCCAGGGGACCAGAGACAGCTGCAGAATGGAAGTATGTCTTTGGGAGAAGGTAAAGGGGACGAGGCAGGGTCCTTACCCAGAGATAAGATTAGGAGAAAGGTTTCCAGGGGAGGGCTGAGGATTTATTTCTTCTAGCCTAGAGTGATAAACTAAATCTATACCCATCACCAGTCTCCCTCATGGTTTTGGTAATGGTGGAACTACTAAATAGCAGCTATTTGCACATAGTAAGTGCTTTATAAATACTTCATGATTTAGTGTTAGGAAATGTTAGAGATGTGTTTTTTGTTTTTCATTTATTCTTTAGATTTGAGTAATAATTTAATCAGATGTATCTCAAACCAACCCCCAGTGATCCAGTTTTTACCATTAAAAGGCTTCTTAGTGTTATTTATGTAATTTAAAGCCAATATAGAATTGTTGTACACATATTGCATCATTTAATCATCACGATAACCGTATTAGACAAGTGCCGGTATTAACCCTGTTTTATGAAGGAGGAAATGGGCTCAGACTTTAAATAACTTCTTCAGGTTCAAACAGTTTGTAAATGCCTTAGGCAGGATTTGAATCCAGGCCTTCCTGACAGCAAGTCCAGTGTTCTATCCACTATTTAAAATGTATATCATTAAGCATCTAGATTTATTAATAAACATGCCTGCTTTGATTCTTCCTTTTTGTTCTTTCGTTGCTTTATTTTGCTTAATTCCTTAGTAAAATTTACCTTTTTAATATAGCAGGCATTCATCAATTCTATATTGATTTACCAGTGGTACTAGAGGAAAGTTGCTTGTGTACCTGAATAAAAGTAAATCATAGAGCAAAAAATATTCTTAAGGTATGGTGGGGTTTTCTTTTCTTGTTGCTGTTGTCTTCATTTTTCCCCAGTAACAATTGATGTAGGGTAAGAAAAAGCCACTGTAAATGAAGTGATGTAAAAATAAATTTATTTTCTAAATTTGTAAAAAAAAAATTAATGTTTGTGATCCTATTCATAGCATATGGCCCAGAGCACACTTAATAATTGCTTCATTGATCTATACTTGAAATTGCTTGGAATAATAAACTTTATTTCCTTCTTGTGTTTTGTTTCAGACTGCGAGCAGGTACAGCCCCCATTCTGGCTCCAGACTCTGATGAACGCTTGTAGCCAAGCAAGCGATTTCAGCGTCCAAAGCATCGCTATTTCGCTAGTAATGGACTTGGTAGGATTGACTCAATCTGTCGCTGTTGTCGCTGGGGAAAATGTGAGCAGTGTGGAGCCTCCACAGCCCCTAAGTCCCAACCAGGGAAGAGTGGCTGTAGTTATCAGGCCTCCCTTAACTCCAGGCAACCTGCGGTACACTGCGGAGAAGACTGAGTTTTTCAAGGTATAGTATAAGAAATCTGTGTCACGCCAGAACTAAAAAATGAAGGAACTTCATAAATAATAGTGTTTTTAAAATGGTAGACAAATGAAATTACCCGAACTCACTTCATTGGAAAGAGGGCTAGATTTGAGGTTGAGAATCCGGGTTCAAATTCTATATCTGCCTCTTATTAGCTCTGTGACCTTTGGCAGGTTGTTCAGTTCTTGAACTGTTTCTTTATCTATAAAATGGGGAATTGGATTGAATTATTTCAAATGTATGATTCTAAATACTAAGCATAAATACTTGAATAGAATTCTAGAAAAAAGAAGTCACTTTATATTGATAGAACACACATACTCCCCTTTTTATGCTGCTTTTCACACCTTCCTTTAGTCATATCAATTTAATTTCTTACTCCTTATAAAAAGGGTCATGGCTAGGGAAGGCAAGAATTTCATGAAATAAAGAGGTGGAAGAATGGTTTAATCAACTTCAGCTCAACGATAGGACGTACTATTAGAAGGAGTGCTTGAGGTGTTATAACTTCTGTATAGTAAAATCTCGACTATCAAGAACCTTTATGGTATGACTTATTCTAGAGAGGAAAATTCTCCGGATAGGGACAGATTGGATTTCTCTTCCTCTCATTTTGTGGAAGAATAAAGGTCATTTACTTCTTCCTTACTTTATTGATGGTTAGGGCTTCTGAATTAACTAGAGATCTAATTTGACAACCCATGCAAAATCTGCCATGTTTAGACCAAGGATTCTTAGTTTTCTTAGTGTCATGGACTCTTTTGGCAGTTCAGTAAAGTTTATGACATTAGAATAATGTTTGTAAATGCATAAAATAAAAATGCATATGATTACAAAGGAAACCAATTATTGAAATAAAGTTATTTTTTTTTTTTAGAAATCATGGATCCAATGTTAAGAATCTCTGTTTTAGACCATAATTTTTCAAATATCTTCATATTTCTCACTCATTTAATTCTTTATGTTGGAGCCATGAAAATGCTGAAATATTCATTTTAAAGGAATAGACGGATCAGTCTGTGGCGCTTTCATATCTTTCTAAGCGAATACCCATCAGTTCTTGTATATTTACACAAGGTGTAAAATCAGTGAGGAACATTTTTTTCAACCAAAAACAAAATGAGGATATGGTGTAGTACTTCCATCTGGAAAAAAAAAAAAATGATTGACTTGGCAACTGTATTCTTCCGTGAAGAAACCTCTGAAGAGATTTTACTTTGAAGAAGAACTAAATATATAATAAATCAAATGGTTACCAGATTTTTTAAAATAGTCATTGTTTGAGTAAAGAGCATAGGTTTTAGCATAATCCACATGTGGTTTATACATCTAAACATAGGATGATATTTATACTAATGTTATGTTATAAATGAAAGACTAATTTTGTCCGTTTTTCTGAAAGTTGTCATAGACTATCAGGAGATAGAGGACATGATGGAATTTTTGTATTATTAAATTTTTATTTAAGGGACTTGTTTCCTGTAATATTAAGCCTTCTGAAAGTCTGAATTGTAATTCATGTTTATGATACCATTAAAATTATTATATAGTATTATTAAAAATAAATTGCATTCCATATATCTTAGATCCTAAAAAAAATCTCAAGTCAGCATCATTCTCTATGCCAAAAATTACTATAATAGTGAAATGTCACATAACGTTTTTCTGAGATCTAAATAAAGTACTCATGTATTTGAAAAATTGAATAAAAATTATGGTTGCTGTTTTATGAATTATAAAATCTCCTAGGGTACAGCAGAAATAAAAATAGTGGAATCATGATCAAAACTGGAAGCAGTATAGTCCAGGCTGTACATGACCAAAAATCCTCTCTGCACCATCCCCAATAGTCACTCAATCTTCACTTGAAGAGCTTTCGTGAGGGAGAGCCAACTACCTCACAGGGCAACCCACTTCATTTTTTGGACAACCCTAATTATTATGAAGCTTTTCTTTGGGTGAAGTCTTAAACTCCCAGTTTTCCTTAGTTCTTTCTGGGTCCAGCAGTACAAGTTATAGCCTTCTTTGACATAACAACCCTTCAAACCTTCTCCCATACGTAGTAAACATGATCATTTCTTTCTATCGATTTTCGTTTTGTATAGTTTTGTGACCTATCACTTGTCCTGATTGCCCTTCTCTATCCACTCCAGTTACCAGTATCCTTAAAATATGGTACCTAGATCTAAATATAATAGGAGGCAGCATTTATGGAGTAGTGGAATGCTGGTTCTGGAGTCAGAGGACTTAAGTTCAAATCTTACCTCTCCCTGACACTCTAGTACCAGATTACCCCTGTTGAGCAAGTCACTCAACATCCCAGGCCCCTGTTTCCTCTTCTGTAATGAATGAGAGAGTTGTAATAAATCAGAACCTATCAAATCCCTTCCAACTCCAGATGTGTGCACCTACCTTAACTGTGCTCTAATGAGAATGCAGTATGTAAAGACCGGCTTTTCTTATGCTATGGACAATATACTTCTCTTAATGCAGCCTAAAGATTACATTAGCTTTTTTTTTTTTTTTTTGGCTGCCACACGATACAGTTAACACATTGAGTTTACAATCCACTCAAAATGTTTTTCACATGGACTTTTGTCTAGCCATACTTCCCCCACTTATGTTTGTTTTTGAACCTAAATATTAATTTACACTGATCTCTATTAAGTTTCATCTAATTAGATTAAGCCCTTTGCTGTGCTTTGCTTTTCTATCCTGTCATCTAGCATATTGTCTATCTCTTCCAGATTCTTGTCATCTGAAAATTTAATAAGCATGTCTTCTAAACCTTCAGCTAAATAATTGATAAAAATGTTGAATGTCTCAAGGACAAAGACAGATCCTTGAAGTAATCTACTAGAGACTTCCTTCTCAACTGACAGTGAACCATTAACAATTTTTTTTGGGTCTGGAATTGAACTGATTCCAAATCTATTTAACATTACTGTTGTCTAGCTCATATTCTCCATCTTGGACACGAGAATAATATAAGAGATTATCATGTACTGTGCCTTAGTTTATGTAAACTATGTCTGTGGCATTCCCCTAATCTGCCAGTCTAGTTATCCTGTCAGAAAAAAGAAATGAGACTGATATTACCCCTTCTTGATGAAGCCATGCTGCCTCTTAGTGACCATTCTTTCCAGCTGTTCACATGCTATCCCTTTAACAAATACAGTCTTAACTTTCCCCTAATTAAAATCAAGGTCACTAACTTATAGCTTGCAAATTCTACTTTTTCCCCTTTTTGCCCATCTCTAGGCATATGGTGTCTTCTTTCATAATCTTTCACTGATAGTAACTCAGCAATCGTTTAGTCTAGGCCTGGTGACTTGAACTATGAATTTAAACTGAATATTTATTGTGGCGATTGTGATGCTGATGGTGAACCACACCCCCACACCCCTCAGCAAAAAATGGAGAATGGCCGTAGTCCCATCTATGAACTTTTAAATATTGGTACTCAAAGTGTTAGATCATTGCTCTTTGACTTCCAGTGGACACAGTACTGGAAAAACTGAACTGTATCAGTCTTAACATTCTCACAATAAATGAATTTAATAATATATAATAATATAATAATATATAATAATAATAATAATAGTGAGAAGGAAAGAATTTGCAGCTGACTAGAGGGATGGCTTAGCATTTCTCAGAAGCTTCAACTCATTTTAAGTACTAAAAGTACTCCTGGCAATATCCTTTGAAAGACCATACTACTCTTTTATATTCATTTTCCATTACCTACTCTTGCTTCCATCTTCTCTACTTATTTTTGTAAAATTTGAATTGGTTGTTGCATATTGGTTTCTCTAAACAGCTCCTCCTTTTCTTTTTTATTGGAATTGTTTCTTTTTGTGTCTTCATAGTTTCCATCCGAGAACTTTCCCTTCCCAGGCTGACTTTCTTTGAAGAAATTTGAGCTTATCCTTTTGCCTTAACTTTTTAAAATATTTAAAAAATTTTTTGTGCATCAGACTATTTCAAGAAGAGGTGACTTCTTCCCCAGCTTCCCATCCTTTTAATTTTGATAACTAGTTCCTCTTTATTGTTGTAAGTGAGGTCTAGTACAAGGGTTCTCTTTGTTTTCCTCAACCTTTTGAAAAAGGAGATTATTTAGTTCTGTTAAGAACTTTTTAGTTACTTTGCTTTTGTCAGAGAGGGGGAACATTAGAAGATTTCTGTGTAATTGAATTCCCCCATCACTCATCATGCCTCTATGCCAGATTTTTGACCTTTTTATTGCAAAAACTCTTCATTTATTTCCTCTTGTTCTGGTTGTCTATAGTATATTCTGATGGCAGTGTCACTTCTAGTTTTTACTACTTTGATCTTCCACCTAATCTTCTCAACAATGCCCTAGTTCAATTCAACATACATTTATCTGATTCCTAGATTTTCCTAGATAAATTTGTATTGTTAATATACAGTTAATATACCTTGCCTCCTCCTATATTTTATTGTTTTGTTCCTATCAAATAAGGTATATCTTCTCCAGAGATATATTGCAGCTTTGAGTCTCAACACTCCAATGATACCTAAGATGTCAAGTTTTCCTATTGCTTTGCTTATTTACCCCATAATTTATTCCTTTGAATATGGACATCTGAGTTTATTGGTTCCATTACTGACTTCTTTCTTTGATTCTCTCTCCAGTATATAATTGAATGTTATTTTTTCTTATTTTTCTTTTGTAATTTGTATGATACCTAACTTGGTAGCTACACCCATGTTTTTTTTTTCCCTTCCCCCTACATTTTCGGTTTAAAATGCTCCTGATAAAATGTGCAGTAATAAAAATAGCTGACATTTTTATAGTACAGGTCTTCTTAGCACTTGATATATATGATCACATTAGATCTTCACAACTCAATGAGGGAAGTGCTTTTTAAAAATCTGAATCTGTGATTTCGTCACTCTCCATTGCAGCATAATATAGTATTCTGTGTATGTGTATGCACACACACAATATACAATATACTGTACAGTATAGCAGACTATACCATAAAGTTTTACAGGCTTGCCTGGAACACTGAGTGGCAAAATAAATCTGCTTGCCTATGGGCATGTAGCCTGTCCACCTCAGATCTTCCTGACCCCAAGGCTAGTCGGTTATTTATTGACTCTACCAAGTATGTACTTCTGGCGTTACTTTCCCCATTTGCACGTGAGAAAACTGATGCTTAGAGAAGTTAAGTAATTTGTCTATAGTTATGTAGCTAGAAAGTGGATGTCAAAGAGTTTTCTGACTCAGAGTCCAGGCGTTTTCCCCACTCTACTCATCTGCTTCTCAAGCAGATCACAATACTCCTTTTATGTTCCTGAAGTTTGAGCCCAGTTTGTTTTTGCTGCTGGTCTTATAGAATGGCTTTGTCGGTTCTCGGTAGGTCAAGTTAATAATTTCTTCATGGAAATGATATGTGTATAAGGTAGTTTATTATCATTTATGGTTTATAATCATGTTTATTTTGCATTTATTTTTAAAGCATGTAGCTTTAACATTATGGGACCAATTGGGCGATGGGACACCCCAGCATCACCAGAAGAGCGTTGAACTTTTTTATCAGTTACACAACTTGGTTCCTTCTTCTAGCATCTGTGAAGATGTTATAAGTCAGCAGTTAACCCACAGAGATAAGGTAAATTCAACTCCTTTCATCTTGTACCTTAATATTCTGGAAAACACATTAAAGTAACTTTTGGAGAAAATGAACTTAGTTTTTTCAAGAGTGTGGAGGGAGTATCAAAATGCTTCATTTGGGAGAAAAGACTAGTTACTTCCATTTAAAATAAATGCATTTTATTCTTCATTAAAAGATTTAAAACATTGAAAATGTCAGAAATGACACTTTTTGTTCTTAGGTTCAAGTCACAATTTCTGGCTGGTTGTAAATTAAAATTGTTTTAGTTGATAGTCCTTAGATCTTTTAAAAGTGGAAGTGGTCCAAGGCCAGCGCATTTTCCATTTTTTTAAACCTTTATTATGTGTAAAAGCACTGAGCTAGGAGCAAAAAACAATAAATCTTTAAAAGGAACTATGATATAACCTTTGCCCTCAAGGAGCTCATATTCTGGAGGAACCATTAAGATGCATTCTACTCACACTAGTATAATGTGTGAAGACATAAGGGAAATTTCACAAACATTATATTAAGCAGGGTACATACTATGCTAGCCACTGAAGATGCAAAGATGAAAATGCAATACTGCCTTCCCTTTAGTTCTGTAAAAGCCCGATGATTGGAGATATGAACACTTACGTTCTGTGAATGTTGTTGATTGTTTCATAAAAATCGAGGAATTGTTTGCAGCAATTCTGATATATGTATCTAGTATCCATAATGTATTTCACAGTTAAGTGCTAATTTTCTTCTCTGAATGGAAGGTGGAAACTCAATTGTTGTGGTTGATGGAGACGGAAATATTCTTGTTTTCTTTTAAAGAATGTATATAAATATATCACCCAGAGGCAAATAAGTTTCTTTATCCCAAATCTATAGAATTAAAATTTATTTTTACATTTTGAATAGTTGTATGTTTTTCACATATCTTATGTCATGGTCAATTATAGGCAGAAGTCAGCCAGTAGCAAGTCAGCTAACTGTCTAAAAAACACTTCATACATGAGCCACTCAATAGAGTGATTTGGGAAACCTGAAAGTGGAGGAGGATACCCTAAATCTTTTCTAAATGGCTGAAAAGCCTATAGCATGTGTTTCCTAAGAAAGTGGAATAAGCCAAATATCTTAGTTGACAAGTTTTTTTTTTCCCTTGTGATGGACACATCACTGATAGAGCAATCAGTCAGAGTTTTAAAAAATTTTTTAAAAAGTAGCACAAACAGCAACACACTGCTTACTCTTTGGACACTGCTTTCATTGCTCTCTTGAGAAGATAATGTAGTAAAATTTGTAGTTCTGGTGTGCCTGCATTTAAAGTGTGTACCTGAAATGGAAGTTTCCTTTTTTTTTTTCCAGAGAAAGGCTAATATCCAGTGTTTCCTTATATGTTTAAGAATTTTTTCAGCCTGTCGAAAGTAAATTTAAAAGCGAGTAAAATATTTTATCTGATAATATTTTTTACTTGTTTAAGGCTCTACCATTAAGTAAATTGTTAGCTTCCAAAAGGTTACAAAGGACTAAAAATTATTGCAAAATCCTCTCTTAAGAAGTATTTCTACTTTCCTTTCATTTTAATATTATTTGGTTGTCATCTTCATGAAAATTCTTGAATTCTCATGAAAATACATTTTAATGTCACATTGTATTAACTTCTGTCATGAGTAATTCGGACAAAGAAGATATCTGCCCTCCAAAGATTAGAATATAAGAAGTTAGCATACATGGGTATGGGGGAGGGAGGGAGGCAGGAATGGGGTACTTTATATTTGATGTATTTTAAATGTGTTTATACTTAATACTCATTTTTTTTTCTTTGGAAAAGAATTTATTTCAACCTTACATATTATCTATTCTTACCTGAATACTTTCCGTAGATCTGAATAACTTTAAGTGATTTATTACCATATGAGTATTATATTTAAAAAAATTTTTTTCAAAAGAAGTGAAATGTAATTGAGTACATGAGCTCCAGGCCTAGAATCAGGAAGATCTGCATTCAAATTTGGCCTCAGCTGCTTATTAGCTGTATGATCCTGGAAGAGTCACTTAACCCCCGTTTGCTTCAGTTTCCTTTTCTTTAAAATGGGAATAGTAGGCACAGTGGATAGAGCACCGGCCCTGGAGTCAGGAGGACCTGACTTCAAATCCAGTCTCAGACCAAACACTTGACACTTACTAACTGTGTGACCCTGGGCAAGTCATTTAACCCCAATTGCCTCACCAAAAAAAACAAAACAAAACAAAATAAAATGGGATAGTAATAGTACCTGTCTCCTAGGGATTTTGTGAGGATCAAATGAGATAATTACAAAGCACTTATCACAGTCCCTGGCACATAGTAAGCTCTATATAAATATTAGCGACTATTTTTACTACTTATAATAAATAAGTCATTTCAGGAAGCATATTGTAATTATTACTCAAAACTACATTGTAATTTAAAACTGGTAAGAAAATACTCATTTTACATCATAGAATTAGATCCTTTCATACAAAGTTACCTGCTGTAGTCATGACACATGAAGTGGATTAACTCCTTCAGGCTCCTGTAGTTTGGGAACTGTAATGTTCTAGGATATAAATTAAATATGATTTACTCTTCTGGCTGGCGTTGATCATCCAAATTTTTTATATTTTCATATAAGATAGATGAAGTATAGAGATAACACCACTTTTTCTAAAATGGTTGCCTGCCTTCAAAGAAAAAATAAATTAGCTAAACTTCTTTGTTTTTCTGCAGAAAGTAAGAATGGAAGCACATGCAAAGTTTGCGGTACTTTGGCATCTAACCAGGGACCTTCACATAAATAAATCATCATCTTTTGCCCGTTCCTTTGACAGGTTGGTTATCACATCCATTGTATAGTCATGTGTTTTCTATCTTAACGCTTATCTTCCTTTGATAAATGTGTTTGGAGATAAGTGGCAATTTTCTACTTTTATAAAATTCATTAATTTAACTTTTAAATAAAATTAGTATTTTTTCACAACATTTTAAATATGTCATTTCTACCTATGTGTTTAGAGTTGGAAGGGATCTTGGAGATCATCTGGATTCAAACTCAGGACCTCTAAAGTCCTGTGTCTTTTCAGTCAAGCCATGTTGCTTCTGCTCTGATTTTCCCCTTATAATCCTGGAATAACCCTTTTGAAGCACAGAGATATAATACACCTCTTCAGCATGTGTCTGTGATTTTTTGTTAGAATGGGGCTTTAAATCTGAAACTACTTTGACAGAAACTGGGAAACTTTCAGTCCTGCTGAGCAGCCTTTTAGAGTGGTTTCTTAAGAACTCCAGCTACTTATTTGATAGCAGTGATTAATCATGTACTCTTTTTAGCTGACCCAGAAGCCAGGAAACAGACATAAATCTGCAGCATCCCCCTTCACAGGTGTTCAGATTTAGAGAATGGGTGTCTGAACAGGAACAGTAGTTCAATTTCTAGTTATTGCCTGAGGCCCAGTTTGTAGTCTGCTCAGTTTTGTCCCAGGTAAACAGGATAGTGTTACTATCCCTGAAATTTATTGGACTATTTAGAAGTTATTTTAAAAGTGTCACTATTTGTGGCTAGGGAGCAGTTTTCTCTGTGTGTTTTAATACAATGCAGACTTAAGAAGAAAATGTGGGCAGAAGAAGAGCGTTTAATTAAAGAGAGGCGGTAGCAGAGTGTGGGGGGAAATACAGTGAATTTAGAGTCAAAAGACCTTGGCTTTAAATCCCAGCCCTAGAATGTACTGCCTGTGCAGCCTTGACCAAGTCTCTTCCCCTCCTGGGTCTCGGTTTCATCATCTGTGGTCTCACAGACTCCTTCCAACTCTAAATGCAGTACTACAAGCCCCCTGCCTCATCATTTTACATTTCAGATTATCTCAGAATACAATCACTTTATAATTATTCACTCAGAAGAAGAATGAAAAATAATGATTCTTTGCTTTTCTATTTTGATCGTTATTTCCTACTAGATCACTGTTCATCATGTTAGATAGCCTTAATAGCCTGGACGGTTCCACTAGTTCTGTAGGACAAGCCTGGTTGAATCAGGTGCTCCAAAGGCATGACATTGCAAGGGTTCTAGAGCCATTGCTGCTGCTCCTGCTTCATCCCAAAACTCAGAGAGTTTCCGTGCAACGGGTACAGGCAGAGCGTTATTGGAATAAAGTGCCCTGTTGTACAGAGGAGGAAAATGACAAGCAATTTATGCAAAATTTTTCCTGCAGTGATGGTAAGCACAATAAAAAATTAATAATTTCATCCTTAATGTTAATCATCAGTTAATAAAATAAAAGATGTATTTACATAAGTTGATAGCACTTCATCAGAAACTTACCTTTATTAGAATTACTTCATGTGACAGTGGCACCATTTCCCAGATTTGCTTGTAAATTATAAAGCTATCTTGTTTATATTTCATTTGTTCTTGTTGATAAGGAATTGTCATCAGAAGGAGGCCTCATTCATCAAGGTAGACTGCTTCTCTGAAGAATGAGGGCTTTTCTGATTTATAAACCAGACAGGCAGAAGTTAAATGTAAAACATTTCCCTGATGATAGCTGTGAAAATGTCTCTGATATCAAACATATATTACTTCACAGACACAAATTAGAAAATTGACTTCAGGATTTTGGCCAAAAGCACAAATGATCATTCTTATTATGTGATAACTATGTATTATGACTTGAATGATCTTTTGTAAATGATACATAATGTCATACACGTATTATATGTACATTCTGTGGGACCTAATACAGACATCTCAAATTTGGAAAGGATAGAAAATCTTTGTGACCAAAATCTGATCTTTTATCCACTTAAATTTTCATTCCATGCCCGTTATGTTATATATACATACTTGTGTGTGTGTGTGTGTGTGTGTGTGTGTGTGTGTATGTGTGTATTTTTTACTTATGTAAGTATACATGATGCAAATACAATAAATATAATTACTTTGAAAGAACCTAAACAGTTTAATAATTAAGTCATTTCCTTGTGAAGTCTCACAGATGACAGTCAGTAATCTCAAGGAAAAATAGTATTTTGCAAAACATTCTAATATGTCTTGCGTTTTTTTCTTCTTTTAAAGCATTTTCCCATATGCCTACAAACCAAGTACAGCTCATTACAACTAAAGGAAGCAGTGAGAAACAGCTTGTGATGGATGAAATGGAGAACTTTAGTCTTACAGTCAATCCATTAAGTGACAGACTTTCTCTTTTAAGTACTAGTAGTGAGACAATTCCAATGGTCATATCTGATTTTGACCTTCCAGATCAACAGATAGAAATACTTCAAAGTTCAGATTCAGGTTGTTCCCAGTCTTCTGGTGGGGACAACTTGAGCTATGATGTGGAAACTGAAAATATGAATGCTCCAGATAATTCTCAGAGCCCAAAAGAAGATTCAGCAGATGATATCGTTCAGCAGGTAGTTTTTGACCTCATATGTAAAGTTGTAAGTGGCCTTGAAGAGGAGTCTGAATCAGTTAAACATCAACTACAGACAGATGATATGACACCTAAATTCAATTCATTAGATGCCTGTGAGGAGGTAATTAATAATGAAGATCAAGTCATCCAACATAGCCAGAGCAATTTACTTAGCAATGAAAGTTGTCAGTTTTTATCTCTGTCTGCTGAGGCTGGGCTGGAAGGCTCTTCTAATGGAATCTCTAGAAATAGCTCCTCACCTTGTATTTCTGTAACGCACCAGATGCTGCATGAACCTTATAGCAGTTCAGCAGAAGCAAAGTCTAGACAACGAAGTCATAGTAGTATTCAATTCAGCTTCAAAGAAAAACTTCCAGACAAAGTCTCCGAAAAGGAAACAATTGTCAAGGAGTCAGGAAAGCAGCCTGGAGCAAAACCCAAAGTTAAACTTGCCAGAAAGAAGGATGATGACAAGAAAAAAGCTCAAAATGAAAAGCTTAAGCAAACCAGTGTATTCTTTAGTGATGGTCTGGACTTAGAAAACTGGTATAGCTGTGGAGAAGGTGAAATTTCTGAAATTGAGAGTGATATGGGGTCTCCAGGAACACGAAAATCTCCCAACTTCAACATTCACCCATTATATCAGCATGTATTACTGTATCTGCAATTATATGATTCCTCAAGAACGCTGTATGCTTTTTCTGCTATCAAAGCTATCTTGAAAACTAATCCTATTGCTTTTGTAAATGCCATCTCCACCACTAGTGTCAATAATGTATATACTCCCCAGCTCTCTTTGCTTCAGAATCTTTTGGCCAGACATCGAATTTCTGTTATGGGTAAAGACTTTTATAGTCACATTCCTGTGGACTCTAACCATAACTTTCGGAGCTCCATGTACATAGAAATTCTTATTTCTCTTTGCTTGTATTATATGCGTAGCCATTATCCAACTCATGTGAAGGTCACACCACAAGACTTAATAGGCAATCGCAATATGCAGATGATGAGCATCGAAATTTTAACACTTCTCTTTACTGAGCTAGCCAAGGTTATAGAAAGCTCAGCAAAGGGCTTCCCTAGCTTTATTTCTGATATGTTGTCCAAGTGCAAGGTTCAGAAGGTGATTCTTCACTGTTTGTTATCATCTATCTTCAGTGCACAAAAATGGCATAGTGAAAAGATGTCAGGTAAAAACACTGTAGCCATTGAGGAAGGTTTCTCTGAGGATACCCTTATTAACTTCTCAGAGGATGAATTGGACAATGGCAGCACTCTGCAGTCTCAACTCTTAAAGGTGCTTCAGAGGCTGATTGTTTTAGAGCATCATGTAATGACTGTTTCTGAGGAGAATGAAACAGGTTTTGATTTCGTGGTAACTGACTTAGAACACATCAACCCACACCAACCAATGACTTCTCTTCAGTATCTGCATGCCCAGCCAATCACATGTCAAGGCATGTTCCTATGTGCAGTGATAAGAGCTTTACATCAACACTGTGCATGTAAGATGCATCCTCAGTGGATCAGCTTAATCACGTCTACTCTGCCTTATATGGGAAAAATTCTACAGAGAGTGGTTGTTTCTGTGACGCTCCAGCTTTGCAGGAATTTGGATAACCTAATTCTGCAGTACAAATATGAAACAGGACTATCTGACAGTAGGCAAGTGGTGTTGGTTTTTATTTTTATTATTTTAATGACTCTTTATGTTAAAAGGAATGTTTGAATTTCTAAAAAGCCAGCCACAGATTATTTTGCCCACCAAATTGGAGTGCATCAGAAGATAGTGAATATGTCATCATTTTTGTAGAGAAGCTGAAGTAGTCAGTTTTGAGGACTCAGAGTTTGATGCCATAAATAATATTATATTTGTATGAATATAGTCTGTATTTCTAGCCCACCTAGTCTGGCTTGTACAAATCACTTATTAGAAGTAGAAAAGTTGGAATGGAAGAAATCACCTTGGCAATTAAAGAGAACCTTGTTATATTTGAGTGGTTTTTGAAAGGAAAAGTATCTCTACCGAATTTGCCGTCAATGACTTAAAAAATATACTATCTTTTAATGCAATAGATTGTAATGACGATGATGTAAAAAGGTCAGGAAGAGGAGAATAACAGTAAACTCAAATGAGATCAGTGGTGATAAAAATGAATATTGCTTTAAGTTGGAAGAAATATTTTTAAAAATCCTTTGATAATTTTTAATACAGCAACTTCTTGTAATTATTTTCAGTGTGAACGTATATTTTTTTCTTCCAAAGATTTAGGAGGTTCGTGTGTCTCTCACTCTCCCCCTAAGATATGTTCAGACATATCTTAGGTATAATCTATGTTCAGACAAATACAGCATTTCTATTAGGACTTTTCTCTCAGTACCCAGTCATTTGTATGAATGATGTTCCATTTTGTAAATATGGTAAAGTCAGGAGATATATGTTTTTCCTTTTCTTACCTTTTGTAGGCTTATCAAGGGTCTGATTATGCATTTGACTTGTGTTCTCAGTCTCCTGGGCATTTATTTGATGCTCAGACTACTCTGATTTCTGTGTAATTAGCCAAAAATGGAGCTAGCTTATTCCAGCCAGCTCTATAAAAAATGTATAGGAAGCCTGACCAAACCATTTAATGTCTTCTCTGTCACTCACTAATTGTTGGAAAATTACTATATGTAATTGAGTAGATAATAAATATGTGTGTATATCTTACTAATATATTGCCTTAATAGATCTCTTTAATCAAATGAACATATTATATTTTAGGCCTCTTTGGATGGCATCAATTATTCCACCAGATATGATTCTTACTCTTCTAGAAGGCATTACAACCATCATTCACTACTGTTTGTTGGATCCATCCACACAGTATCATCAGGTAAGATGTGTTTGACAGATAGCATCAACACTTCATGTATCAAGTTTAGCCAGGCATTCATGTTTCTTTCTTTCTTTCTCATAGCTCTTGGTAAACGTTGACCAAAAGCACCTATTTGAGGCACGAAGTGGGATCCTCTCCATCCTTCACATGATCATGTCGTCTGTGACACTGCTTTGGAGCATCCTGCATCAGGCTGACTCTTCAGAAAAATCAACTATTGCTGCAGCTGCATCTGTTACCACTATTAATCTTGGTTCCACAAAGGTTAGGAAATGCTTAAGTTGTCATTTCTTAATTTTTCTCTTCTCCATTCCAATTCCTAAGCTAGATCTCTTATATAATAAATGTAGAAGAAATAGAAAGATACATGATGCCCCAGGAGTAGGGGAGAGGGGCGAATCTTGGACATTCCTTCCTGAAGAGTAATGTAATAACCTCTGAGCCAATTTTGAGGAACATTGGGTAAACTACAATTTTCAGAAATTTCATTGAGCAGAGTATCCACTAATTGAAAAGTACTTTCTTTAAAAATGTGAAACACTCAAATCCTTTTTAAAAGACTTTGATAGATGATATTTTTCTCTCAGCCTCCAGGTGTCTCATTGTGTGTAATATTATTTTGGTTCTTGCTTAACTTATACTACTGTTTTTTATTATCAGTTATTTTATGATCTTCAGTACACATAAAATTATTTGAGTTATATTATCTCATTTTATATAAATTTTTACTTGTCATTTGCTTGGACTTTTTCAGAATTTGAGGCAGCAGATTCTTGAACTATTGGGCCCAATCTCAATGAATCATGGGGTGCATTTTATGGCTGCCATTGCATTTGTATGGAATGAAAGAAGACAAAACAAAACTACTTCTAGGACAAAGGTATACATTTAACTCCTTTTTGACTTGAATTAGTTTATTCCTATAGCAGATACACATATTGAGCTTCTGCTGTGTACTTAGCTTTCTACTAGGTGCTATATGAGTAACTCAAGTCATTTGTTACATATTTTTGAAACAATTTTTCACCTTATTATCTATAAAAATAGTTTCAGAATTAAAATCTGGAGTTTACTTAGGACCTGAAAAGGAAGCTTTTCTCATTTGAGAGGTGGAAGACCACAGGTGGAAAGTGTTGCACACCTGATAGATGTGATTACTGTGACTGTTTTGCTTAAATTGGGTTTCAGAGGAGGTTGGATTATTGGAAAGTGATAGAGGTATAAAAGTGAATGAAACAGAAAAGGAGCAAATTGAGAGAAACATTTTGATTTAAGAGACAAAATCAAGTATGATATCTAATGTGTAAATATATTTGTTAGGAATGCAGGTAAACCCTGAATGTAGTGTCATCCTGATCAACATTATTCTGCATTAATGTTATTGCTTCTCACATGTTACAGAGTTCTACTCTCATTTCATTCACTGATCACCTGAGATGTGAATTGTACCATTCATAGTAACTGCTTCCTGTACAATTGCTTTGTCTAACATCATTTTTCAACTAAAACAGATACCAAGTTTAGGTAGGGTACAGCTGCATACTAACGTCCAAGAGTCTTTCCTTTTTTTAAAAATTCTGGAGTAATTAAGTGTTAAAGAAAACAATAATAATAGGAATGTTGGGACATAGATTTATTTTATTAAGCTGATTGCTTGAACATAATTTTAATATGTCAGATATAACTGGCCTCTGCATTATTATGGAAACTATTTTGGTTTTGAGTTTAAGCAGTGTGCTGAATTGCACGATATATAGAGAAGAAGCATTACAAAGTCTTCCATTCTCTTTTTCCAGAACCAGTTTCTTTATTTTTTTTCCTCTTTTTATTGAAGTGTATCTCAAGAGCCTATCATAGCTAGCCCAGTTCTTTTGACTGTAGCACATATATTAAGTAGGAGTGCTGAATTATTTAAGATCATATATCCAAGCATGTGGTTTATTGTTTTCTACTGATTTCACATGTAACATAGGCTGACTCTTATTTTTAAAAAAAATGAAGAACCAATTGATAATACATTTTTCTGTTCATGATGGCAGCTTTCTAAATCTGATGAGAATGTAATAGAACTTAGATTAGACAGTATTCAGTTTGTGTCAACAAACATTTCTTCAACATCTGCTGTATATCAGGTACCCTCCTAGACACTGGAAATACAAAAATACAAACAAAACAAAACTGTTCTTACCCTCAGTTTGCTTACATATTGCTAGGAGGTTGCAACCTGTACGCACATAAGTATAGTATGAGAAAAATTAGAAGTGGAAGAGTTTTCTGACTGGGAGAAATTGGAAGTAGGGAAGCCAGTTAAGAGTTGTCATAGTTGTACAAGTGAGAGGTGATCCAGAAATTAGGATTTTTGCAAGGAGGTAGAGGGGGTGAAGAAGCAAACAAGGGACTAGATAGTCCTGACTTGCATCGGTAAGGTGGGACTGATTCAACAGTTCGCATTAGGCAATCCTTGTACTGTGTGCAGAGCTCTGAAATACTGTGTGGGGGAGGATCTCTGCTCTCAGACACTTCTCAGTCTAGTAATAATTTTGTCATTCCTTTTAGTGATGACGTGTCGTGTTATGCTTCTCAGGTCATTCCTGCAGCCAGTGAAGAACAGCTTTTGCTGGTTGAACTGGTTCGCTCAATTAGCGTCATGAGGACTGAAACTGTTATCCAAACAGTAAAGGAAGTTTTGAAACAGCCACCAGCCATTGTCAAGGACAAGGTATGAAAAGAGATGTTTTGTGTTTTCACTTCTCTTTTGTAAATACTGTAGAACAGTGATCTCCAGAGGGGGTCTGGCTCACCCCAAGGAGTATGCGGTCAATTTAAGAGAGGGAAGGTGGGTTGCGTCCCACCCTCTCCATGATAACCAGTCATGGGGCTGATCTTCAATACTCTCCCACTCTCACCCATTACCTTTGCTGTAAAAGCTCCTAATTGTTCTCCCTGCCTCAAGTTTCTCCTTTCTTCAATATATTGTTAATACAATGGCTCCCCATTGACTCTAGGATCAAGTATTATTTCATCTTTTTCTCATTTCCCATTAGATTGTGAACTCCTTGTGGGCAAAGACTGACTTTTGCCTCTTTTTGTACCTGTAACATTTAGCCCAGTGCTTGGCATAGAGTAGACACTTAATAAATGCTTATCAAATGACTAATTTTTATTTTTATATGTTTTATAATGTATATGATCAATACAGTAGTACATATATATATAAAATTTGTTGATGCATAACTTTATACATAATGGAAGTGATGCTTAAAAATTTGTCACTGATAGAGATAATGCAGTCAAAAGAGCTTGGAGACCACTGCTGTAGGCAGTTAAGACTTCTGTGCTAAACAGTATTTTCCAGTAATAACTGATAGTATAATTAAAAGGATACTGGTCTTGGAGTCAGAAAGAAAAATTCACTTAAACAACTTTGTTGAGCATCTATGATATGTGAGGCACTGTGGTGGGCACATAAGAGTTACAGGATCAAAAACAACATAGTCTTTATGCTCAAGGAACTTGCAATCCGAATAAGTGTGGACAGGGGGTACTACGTGATGGGGCAAAGGATAGACAATGCCCTAACTTTCTTTACATATGCTGTAGCTCAGCCGAACTGGCTTTGCTGCTCCTTGCACTTGAAACTCAATCTCCTGTCTTACCGACACCAAACCTTACATGAGGGTAAATAAATGAAACTTATCAAATTAACAAGTTGTCAGTCTACATTAAGTCTTGCCAGACCAACGGAAATTCAGCTGCAGACCTGAAGAAATGAAGGCAGTGCGTCTAAGAAATCTAATTTCTGTGTCTCCTCTTAATCTTTTTCTTAAGGTTTTCATCTAAAGAATCAAGCTATGAACTTATACAAAGCTCTTAAATATTTTTGAGTCAAGTAGATACTCGTATTCTCTTAGCAACATCAGGGAGCACTTGACAAGAATAGTTGTGGCTAAAAGAGAAGAGGTTGCCCATGTTAGGAGAAAGGGAGCTTTTTTTTTAATTGATTATTCTTGATCATCTCCAGAGCTAAAATTTCTTCTAGTGCCTCAGAAGTTACCTTCATATCTTTCTATGCCCTTTTTAATTAACTTATATTATTTGTTGTATTTAATTTATATTAAGTCATTCTGCCAACTGGCTTTAAATTTAAATAGGCAAATTTGATAACATAGTTTTAACATGAATTAAATTCAAGTTAAATAGAGTTAAACTGAATTGACCAAGATTATTCAACCTGTTACTGTTTGAAATAAATCTTGTGGAAGCTTTTTGGAGTGGATATACTTTATAAATCAACGATCTCTAAGGGGAGCTAAGGGAGGATCAAGAAGAAAGGATGATTAAAAAATAGTCGTGGAGATATTTTTCATATTAGATTTGGTTTTAATGTTTTCTGACATGCTAGAAGTAGACTATATTAAAGAGGATATTAGAGTAAATCATATATAATTAAATGCCAAAATAGAATGCCTGAAAATTAAAGAAATTAATAGAATTGAAAACTACAAAAACAATGAATTAATAAATAATTCTCAGGAGTACTGGGAAAAACAATTAAATAGATATACTATTAGTTAATTTGATTAAAAAGAAGAGGAAAAGCAAATTAGCAGAATCATAAATGAAAGAAAAGTCAGAACGAAGGAGATTACTGTTTGGATGAATTAAATATTTACCAAAAATACAGAACATTCAAATTAACAGATCAAGAAATAGAGAATTTAAACAACTCAATTTCGAAAGAAATTTGTCATAAATGAGCATCTTTAAAAAAAAAAATTCTAGGGCCAGATGAATTCACAAGTGAATTTCATCAAACATTCACAGAACAATTCCAATGTTACATACAACGTTGGCAAAAAATAGCAAGAGCCAGGATCCTACCAGATTTTGTCTATGATACAGATGGCTTGATACATAAATCTTAGAGAATCAAAACTGAAAAACTATGGACCAATATCTCTAAAGAATATAGATGTAAAAAAAATTCAATAAAATACTACCAAAGACGCTGAAAACAACAACATATCACAAATTACACACTATGACCAGATTTTCTAAGAAATGAACAGTTAGTTTAATATTAGGAAAATGCCAATCTTTAACCATATTAATAACAAAACCAATAAAAATCATGTAATTATATCAATTGGTGCAGGAAAAGCTTATGACAAAATACAACACCCATTTCTATGAAAAATACTAGTAATGAGAGGAATAAATAGGCCATATTTAAAATTTTATATATATATATATATAAAACCAAGAGTTACCATTATTTATAATGAAGATAAACGGAAATCCTCTCCAATAAATTCAAGGGTAAAACAAGACTACCTATTGTCATCACTTATATTTCACATACTAGCTAAAATGCTGGATATAGCAATAAAACAAGAAAAGGAAATTGAGAATAACTATGTGAAGAAGAAACTAAATTATCACTTTTTGCAGATGATATGATGATGTACTTAACCCTATGGAGTTGATTTAAATTAATTGAAAATCAAATTATTTGAAAACTAAAAATTTAAAAACTAATTGAGACAATTAATTTCAGCGAACTTGTAATATATAAAGTAAATCCACACAAATCATCATTTCTATGGAATAACAATGAACACAGCAGGAAGATAGAGAGATTCTGTTTAAAATTACTAGAGAATGCATAAAATAGTAGGAAGTCTACCTTCTAAGATAGACATAAGGGCTATAATAACAATAATAATAGCTAACAGTGCTAACTGTATCAAGCACTGTGCTATAATTATCTCATATGATGCTCAAAACAACCCTGAGAGGTAGGTGCCATTATTATTCCCATTTTACAGATGAGGAAACTGAGGCAAACAGGGTTAAGTGACTTGTCCAGCTAATGAGTGTCTGAGGTCAGATTTGAATTCAGAAAGTAAGTCTTCCTGACTTCAGGTCCAGTGCTCTATCTGCTGTGCCACCTAGTGGCCCTCAAAAAAACAATGACAATACAACCGAAATCTGTTTACTTATTCAATTCCATACCCATCAAAGTAGCAAAGGAATACATCATGGAACTAGAAAATATAATAATCCAATTCGTATGGAGGGGGAAGGGTCAAGAACCTCAAGAGAAATAGTGAAAATAAATGGGAATGAAGAGGACATAGCAGTGCCAGATCTCAGACCACACTTAAAAAGCAGTGATTTTTAAAATAATTTCATATTGGTTCAAAAAGAGATTTCATACTTAAGCAAATCTATCTACTACCCTAGTATTAGATAAACACAAAGACCCCCACTTATAGGTGTACGAACTTGACAAAAATTTCTGGGAAACTAAGAGACCATTATGGGAGAAATTCAATTTAGACCAACACCTCACACCTTATATCAAGATTAGTTCCAAATGGATGTGACCTATATATAAAAAAACAAATTAGAGAAACAAGGTAAAAGTTACCTTTTCAGATGGACCAAAGAATACAAAGGATACAGAAGAGAATATAGATAATTTTGATTACATAAAATGTAAAGGTTTTTCTGAGAACAAATCTAATCAAGCTATTATTAAGAAAAACAGCCCAGGAAAAAATATTTACAGCAAATTTCTCTGGTAATGGGCAGTTCTTAAGGGATGAAACCCAGGGTATCTGTAGCCATGTGAAAAAATGCTCCAAATCATGACTAATTAGAGAAATGCAAGTTAAAGCAATTTTTTTTTTGTTTTTCCCCCAACTAGGCAGTGGGGTTAAGTGATTTGCCCAGGGTCACACAGCAAGTAAGTGTTATGTGTCTGAGGTCGGATTTGAACTCTGGTCCTCCTGAATCCAGGGCCAGTACTCTATCCACTACGCCACCTCGCTGCCCCAAGTTAAAGCAATTTTGAGGTTCCACCTCATACCCATCAGAGTGGCAAAGATGACACAGAAGGGAAATTGGTAAATGTTGGAGGGGATCTTGGAAAGCAGTCACATTGGTGCACTGTTGGTGAACCTATGAATTAGTATAACCATTCTGGAAAACAATTTGGAATTATACACAAAAGATTACTAAATAGTATATGCCCTTTGACCCAGTTATACTACTTCCAGGCTGGCACCCAAAAGAGATTAAAGAAAGAAAAAGATCATTTATGTGCAAAAATATTTATAGCAGCTCTCTTTTGTTGGGCAAAAAAAACAAAAGCCTGGAAATTCAAAGGTTACCCATCATTTGAAGAATGTCTCTGAATATTATTATATAAATTACATAATATATAATATATAATGCATATATATTATATATATAATATATAATGCATTATATATTATATATATATATAATATATATAGTATTATATAAATGCAAGGGATTACCATTATGCTGTAATAAAAAAATGACAGATGATATTGAAAAGATACGGAAAGACATGTACTAATGCAAAGTCAAGTAAACAAAACCAGAAGAAGGGTTTGTGTTATAATATCAGTATTGTAAAAATGAACAATTTTATGGAGAATAAAATGATCAGAAGCAGGAAAATAGTTTATACAATATTAGCTATGCTGTAAAAAACAACTTTGAAAGCTAGAAGAATTATTACTGCTGCAGTTACCTGTCATGATTCCAGAGGACTGATGCTGAAACATGCTATGACAGAGAGGTGATGGATTTAAAGCACAGAGCAAGACACATGTGTGTTTGTATTCAGCCATTGAAGGAATTTATTTTGCTTAACTATACATATTTGTTACAGGAATATTTTTTTTCTTTTCTTTTTAACTATTTTGTTTTGTAAAACTGGGCAGCTATGTGGCACAGTAGAGCCCCATTCCAGAAGTCAAGAGGATTTGAGTTCAAATGTAGGCTCAGATACTTATTTAACTGTGTGACCCTGGGCAAGGCACTTAAGCCCTCTTTACCTCAATTTCCTCATTCTGTAAAATAGGAATAATAATAGCATGTACCTCGTAAAGTTGTTGTTAGGATCAAACGAAATAATAATTTTAGACTGTTTAGCAGAGTGCCTGGCACACAGTAGCTCTTTCAGTTCCTGTCATCCTTTACTACTTTTCTTTAATGGATTTCATCATTATTTTAGGAACTGAGGACTGTCCCAAGCTTTATTAAGAGAAAAGCAGACTATGGACCTCAGATTACTCATTGGGGGGAAATTATGTTAATTACCTACTTCTCAGGGTTCAGAGAATCAAAAAGAGCTAAACAAGATCTTAGAGATTATCTAGCCTAATCTCCTCATTTTATAGATAAAGAAACAGGCCCAGAGGAATTTAAATGACTGCTCAGGTTCACAGAGACCATGGATATTAGGCCCAGGATGTGAACCAAATGACAATAAAACATATACTCTTTGCTGCTTGGCACTTGCCAGGCCTTGTTACAAGGCTTAAAGTACTTTAGAAATGTGAGTTGTCATAATTCTTTTAGAATGAAAACTCCTTTCGAGCACCATCTATGTCATGTCCATCTTCCTACATATAACCAGCACTTAGTACTATAGATGCTTATTTTATGTTTGTTGGAATGAGGGGGAAAGCGAGAAACCAAAAAGGAAATGTAATAAAACGTTTAAATAAAATGAAATAAATGAGAAAAATAGTTCACTGATTATTTTTCTTAAAACTGAAGACAGTATGATAAGTGCTACAGTTTGTTAATGAAAAAGCAAAGGCAGTGTCTTTCTTCAGAGTAAAACAGATTTCTTCTGTTTTCAGAAACATCTTTCTTTGGAAGTCTGCATGCTGCAGTTTTTTTATGCTTATATTCAAAGGTAAGACAATTTTATTTTCTTACTGCTTTACCAGTGGAGAAACAATAAGAGAAGGGGAGTTTGAATAGTTGTTATTCAGTGCTTGCTATGTCCTCTCCTACTGATGTTAAGTTACTCATAAGTTCCATAATCAAATCCAGTTACACAGAGAGATTGAATTGGTTTAGAGAGAGGACTTTGGGAAAGCTGGAATTTTAATAAAAATGAAAGACCTGAATCACTACTGAAGTACTACTAACATTATGTTACAGTGTTGGGACTAGTGGACAGGTAGCATACTGGAATCTTAATTCATTTTCTTTAACTGATCTATCTAGATTGTAGTAATCCCAGCTTTGTTCTTCTGATGAGGAAGAAAGGCTCATAACTTATACTTGCTTATGAAATACTCCCAAGATCATGACTCCACTACAACAAGGCTTCCTAACTATCCCTTGTTATTTTTTACAGTTTCTTATAAAGCATGCTAACTATCTAAATCATAAAGTTACGTGTTATATTTTAATAGATGGCAGTATAGACTAAAGGCTGCTTAAGATCTGAACTTATAATAAGAAGGTGGGTTTAAGGTAAAGCTTAAACAAAGATAATCTTAATTTCTTCGCAGGTGAGAGAAGGGTGTTCCGAATAGACAGTCAGTCTCTCCTATGCTGATGTGGAGATTCATAGGTGAAGAAGTAGGAAATAGGTGAATGTGATGGAGAATGACTAAATTGAGATATATATATTTATTTACTTTGGGAGTTCAGATGACTAGTAGAATTTATTATTCTACGTTCTATAGCAGAACATTCTAAAACTCATGAAAATTTTCAGATCAGGTGTTTCAGATTTCCTTTTCTATCATAATACAGATGTTATTGTTTTTAAGAGTTCTGAATTGGATCCATATCTAGAAAAAAATCGGGATTTTTTAGCGGAAGTAGTGAACAAGCTTATCACATGAATAATAGGAACAAGATTAAAATTTGGTGTGACTTCATTTGTAAACTGTACTTGTTTTATAGGATTCCAGTACCCAGTTTAGTGGATAGCTGGACATCATTGCTGATTCTTCTGAAAGATTCCATACAGCTGAGTCTCCCAGCTCCAGGGCAGTTTCTCATACTTGGGTAAGCAGTTTTACTGAAAATATTTTCTCTTAATAAAGATGATATATGTACTCACATCCATATTACTGAATGGTAGGTTTGAGGACTGTTACATATTCCCTTTTCTTGTCATAGAGTACTTTATGGGTACTTGGTGGGGGGCACAATAATTAGAAGTTAAATTAAGCAAACTGTTGTCTCCTGGAATGTGCTAGATGGGCAGCTGACTTGGCAAAAGTCTTGGACTTTTGTGTCCTTGTTCAACAAGGACAATGAAAGAAAGGCTAGCCTTACTCTGGGGAAGCTTAGTCCGCACCCTGTATCCCCCAAGCCATTGCTTGAAATGAAGAATAAAAAAGGGAAAAAAAGGTTATAACTGATTAAATGCTCTATAGAACTAAACAAAACTAACCACATCAAACAGTGTGACTGAATGCTTTGCTATATACTCAAGAGTCGCTTGTCTCTGAAAAGAAATGAACTGAGGTACTTTTTCCCTTCTCTTCTTTGAGGCCAGGCTTATGGTTGATCATTATTACACAACCCTCTGTTTCAGGTTTTTTTAAAATTTATATTGTTGTAGGTGTATATGTTGTTTTATTGATCTTGCTTACTTCACTTTGCATCAGTTTTGTCCACTTTTTCTTTAAAATAATGTATTCTTTTTCTGTTTGGCATATTTTTAGAGTTCTGAATGAATTCATTATGAAAAATCCTAATTTGGAAAATAAAAAAGACCAAAGAGACCTTCAGGTAAAGCATTAAGTCTGAATGGACCTTTTTAAATTTTTTTTTTTTCAAATCACTTCTAGTAAATGCAGTTGAATAAAAAGTAAAGGGGAAAGAAGCCTAAATGTAGAGTTAGGAATCCTGTTCCTTATTACCTGTTAACTGTGGAACCTTGGGCAAATCATTTAATTTCTCCAGCCCTTAGTTTTCTCAACTGTTGATCTGTGGTACTGTGCTCAGATGTCAAAGTCTCCTTTTAACTCTCAAATGCTATAGAAACCAAAAGTATGTGCTATGAATATACGATGCTGTGGCCTATAATTAAACCAGTTTTTTATATCACTAATCTGCTACACAAGGAAACTTCTGTAATTGGATGTCTTTTGTCTTTTTTCTAAGTTTATTTCTGTTTCATTTATTTCTTTAGGATGTTACTCATAAAATAGTAGATGCAGTTGGTGCAATTGCTGGCTCTTCTTTGGAACAGACTACATGGTTACGTCGAAATTTAGAGGTTAAAGCTTCCCCCAAAATTATGGTGGATGGCACCAATCTGGAATCTGATGTGGAAGGTATTACACTAAAACAGTTTAGCTTATATTTGGAGTCATGTTGATCTAATATTTTTTAAGAATTCAATAGGCAGTCTAAGAACTATGATAGCTTTGCTTCCGTGGTTATCCTTGTGACTCTTGTTTTGAGTGAATATATTATTATTATACCTGCCTTTTGTTTTATTTAGATATGTTGTCACCTGCTATGGAAACATCAAATATAACTCCTTCTGTGTATAGTGTTCATGCCCTGACATTACTTTCTGAGGTAATTGTTCTGTAGTGCATTTAATCATGTATGACTTTTAAGGCGCTGTCTGTTAGTGCTGATGATAAATAGGGCTGCTGTTACTGAATGTCTTACTTTTAAAAACGATTTTGCACTTTTTTCAATAAATAGGATGATCTGGTTTAAGTAGATTTTAAAGTTACAATTTTCAGTTAGCTTCTTCAGTATTAGCTTTACTTTATTAAACCATGTTCATTGTACTCTTTAGTAAATAAAATTATTTTAAAGGATAGTATTTACATTATAAGTTTATAAGAGAAGTTGTGGCATGACCCTATTTGGGGAAAAAAAAAAAAGCTTATTGTCTGAGCCCAAGTCTATGTTCCTGTTTCCTGGTTTGTGATCATTTAACATCTCTAAGCCTCTGCTTCCCAGTATCTAAATTAGGGGTGATTGTCTTCCACCTTTTCACAAGATTTTGATGAGTAAAAAGCAAAATAACAGAAATTAAAGTCCTTCTCTCCTTTGGGAGGGAGGGGAGAGTAGGTAGGAGTGCCATTTAACTAATGAACTTTAAGTTATTAGTAGGGATTCTTAAGAATTTAGGTTTCTTATAAACCTAAAGTTATTACTATTTGACAGTACTTGTTTCAGCTCCTGAGATCACACTTTTCTGATTCTTATGGTTTGTAGGTTCTGGCTCATCTTCTGGATATGGTATTCTACAGTGATGAGAAAGAAAGAGTCATTCCGTTACTTGTAAATATCATGCATTATGTTGTGCCCTACCTCCGAAATCACAGGTACTGTTACTCTTAAATATATGGCATAAATATTTTAAAATTTCTTTTGAGAAAATGGAAACAAGTTATTCCTTTATGGCCACTTTTGCTTTGTTCATTAAAATGTGGACATTGATTCTATTCATATTTTTATTATATAAAACAGGTAGGTGGCACAGTGGATAGAGTTCTGGGCCTAGAGTCATGAAAACCTGAGTTTAAATCCGGCTTCAGGCATTTATTAGCATTGTGACCCTGGGCAAATCACTTAACCTCTGCCTCAGTTTCCTCAACTATAAAATGGGGATAATAACAGCACCTATCTACCAGGGTTGTTGTGAGGTTTAAAAGTGCTCAGCACAGTTCCTGAGAAGTAGTAGGCACTTAATACATGCTTATTCTCTTCCCCTTTCTTTACCTTTATCGTGAAGTGTGATTGTAACAACCAGATTTAGTCATTCTTTTGCATTGGAATGTTTTTCATTTCTTTGCAAAATTTTCCTAAATAGTTGTGACTCTAATTGTAATTAAACACAGTAATTAAACTACAACTTGCATGTTAAATTGATTTTTTTTTTCCTCCTTAAGTGCCCATAATGCACCCAGTTATCGGGCCTGTGTTCAGCTACTTAGCAGTCTTAGTGGGTATCAGTATACACGGAGAGCATGGAAAAAAGAAGCATTTGATCTTTTTATGGATTCCAGTTTCTTCCAAATGGATGCCTCTTGTGTTAATCAGTAAGTCATTACCTTCCTTTTACTAACCATGCTGGGCTTTACCTAGTCCACACGTTTTGGCTCCTAAGTTCAGTTAGTCCAAATCCAACAGTTCAGAAGTTTCAATGAAACCCCTGTATTTTCTTACTTATATATGTTATAACCCTTGTCTCTTTTAGTTGGAGAGCAATTATGGACAACTTGATGACACATGATAAAACAACATTTAGAGATTTAATGAGTGAGTATCATAGACTGACAGAATAGAGTAGCATCCTTCCTGCATGTGCTCAGTCGTCACTGTTCACTCCTCAGTTCTGGAAACTGCTAAATTGAATGATGTAAAGATTATCCAGTAGTCGGTCTACATGGGTACAGACCAAAATTCCTACAGAGCACAAGAAGCTTTGACTTAAAGCACTTCGCTCAGTCTCTTTGCCAATAAAAAAGTGAAGCCATGAGTTATAATAATAACCAGCATTTACATGGCACTTTAAAGGTTTGCAAAGCAATTTACATATATTTTTCCATTTAATCCTCACAACAATCCTACAAATTGATGCTATTTACTATCATCACTCCAGTTTTACAAAGGAAACTGAGGTCAAGAGATTAAATGACTTGTCTAGGGGCACACAGCTGGTATCTACGGCAGAATTTGAACTGAAGTCTTTGTGACTCCAAGTCCAGTACTCTCTCCTCTACACTATCTTAAAACAATTACCATTTGCTGTTTTGAAGAGGTTTGAGGGAGTATTGGGTCAAATGGGCTTTGAGTAAGCCTCTAATATTTATTAGCTGTGGGACTACGGACCAGTCTTTTTAACTTCTCAGTCTCAATTTCTTCACCTGTACAAGGGGGATAACTATAGTGCCTACTTCATAGAGAGTGTAGTTATTCTTAAATAAGATCATTTATGTAAAGTGCTTTGAAAAAATTTTAAAAGCTATGTGAATGTTATTAGTTATCAAGTGTTTTTATTGTTATTTTTCACTGGGGACAACTAGTAAAAGGATCTCTGGACTAGGAATCGAGAGAATCTTGGACTAGTCCCAAGCTCCCCATCTGCAAAGTGAGAGTTGTAATCCCTACCCTATAGCCCTCATGCGGTTGTTGAGAGTCCAACAAGAGAATGTATGTTAGGGGCCTTTGGAAAGCATTGCAAAATCCAAAGCATTGCTAGTAGTGTTAATTCATTTTATCTTCTGTTTCCCCTTGCTGGCAACTCATTTTCCATTCTTTAGTTGCCATTCCTCCTTTTATCTGTGTGCATCCCAACTAAGCCTTTGGACCACTTATTTTTTTGTAAATCTTTGCCTGTTCGTTGTCTCCCCTGATGTCTGTGTCTTCTTCCTGCACACCGTTGCTACATCTTACACTGTTAGGTAATCTAGAACATCTTTGTTTCTGTTTGGCTTAATGTGCTTATGCATGTTTTCTTTTTCAGCGCGAGTAGCTGTGGCTCAAAGCAGCTCACTCAATCTGTTTGCCAGCAGGGATGTGGAGCTAGAACAGAGAGCCATGCTCTTAAAAAGATTAGCATTTGCAATTTTTAGCAGTGAAATAGACCAGTATCAGAAATACCTTCCAGATATACAAGGTAATTGGTGGAAACCATTATTTCTCTCCTGCTTTTTGTAATTATTCCTTACAGAAAAATTTCCCCAGGTTATACGTCTGTGTGAAATCAGCTTATCACATACAAGAAAAAAACAATTGCTCCAGTGAAACTGAAGTCAGCAGATTTGGGGAGCATACTGGGAGGGAAATAGAATTGCTTGAGACATTCTAATAGAATTGCATGAAGGATATGTTTATTTACTGTTAAGATTTCATTGAAATTTGGTGATATGCAAGATCCAAATTTTTGCTATAGGAGATGCTAGTGTTTTTGAGGTTTATGATTGGCACATTCATACAGAGGGGAGAAAAGTGAATTAATGTTTGCAGCTCTGCAGAATTTGGAAGTTCTATCTGCAAAGCTATTCTCATCAAATAAATATTTATTGGGCTCCCCAGTCTTCTAGGAAATATCAGCTTTGTATCCTCTTTATCACTTCACTGGGCCAGCTCATGTATAGAGGCTGCATGTTGAAATTTATACTTCACATATTCCTGACTCACAGGAAAAATCCCCCGCAGCTTTTGAGCTGCTTATGCAGAAAAGATGTTTGTTACCTGCCTTAGGACTAAACATGGGTACCTGGATGAGTGAAATCTCCATGGAGAAGGTAGTCTTCCTGCCAGGTCATGGTTTTCTCACTCTTCTTTCAGCAAGAGCCACAGACATGCATAACCTTTTTTGTCATTTGATAAATAAAGCCCTTAATAGTAATTGGCTGGATTAAAAGGGGGGAAGAGTGATAATGAACAGAATTATTCAGCAGTAAGAGATCCTTTATTTTGCTTTTCTCTTCCAGAAAGATTGGTAGAGAGTCTCCGTTTGCCCCAGGTGCCCACTCTTCACTCTCAAGTTTTCCTGTTTTTCAGAGTGTTACTTTTAAGAATGTCTCCCCAGCACCTTACCTCACTCTGGCCAACTATGATCACAGAACTAGTAAGTAAAGTTTTGAAAGCTAAGAGCCTGAAAGAACCAGCTATAGTTACATAATTATGCTTTCATCTTTAGGGTGAGACTTCCAGGATAGACTTAACTCCAGCCATACCAATTACTGTTGTTTAGAGTCGAATTTAACTATATCAAATTCCATTTCTTAATAATTTAATACTTAAGCTGAATGCATAGCCAGTGTTTTCTAGTCACCTTTTATACCTGAGTCTGTCTAATTTTTTTGTAGTCTCATCTGAAACAAGTATTAGGTCTTGTCTCTATTTCAAAATATTTATTTCCTTGCCATTTCCCCCTAAAAATAGGTTTTCTTTCCTCTTGACTCTGACATTTTTCCATGTTAGTTCCTTTGTTCATTTACTTTCTTTCCCCCAGTGACATTTACAGAAAGGCCACTTTCATCTTCTTTAAGACTTCCCTATCTGGTTTCACCAGCATCTATTTGTGCTTCCAAACTCAAAAATACTTGCAATTTCTTGCATGCAAAAAATAAAATATTAGTTGAGAAGAACTTGGAAATTATCCTAAACATTAGGAAATGTTTGCCCTAAAGCATAATGATTGTATGGTAATAGGATTTGATGCCCACCTAAGTGAAAACATTTTCACATGATTGTTTGGTCTTCAGGTGCAGGTATTTTTACTGATGGAACAGGAACTCAGCGCTGATGAAGATATTTCAAAGTAGGTGTGGTCACTTTCATTTTAGTAACAGACTGAGAGAGCAGATACGGCCTTTGGTTTGAGAAGTCCAGAGCTCTCCCTGCCTTTTAATAAAAAGTTATATAAATACTTGTTCCAGTAGTGCTCCACCAATTGGTCATATGTGAATATAGATCTCCCTAACTTTTATGACCAACTAAGCTAATCACAATTCATGCCATCAAGCATTTAAGTATATGAGCATAGGTTTAAATAGCATATGACTCTGTTTTATTATAATTCATCATTACTAATTTTACTATGCCATTGATTAGATCATGTACTTGGAAACATCACTATATGATAAAAATATATCAACAGGTTTAGTCCCATCTCCCAGCATTAGATTTATAAAGTGTTACATTATAATAATTAGTATCACACTTGTTGCCCAAGAAAGCTATATTTAGCAAATAAGGATTCTCATGTTTTCTTGGCTTTGCAATTTTTACTTAGACATTTTGCTTGTGTGAGTATAGCAGTTTATGAAGTCTACATTCTTAGGATTTAACAAAACTTTTTAGTTGAGCACAGCAATATTCACTTGGTCATGACTGTTCATGGTTGGTAAAGCCAGTCAAATAACAGTAGCTGGACACCATAACTATTTTATTGGCGTTAGTGCATGATATGAAGAAAGAAGTACTTTTTCTATTCTTTTAAACAAAATACAAATGGGAGATTTTTCCAAGAACCAGTTATGATACAGCTTATGACTATCATCTTCTCTGACTTAGAACTTCAGGACCATCTGTAGCTGGTCTGGAGACCACGTACACAGGAGGCAATGGTTTTTCAACTTCATACAACAGCCAGCGATGGTTAAACCTTTACCTCTCTGCTTGCAAATTTTTGGATTTGGCTTTAGCATTGCCGTCTGAAAATCTTCCTCAGTTTCAGATGTAAGTAAAAGCAGAATGAACTATTTGCTTTTTTTCTCCTGAAATTTTCTCAGACTTTTTGAAAAGTACTTTATGTGTAAGTTGAAATCTTGATTGCAGAAGCTCATTTTCATTGACATGTAAAAAGTTCTTTGTTGTCTCCTTGCTTCCAAAAAAAGTTGTTTTCCCCTTTTTCCCCCAGTAGAATGTAAGCCCCTTCTGGACAAGAAATGTTTAACTTGTCTTTTTGTATCCCCCAGTGCCTAGCACAATACCTAGGGCAGACAGAGTAGGCATTTAATGAACGTTTGTTGCTATTAAAAGGTTAGTGTGATTATATTAACGTGAGCAGATTGAAAAATAAACTCCCCTATATAGTGTCTTGCACATAATAAGGGGCCAAAAATGTGTTGGTTAGTAATTACTGTTTTTTAAAAGAATATAAATTCTTCAAAAATAGCTTCTTAAAATAAGAAGATAATGTATATTTGATTACCTGAAACTCATGGAACATATAACTATAATAGAGTGCTATATTTCCATATGATAGACTTTGCTCTCCAGATGAAAGGTTTGTTTGAAACTAATGCACTCTTTCACCATGTAGACCTTAGAGTAATTAACAGATAAAATCATTTATATTTATACGTAAAACACTTCATACATTTCCTAATCATTTTTGGGAACTTTTTGCCAGGGAGTCAGAGAGCTTACTACATGTCTTTGAACAGTTCTAAATCTGGGGTCTGTTAACTTGGGTTTTATTGTAGTTTTTTTTTTTTAATTTTAAATATTTTGATAACTATTTCAGTATAATTGGTTTTCTTTGTAATCCTATGTATTTTATGCATTTAGAAACATTGTTCTGAAAAGGAGCCCATATGCTTGACCAGATTGCCAGACAAGTCCATAACACAAAAAACGTTAAGAACCCATTAGAGGAATTTAGAGTCAGGATACATGGGTTTTAATCATAGCTCTATTACTTACTTGCATTATAACTACAGGCAAATGATTTAATCTTACTGAGTATTCCCAATCTGTAAAATGGGGTTAATAATAGCACAGGGCTCTTGTAAGGCAATACTTTGTAAGCCTTACAGTTATAAATAAATGAATTGTTATGTTAATTTTTCCATTCTTCTTATATAAATAGGTATCGCTGGGCCTTCATTCCAGAAGTCTCAGATGATTCTGGTTTGGAAGTTAGAAGACAGGGTACACATCAACGGGAATTTAAACCTTATGTGGTACGACTAGCAAAACTCCTCCGGAAAAGGGTGAAGGTAACTTTTTTTGTTATAGTTTTTGTTTCTGTAACGTTACATAAATTATGATATTTTATTGGACCATATATGAGTTAGAGCCTAAGAATGCCTCTTTAAATGGAAAAAAATATATAGGTATACATTCAAAAATAGTATACATCATAAATTGTTCCTAGGTATTATACAAGTGAGATCAAGGGATCCGGGGAGAGGGAGAAAGTATCGGCTATATTCAGACCAAAAGCAATTAATAGCTTTATTTAATAGTTTTTTAGGAGAAACTGAGTATCTTATCAAGTATGTTTATTCCCCAAGTCAGACAACATCGAGTACAAAACTATCTTTTGTATGTGTAAACGTAGTCCAGATTTACTAATGAAAAGTCGGGGAAGGAGTTTTGGTCTTTTAATTAATGAACAGTGTTATTTTGGTAGAACTTGACTACCAGATTATAAACACCTTTTAAAATGCTGTAGGCTATCACTAGAGACAATCTTGATTATTATTTTTGCCATATCTAAAAAAACAAATAGTGAGCTAAAATGTTAAATAAAGTTAGGGCTGACTTTTCCTACTTTAAAAATTATGCAAATTATTTTAAAACAAATTGAGTAAAGCCAGCTAAAGTTTGTAGTAAGCAAACCGGATTCATCTTCATAAAATAGCAAAAGAAATTGTCTGAATTCTCACATACATACAGTTTGAATAATAGCTGTAGGGTATAATAATCACATCTGTTGTTTCATTCTTAACATGTAAATACATCAAGGACAGGGAACTTTAAAAATAATGAAGTATAAATTCCATAATATTTCAGCAATATTATTGAATTCAAAGTAATATTGGTTGAGGTTCTGGGATAAATTTCAAGAAAAAAGAGTGACAAAATGATATGGGCATAGGGAGAGGAAAGAATTATGTTGAAGAAAAAGATACATCCACTAAAGTTTACATTAAAAAAACTAAATGAAAATATAAACAGAAAAGGGGTTTTCAAAAGCAGAAACATTAACTTGATGGCAGCTCTATAATGGTGAAGTTACCTCAAAGAGGTAGCTTGAAGAGCTTTTAATAAAGATAGATTTTATTTGCTGAATATACACTTATCATTTCATGCATTTTTAAAAATTATCCATCCAAAAGTGAAAATATATTGGAAAACTCAAGTGTATTAGTTAGAAGGACCAAAAAGTATGCATTCTAAAGAAATGGCCAGGGAACATATTAAGTCAGTGTCTTTTGTTTAGAAATTATCGAAGGGAACTAGATTCAAAGTATATTCTGGGCTAGGGGTGGAGAGTGGGAAGTAGATTTGGGTACTGAAAAGGTTCTCTCAAAAACAAATGTCATAAAATTTATGGGATTTTTTTCAACAAGATGAGATTATTAATGTGGGAAAGATAAGCTAGAATTTTTATTTTAGCTAAGTGTTTTGAACTGTACTATTTGCCAAAATAGTTCAGTTACACTTAAAGCAGAATCATACCTGAAATAAATGGTGATTGAAATGACAAAGGTAATAATGCTAGTCAGCAAGTATTCTGCCTAAAACCCAAAATGTATTTTGTAACCATATACACTTGAAGAATTTCAGACAAAAAAAAAAAATAGGAGGGGTGAGGTAATGTAATGGATAGGAGCTGGCCTCAAGAACCAGGACTTGATGTCAAGGTGACCTGGGTTTCTGGTTCCACATGTGGCACATACTGGCTGTGCCCTTGGGTGGGCACTTCAACCTTTTAGTACTCCAGGCAATTGTCTAAAATTCCCAAGTCGCAGAGCCATTACTGATCTGCACTGGGGAAGGAGTTTCCTCACCAGGGTGCTCCTAACACCAGTGAAATCACAGGTCTGGATTTTTTTTCAAAATGGGGGCAGGGATGACCCAAGAATATATAATACTGTAAAGAGATAGATTTTTTCCCCCTAAATATGTAATTTGTCCCTTGGTTCACCTAAGTGATTTTGTTTTGTCGAATTCCATAATTTGATTTTGGCCAATAAAGTATAATTCTCGGCTCAAAAGCCGAAAGACAATGAAATAAAATGTTAATCAGTGTGTCATGTAAACCTGTCATTTTTTGAATGTTAAGAAAGTGTTTTCTTAATCCCCAAATTCTTTCATAAATTGGCCACCTGTGAGAAATTCTGTAGTATTATGAATTCGAGTTTACAGCATATGATGACTAGAAAATTTCTAGATTTTTGGAGCCCCCTATTCAGGCAGCAGCTCCAAACTCCATTTTACCATATGAAAATGGAAGAATGGCTGCTAAAAGCACCATTTACAAATGTGAATTGTTCTTTCTCCAGCACGGTGTGAGGACCAAAGGTTGAAGGGTTTGAGTTTGAGAAGGGTGAAATCATTCTGATGCCCTTTTAGGAAATTTTAATTGCTAAGAAAATTCCTCTACTTGTGATAACACATATCTAGAAATTTAAGTAGATTTTCTTGCCAGTAAGTTATCAGTGTGATACATTTGGTACTCAGGCACACTTTACATTATCTCTTGCAATTAATTAGATTGTACTTAAGGGATGACTTGCTAGCCTGCTGCCCAAAACATATCTAAGGAAGAAAAATTGTTTTGGTGAAAAGAATCTTCTCATCTAGATTACAAACTACAAGGTCTTCATGGCCAAACATACTTTGAATTGGAACAAAGGCTGTGAGTTTTCCTCTTTCCTTCCGCAGGACAAGGAGGAGAACTTTAAGACAGTGATTTTGGAGGGATTGGAGATGGCCAAGCATCAGGTGAGGGTGGCTCTTTGATGCTTGTGATATGGCAGCAAAAGCTGCCACATCAGGACCAGATACTCACAGCCATACCCAGGTCTGGATTTCAACAAGTGCAAGAGAGGTAAACAGGGAGGAAGGTTTTCTTCAGAGACTAAGTATAGGCTATTTTGATGAAGGCAAAGGGAGATGGGCCTTAAGTACGTCTCCATTTGTATGGGTAACTAAGGAAACATGAGTAAGAGTAGATTCTTTTTGAATAATCATTCAAGTGAACTTTTTTTTCAAACTATTAAGGAGACATCAAAAACATTAGTTAAGCACATAGGTGTATCAGAATTGCTGATACTGTGCATGTCATGCTTATCATTTGATGTCATTCGGTTCAGGGACAAAGGTTCAACAGTAGTAATAGTACTCACATTTGAACATTAGTATTCACTGATTGATTTGAAAGACAGCCTCTCTTAGAACAAAGGTTAATTTTTATGAAAGAGATTGCTGTTTGTATTGTTTGTCTAAATAGTTTTCATTTTTAAAGATTTTCTAGCTTCACTGAAAAAACTTTGAGGTTGCCGATCTGCCTATAATCAAAGAACCAGCAACTATGTGATTCTTACCATTGCCACGTTGACTATTCATCTTCTGTTCTAAAGTGCACAATAACCTTAACACCCATCTCAAACCTCCTGATTGTCATTACAAAATACTTTTTAAAACAATGCAAAAGGATAGCGAAGCTGTTTTGTGTATCTTCTTCATTAGAAAAGTAGTGGTATTAAGGCATTCCTTATGGGCAAAAGATAGAAAGCATCCCAGTAACATCTGATCTAGAAAATTATAATATCGTGCCTGTCTTTAGGAATAGAAGCATAGGACAGTTTCCCTTCCTAGGTCTCGCTGGTAGCTGGCAACCCTTTTTCCTTCTCCTTTATTTCACTGTCTTGTCATAGATGTAACTCACATTGTTTAAATTCAAGCATTTTTTGGTTCTCTACTTCTCTGTCTCCTCACTGATCTCCACAGCATTAAGGCTTTTCTCATTCTTTGTTCATACTTTTGAGTTTTGAGGTTATCTCCAATGTCAATTTCCTGCTTGGAAGTTTAGTAGAATCTTAAGGTCTCATGTGTAAACAGGTCAAAGATTTCTGCTCTCCTCACTTTTGTTTGGGTTGACCACATGGACTCTGGTATAAACAGCTTTTTTTCTCTTCATTAAACAGTGTCTCTACTCTGGATAGTTTCCATCTCTTGGGTGAAAAGGGAATTAATTTTTTTTCAAAATCAGAATGACTATTCCTTAGGCTTCATTTTTACTGGTTAAATTGTGATATGAACTACAGTTACAAATCCCTGTTAAACTGTGAGGTTCCATAAAGCTCTAGATTTTGAATGTGCACCAAGCACAAGCTATTAATAACTGACTTTAGGTTTCTAGAAAGTAACCCCAACTTATGGCATCTTCAGTGAGCACAAGTGTTAGGGAAACCTAATGATCCAAGTTACTAGAAAATGTATTTTCTAATAGCATCAGGGAAGGAGGCTTTTGCAAATATAACATTATAAGGAAAGTAGGGGATTATGATCCTGGCTTTGAATGCCAAGATTATAATTTAAAATTTTGGTATCTGAGAATCTCATAAAAATTTTAAGTACAGAACAACAATTGACAGCAGTAATTGGGCCTGGAACACAGTAGCTGTAGTAGTAGTGGAAAGTGCATTTGAGAGACAGTGCTAAGCTAGGATCAACAGAATTTGGCAGTTGCTTGGGGATGTGGTATGTTTCATCTGTTAGATGACAATACCCTTTTTGTTTCTACAGAAAAACCCAGAGGAAGACAACTCAGGGAGAACATTAGGTTGGGAACCAGGACATTTGTTACTAACCATCTACACTGTGCGTAATATTGAGCAGCTCCTGCCTTTCTTCAATGTGCTCAGCCAAGTCTTCAATAGCAAAGTCACAAGCAAATGTGTGGGACACTCAGGGAGCCCTGTCCTCTACCCAAACTCCTTCCCTAATAAGGACATTAAAATGGAGAACAACAAAATGTTTTCCAGCAAAGCCAGGCAAAAAATTGAAGAAATGATAGAGAAAGATTTTCTGGAAGGGGTGATAAAAACTTGATTCACTGGAAATGGTACTATTCAACTTAAATGTATTGTTTAAAAGAAATCTTTCCGCGTTGTATAGTTTTTCTTTTGTATGTATGTAACAACACAACACACTTCAGGTTGTATTTAATTTAAAAATTTGTATATAAGAGCAAATGTTCTGAATGTGGCCTGAATCACGTTTAAATACTGTTGGCTCATATTGATTATGGTGCCAGAGAAATATATGTATAGATAGATTTATGTGTGTGCATATATATATATATATATACACAGATAGATATATATGTATACATACACACACCTCTAAAGTCCACTTGTTTTACTGTCTTGAGTTATGTCTTAATTCTGTAAAATACAAGTTACACATTTTTTTCTATTGGTTTCAGGCTTTTTTTTATCTAAAATGACTTGAACCGGTTGTTTCCTTAACTCCATGCAGTCTTTTCTATTAAAAAGTTCAACCTAGGAGGAGAGACTGAGTTTCTCTCCTTAGCTCTTCAGTTAAGTGGGAAGGATTCAGGGTGAGCCTGGCAGTAACCCTGCTAATATCCAAACTTAAATATTACATCATAACAATTTCTCAGCTACCTTAGTTTTGAATCCTAGGCAACACTACTATGTGGGTAAGTATTAAGACACAATTTGCTAATAATCAATAACATGCCATTTCTCTACTGAACACATTTAGAATTTTATACTTCAGGTAACAGGCTGAACCTTTTTTCAAAGAAGTGATCACTTGGCAAGAGAAACACTATACTTAGTTGTCTCTAATACCATCTTTCTTGGTTTCCTTCTTTCCTTTTTGGAAGGTTACAGAATAGAATTTTTCAAGATAATCCCTACCATAGCCTTTAGAGAAAGTGGATTCAATTTATACAAAAATCTAAGACAGACATTCATTAGATCTCCACACAATCCAAAGGCAAAACAAAGAGAAAAGCTATCTCAAGTACCTTCTCCCAATATAGTAAACCATCCAACTACCTATTTTGTGCTCTGCAACCAGGTAAGAGGCCCCATTAATAATGGAACCATGATATATTCAGCAACTAAATTATGTTTAGATGTGTAATAATGAACTTACAGAAAAGTAATATTTTTCTGATAGTTTTATTTACTGCTTGAAGTATAATCTTCAATTAGGTCAAGAAATCAAATCTATAACAATCACTAAAATTTTATTTTGAAAATTAATGGAATACTTTATTCCAGTTATTTAAAAATATTCTGATTGTAAATTAATTTTAAATTTCCCATGTCATAAATCATTACCTTTACATATTAATGACACTTATTTCTATTTCATACTTTTTAAAAAGTTGGTATACATTCCTTTAGAATGGTTTTGGTCTTTCTCCTACTCCTCCAGCCAGCTGAAATACTGCCAAGCTTACTTCAGTTGCAAGTCTATCTGCATTTACCTGTGAATTATTTTAAAAGTAAGTGAAAAACATGTAAGTATTTTAACACTTGCTACTTGTTCATTTTTAGCATATACTTAGAAACTTCACGGATCTTGCTTGGCAAAAGTCGTTGTGGCTACTTTAACAAATCAATCAGAATTTGTTCCCGAGTAGAAAACTTAACACTTTTTGCATGTTGTAAGTCAGGTATTTTCTCCTGAATAAGGTAGGGGCTTTCATTCTTTCATCTTTGTTAAAATTCAACAAAAGCTCCCTTAAGGAGGCTATAAAATATTCAGTTAACAGATAACTTTAGGCATTTTTCTATGCCAAATCCAGTAGGGTCCTGCTTGGAAAATAACATGACTATAGCCTCATACTCGTCTAGAATGATGAAAATGGGCTACTGTTTCCACACTGTAGAATGCTTTTATGTATTGAAAGAATAAATAAAAAGCTTTAAAAACCCAGTCATGATAAGGAGACAGGAAAATGTAGAAATTCCGAATCAAGAAGCTAGGAGTGATATTTGATACTTTTCAAAGAGGTACACTAAGACTAAAAATTTAGATGATTTTACTAACGATTAGGCAGATAATGATTTTCACCCAACTAGACAAGTCCTCAAGTTGCTTCCCCTCTAACAGTTTCCTGCCTTACACATATCAAATGCCTTAATGGAAAGAATACTGAATTTGGATTCAGACTACTGCTTGTAGATATTGAATATAATGGTTAAACTGTAGGGTTTTATCAAGGACAAGCTACTGATTATTGATTTTGTAGGTTTTTCTAGAAGGCAACCCCAGCAGAGTGTTAGAGAAATCTAATATGCCTTCCAAGTAAGTGACTTGAAAACACTTTTTTGCAGGTTCATGGCCTGGCTCTATTACTATCAAAGGCAAGTCCTTTAAACTCTCCGCACTTTTAGTTCCTCACCTGTAAAATGAGAAGGTTGGAAAAGAGAGCTTCTGAGGTCTCTTCCAACTCTAAATCTATGTATGACATACTGTCTTGGAATTATATAACTACCTTTATATAACCTATAAAGATTAATGTAGTAAACTCTACTAGGTGACTGGTCCTATCCCATTCTTAAACACAATATTGTAGAAAATTGCTGAATCTAAGCCTTAAAATAGGAGTGGATATATCAGTGTACTGGACTACCACACTAAGTTGTTGCAGGAAAAATTTTATAATGCTAAAGCATTCTATAAATAAGGAATGGTAATTATAGTCTAATTCTTACCTGTGAATCTGCTTCTGCATATACTCTGATAATATCTTCTGTTCCAGATGGCCTGACAAAAGCTCGTGACAACTTGTACTTCTTCAATAGTTCATCAATTGCCTCTTGTAGTCCTAAGGGTGTAACTGCTCGTCTCTCAGCATCTGTGGTATCAATTACTTGCCTGTCTGCAACCTAACACATAAGAAAATTTATCTTTTGTTAGTTCGTTGTTGCCCCCCTATCTTTTACTTTTTACTAATCATTCCTATCCCAAACTTACAAAGCTATTTAAGGCCTGACGGCCCAATTCCAGTCCGAAAAAGAATTCTCCAAATACTTAAGTCTCAAAACACCTTCTACACTATTTGATCTACATTTCATCCCATTTTAGCATGTGATATACAGCTCTTCATTTGACAGTTTCAACTGACATTTTGTGCAAATAAACTAATTTCTAATTTCAAGACTGTCCCTCTAATAAGGCAGAAAGTCAGAAAATGTTGATTAGACTTTATCATAGGTAAAAGGAAACATATCTTTTGTTATAGCCCCTTCATTTCTAAAAATATCCTTCTTATCAGTTAACACCTTGAGGCCTCTTAGGGTCTATTCATAACTTTGTTGTTGTTGTTCAGTTGTATCCAACTCTCCAGGACCCTATTTGGGGTTTTCTTGGCAAAGCTAGTAGAGTGGTTCTTCTTCAGTTCATTTTACAGATGAGGAAACTGAGGCAAACAGGGTTAAATGACTTGCCCAAGGTCACAACAAGTATCTAAAACCAAATTTAAACTCAGTTCTTCCTTACTCCAGGCCCAGCACTCTATCTATCCATTGTGCTACCTAGGTGCCCTGCCATAATTTTGTACCTAAACACAATTTAATCAACAAGTGGAATTAGGCAAAATTACTTAAATTCTACACAATGGGGATGAAATAAGAAACAGCTAGTAAGACATAACTGTTAATACTCTCATATCTGAAATTATATCTGAGAGTTTGGCGTCAGTAGCTTTTAACGAAGGGGATCTCTCACCGTGACTTTGAGTTGCCGATTTGGAAGATCAGTATAAATGGCATCCCACTGTTGTACCGATAGACCTTTTACTGCCAAGATTGCTTCAATTAATAGCATGTCTGAAATGGCATCACCTACTGTCTGCAGAATGAAAAGGGAATTACGAAGAGGCAAAAGAAATTCCTCCAGGTCACTGGGTCAAACTATAGCACCTCCCTCCTAAACATTCTTCTTGACATCAGTGATTGTGGGTTTTTTCTCTCTCAAATCCACATTTTATTTGTTACTCTTTAAACTACAGACTTTAGTAAAATGACAACTCTCAGACTGTTCCTCTAAATTGCCAAATGAAGAAGATGGTATTTGTTAATAATTCTATAGGTATGGGTGGGCTCAAGTTTTACTTTTCCCACCATTTACCTGACAGAGATGGGAGTGATGAAGCATTCTGGATACAAGACAGTATACACATGTATGTGTATGTGTGCATATATAGATGTGTGTCTATATTTAATTTTTTTTCCCCACATATACTTACTAGCTGTCATTAGATTATTCCTTTAGGTGGGGGTGTAGAACGAAATGGACTATTTCCTAATGTTCCAAAACGTCACCAAGAGTCCTTCCATTCTTATTCTTGTTACAACTCACTCCCTATAACATCTGAATATTATATTAAGAGTTCTCATGAGTGTTTTTCCCTTTAGCATGAAAATAACACTAAACCTTCCAGGAAATCAACCAGTGCATTATCTGGCACACTTTTTAAGCAATACATTATTTTAGTTCTTACTTGATTAATTAAGTCAATAACATTTTCAAGCATCATAGCAGCTTTTCTAATTTTTTCATCTGTTTCTTCTTCTGCCAGCTGCCTTATTTTCTTTTCAGCAGCCTTACTGAAGAGTACCTGAAATGAAATCATAAAACCACAATGATAATCTCCACTAAATATTATCACTTCAAACTTTTCACCTTCCCCACACTCCCTTTGATCACAAAGCTAGAAGATAATGGTTTAGCGTCAAAGACACTGGTAAGCAATGACGTCCCTAATACTAATCTCATTTAGTAAAGCAAAGATGGAAATTAGAATAGTAAATGAGAGCACAAAAGGGTAGATTTTTTAAAAGGCAGAAGGGGAACTCAAATTGTGGCCACAATTTGTTAGCAACACTGCCCATTTTTCTACCTACCAGTTAAACCAGTGGAGAAGATAAGGGGCATATATACCCACTCTTCTGCACAACTGTGGTTTCTTAAGCTATTGAGAGTAAAGGGGGCCTGGAGGGAAAATGGAAGAGAAAGGCCCTGTGTGCAGGACCTAGTGACCCAACTGCAGCTGCTTTAGTAAAATTGCTGTGAAGAAGAAATGTAAAAGAGCCTAGGAACAGTATATTCCT